TCTTCGATCATCTTGTCGATATCCCAGCTCTCCACGATATGATAGCTCGGGCAGCGCGCCGTGTCGACCGCGTCTGCTGGGCGCACAGCGTCACTTGCGCCTCTTCCAGCCGTGGCCGATCCCTCACGCCAGCCCGCCCAGCGTGGCCCCTTGCGCGTCCTAAAGACCGCGAGGCGTTCGGTGACAGGAACCTCATCGCTGCACGCAACGCTTTCCGCCACACGCAAATCCCTCGTGTCCCAAAGACGCCACGCCTCACCTGCGCGCTGAAGCAAGCACGTTTCGTAAGGCGCCTTCTCGACCGCGACGGTCCCAAGGTCCTTCTGCGCAGGGCGCCTACCCCACACAGACGCGTAACCACCTGGCGCCTCCCACCAGCTGTCGACGCTTGGAAGGTGGTCCAAGCAAGTAAGCACTCCAGGCTCCTCAACAGGGCGCCCAACCGGGCCGCTCCCGCCCCACACCGAAGCGAGAACAGTCACCGCAGCAAGGACCGATAGCACACCGATCCTGGCGCCGGTACGCAGCCGCCCAAAGGACCGCGCACACGAGGAACAACCTTGGAAGCTTCTTGCCGCGGCCCTGGACGCGGACCCGCAAGCAAAGCACGGGTCATGGTCAACCGAAGCAACGGCGACCCCACAATCCGCACATGCCTGCGGAGACGGCTCTGACTCGAACACCGTCTCAATTGCGCCACAACCACAAGCCGCAGTGCTGACGAGGCCGGAACGCACTTCCGCCACAACCTCGCCCGGCTGGAGAGAGTGATCACACTCTTGGGCTGCAAGCAAAACAAACCCTTTACCCTCTCCTGTGGGCCAGAGACCTGGCACAGCCTCAACCCCACACTCAACCGGAAGCACAACCTCGGACAGGGATCCCTCTGCGGAGACTCCTGCCTCCCGCACGACTGGCACCAGCACCCCATCACCTGGCGAGAGCTCGAGCGGCTCTTCCCCGTCATAGCGGAGAAGCTCACGACTTCCGCCCCCAGGCTCGGTGCATGACGCGTCGTCCAGGCTTGACAACCGCGCTTCAAAGGCATAGGCCCTGTCCTTCCGAGTCCTACTGGGATCCTCACATCTGGGCATCCAGATTCCCAGCGTGTCGAGGACATGAAAGTCGGGACCCGGCCTGAATCCCAAGCCCATCCTTCCGGCGCAGTCCAGCGCTCTGCCGCCGAGGATAAGTCCGTGCCAATCGGACGTACCCCTGGCTGCGATTTTACATCGCACGAAAATTTCGGTGTTGGGGCGACAGTCGTCCGCCGTCCTGCCTTCCAGCAGCGTGACGCGCAAGACTGCTGCCCCCTTCAGAGGAACGGGGGCTCCCGAAGCAATTCCATGCACGTATTCGGGGTGGACCCACTTTTCAAGTCTCACGACCGGGAAGCCGGGATCCTCAGTGCCGATCCCCAGCTCTGCAGCCCGGTTCATCATGCCTACCACGAGTTCCTCGGTCACGTGGTTTGCGCCGGCGCAACCGTCGAGCATGCACTCGACCTTACGGTCGAGGACCTGGACCACCGTCCTGTACTGGTAGCCTCCTGGCTCGTTGTCCGCCAGGTTCCACCAGTCCTTCGGCAGATCGTCCAGGGTGGCGAACTTGTCCCGCCCGCCCTTGCTTAACGGAAGCGCGTGCTGCTGCACCGCGGCGTGTCCTGCGGCTCCTAAGACGCCTGCCTGGACGCCTGAGCTGCCTATCTGGACGCTGAACGCGGCGAAGGGGTTAGACATGGAAGCCCCGGAGGGCGGGGCCCAGTTGGCAGGCAAGGCCGGCGTCCCTCCTGAGGTCGTCAGGTTGTGGACCATGTCGCAGCTGGCTCCTTTCTTGCACGACCCATTCTTGGAGAAAAAGGGGCAAACAGTGCCTGGTGGCTTTGCCGCGCCTTTGGCCGCAGCCTTAGGCTTTGCGTTGGCTTTTGCCTTGCCACCTCCCTTCCCCTTGCCTTTACCTTTCGCAGTGGCAAAGGTTTGGTCACCCTTCTTGGCCGCGAGAGCTTTTCTGCGAAGCTCCTTGTCGTGGCTGTACGGGCAGGCATCCCCTTTCGGGCAATTCCCATGATCGCGAAAGTGGAAGCAGATCTTCTTGTCCGCTCCTTTGCCAGCTCCCTTCGACGCAGCGGCAAACGTCTGGTCCGCGCCAGCTTTGGCCGCGGCAGCTGCTCCTTTCGCAGCAGCCTTCGCAGCGGCCTTGAGACTCTTAATCTCCTTCTGAGCCTCGGCTAGCGCGACCGCCGGGTCCGCGCTCTGCGAACCGGTCGCCGTGTACACAGAGTGGGAAACAGCCCTGTGAGCTGCTTCCCTCTGCTCGTACTCCAGAACGACCTTGTGGCTCTCCTCCCAAGTCTGCGGTCCTCGCAACCCGCCATCCTTGGGATCGCCAGGCCACAACCGTTTGTCGTTCCGGATCTCCTTTTGGAGATACGGGGGCATCTTGCGGAGGTACGAGAGATACAACTCTCGTGGGGTCTTCCCAAGACCTACCGCCTCAAGGTCCGCGATCGAGGCCTCAAACAAAGGCTCGAATTGGTGGCCTGTGAGCTTACCCTTAGCGAGAGAGGCATGCTCACCATCCACGCGGACTTCTCTTTCCTCCCGCGATTCCCCGAACATCAAGTGCTTGTTCTTGATGCGGTCATACACCGCCTGTGGATCTGAGAGAACCTCTCCCGACTTCCACGCTGCGCGGTACGCGTTCGTGTACGTCTTCATGCGCGAGCCGCGGCAGCGCCCGCGTAGCGCTAACAGCTTTTCGCGCGCACTCATACCGCGGCAGTTGTTGGCCAGCGCGCAGACGTCCTCGAACTCCTCGTAGAACAGGACAACGTCTCGCGCGTCCGACTTGTCGTCGGTCAGCGTCGGCCACGTGAGGTCAGTTTTGACCGTAGTTATGGAGCTTTGCCCGCCCCTCTGCGCTAACGCTTCTTTCAGCGCTTCAGTTTGGGCGGCGAGTGCGGCGGCGAAATCGCCCGCCGGGTGTTGGGACCCGGTCTGCGAACCTCCGCCGTCTGAACCTCGCTTCAGGGCTTCTATCTCCATCTCCAGCGCAGCAAGCTTCGCGCGCAAAGGGGAATCGCCGTCCGTCGCGCCCAGGACACGGGCCGCGGAAGGACCACCTGCAACCTCTGCAGTGTGCAAACCTCCACGGTCCAATCCTACCCCCAACCCACTTGCAGTCGCAGGCTGTGGGAGCCCTGGGGAACGCGGCCCCACGGCTTCAACTGGCACATCGGACGGGGAGCTCCAAACCTTCTCTTGGCTCGAGCTTTCTTTTCCCCCTAACGCGAGGATAAGCTCCCCGATGCATTGGATTTCGCGCTGAATCTCCTCTGCGTCTTCGGGGTCCTCGCCACCGCGCAAAGCCGCGACCGAGAACCTGGTCCGCAGCCGACGGACCATCTTTGTCGGATGCCAGTCCCCGCCTATCTTGGAGAACTCATCCGCAAGGAGGGTGGCTTTGGTGCTTAAGGCGTCAAGGTCACGGGAGCTCACCGTGACTCCATGCGCTTTCAGCGCGAGGACAATCCGCGAAACGCGCGTCAAGTAGTCCGCGACCGGTTCTTGGTCTGGACGGAAAATCGCGCGCAGCTCCGCCTGCAAGCCCTCTGCGGTGCCTGGCACTGAACCTGCTGTCGACGGCGGACCGGACGGTCCCGCCGGGCGGGACCCTGGTGCCGTAGCAGGGACATAGGCAGCACCGGTAGGGACCATGGCCAGCTCCCTAGCCGCGGCGCTGACGTCCACCCGCGGCGGACTGTCGCCTCCAGCGCCCGAGGCCTCAGGGACTAGCTCGGAGTCCTCTTCTTCTTCCTCTTCATCCTCGTCCTCGTCTTCGGCGTCATGGAGGAACTTCATGACTTTCCGCCAGAGAGCCGCCTCTTGCTCTGGCGTAGTGCTGACCCCATCCCGCTTGGACAACGGACGGCTGCCAGTCTCCCTACGCCACTTAAGCCAAGCGACGTAGCTCATCCGCTCGGGATAGGGAACGTCTCCACCCTCGATAGCTTCGAGGAGGGTGACGCCCTCAGCCTGACCTGCAACCTCTGCGGACATTGCCGCAACACAAGGCGAAAAGCCGCGCCTTGGTTAGCAGGCCGCAGGCGTGGCACGCGAAGCGCCGCGCCTTGGTTAACAGGCCGCAAGCGTGGCACACAGTCCACGCGTCCAGGTCACGGACCGCGACAGACAAGCAAAGCAATGCTTGCCCACTCGGGCCGTAGGCACAAGAGCTGTACGTTTCCCAGAACAGCCCCCAATTGTGAAGTCGACCAGCACTGGACTTGCACTAAGCCAATGCAATCACAGCCCGGTCACGCTGTTTTACGACTTCGCGAGTCCAAGCACTTGTGCAGCTACGCCTGAGTGCGTCCGGTCGGACCGCACAGCAACCTAGGAGCTACTGTACGACTCTACCGTGCTCAAAGGCACAAGCTCGGTACTTGAGCCAAAACATTGGCATTGTTACGAATTGCAAAACTACACATGCAAGGGAAAACAACAAGCTGCACTAGCACTAAGCAAGCACTCCATGCATGCTTTGACCTGCTCACAACATACATACATGCATACATACATACAATATACATACAATATACATACAATATGCATACAATATACATACAATATACATACATACATACATACATACATACATACATACATACATACATACATACATACATACATACATACATACATACATACATACATACATACATACATACATGCATACATACATACATACATACACAGACAGACATACAGACAGACATACATACAGAAATACATACATATATATATATATATGTTTACACACAAACTTTGTATATCATCTTATATTTGTATATATATATATATATATATGTATGATATGTACATATATGATACATACATATATACATATATATATATATATATACATATACATATATACATATATATATATATAATCTTATATGTGATCTGATACCTAACACACGCTGCTGAGGCATCTGCGCAGCTCTCTCGAAAGGTATTGCAAAGGCGAGATGTCGACGTCATAGGCCAATCCCCCCGGCCTGGCCAGGAGCAGCAAAAACCACTACAGCTGGCCGGCACGGTCTCTTGTGCAGTCGTCGCCTGTTCCAGATGCGGTCTGGTCTTTCGGGCTAGTGACCGTGAGGCAAACGCTTTGCAAAGCGCGAGATCACGCGAAACCCTAGGAACATTGCACTGCCCGCTGCTCAGCAAAGTGCTTTCACTTTTTGTCTTGAGATCTCGGACGGAAACGGAAAAGAAAGAAGCTGCCCAGGTATCACAAAAGACAACGCGCGCACAGGCGGCGCATTCTGACAGGGAACCCCAAAGCGGGGCCTTGCAGAGTGGTACCGAGTGCTGTCGTCCAGGGCTCTGAGAGCCTCAAGGCCAGGATTTTACGGGATCCCCATAACCACTTTGCAATTTATAACAATAATGTATATATATATATATACATACAGATATATACATGCATATATATATATGTATATATGTAAATATGTATGTTTGTATATATATATGTATATAACAAATCACATAAGAAATCATGATCATGAATGCAAGTATTTAATAGTTATAAGCTCTTGGCAGTCCTTGGCACCGCACCAGGTCCCTGTCACCGCGAAGACGCACGGATGCCCACTGAATCAGAAAGGGCGACTGCAGCACGGCAGCCTGGACTGAGGAGAACATCAGCAGACGGCAGATGTGGGTTTCGGGTTTAGGGTTTAGGGTTTAGGGTCTAGGGTCTAGGGTTAGTCGATTTAAGAAATTAAGCAGAGCGACCATCAGCATCAGCAGAGCAGAACAGGTTACATGTTATGGTAGCATGTTAGTTGTGGTGTAGAGTAGCTTTATAAGACAGAGTCGAAAATAGTGGCAGGCGCGATGAATTTGAGGCCTGAAGAAAACACACTTGGTAAGATGAAGTACATGTAGAACGTGTTGTAGCTCTATCGCCCATGTTCGCATTGAAGCAACTTCAGAACTACGAACTTGGAAGTTGCTAGTTTGGAAACGCGAATGCTTCGAGAAATGGGGCCCGCTAATTTTTGCATCTGCACTTTTTGGCTGCAGTAATCGACTGTGAGGTAGTTTAGACATGGTTCGGGCTTGTGCTTAGGCCTTGATTACTCTTAGCAAGAACATGCCTGACATAGAAAAGTGACCCCATGCAGGACTGTAGTTTAGGCACTGGCAGTTGAGCTCACTTCCCAGGATGTGTAAGCAGCAGTTCAGTAATGCAATTTAGTAAGTTGATTCGGCATGACTTCGTGGCTCGCCTTGGGCGACTAGACTCGACACTAGACACCTTGGGAGACAGCAGAAACGACATCGCATTGAGCTTGGGGGGTTTCGGGTTCCAGGTTCTTCTTCCAGGTTTCGGGTTCAGAGTTCGGTTTCGAGCATGTGATTAGAAACAGGACGTTCCCAACCCCCCCCCCCCCCACCCCAGCCCGAAAACAACGGAGCAGAAGCAACATTTGGAGTAGAAGCAACTTTTCCCCTATGCGACATGCGACCGAGATGAATGACAGGTCGAGGATGGGAGCCGAACCCTGTGATCTCTGGAGCTTTTGGCACTTTTGACACGTGACGAAGATCATGCAACAACCCCTCCCCACGCTTCCAGCGAAAAGCGTTCCACTTCAGTGCTGCACAAGCTAACCACGCTCCTCGACGCACTCGCGATCATCGCAGAGCGCTCCGGCGAACTTCAAGGCTTCGCCATTCCGCTTCAGACTGCGAGCAGGATGCACAAGCGCTACAGAGCCTCTCTCTCTCCGCCTAAACCCTAAGCCCTAAGCCCTAAACCCTAAACCCTCAACCCTAAACCCTAAACCCTAAATGGATTCTGCCGCACAAGCCAAGCCGCAGCTCCAGAACGAAGGCACGGTCTTCTTTGATAGCTGCCGGCATCTGGGCCTCGATGTCAGCCAAGCACTCCACTAAAACCACAGTACCCCAAGGGGGTTAAGGGTTTAGGGTTTAGGGTTTAGGGTTTCGGGTTTAGGGTTGAGGGCTTAGGGTTTAGGGTTTAGGGTTTTGGGAGTACCCCAAGGTCACAGCAGGACGGTCAGGCTCAGTTGTTAGAGCCAAGTTAGAGCCAAGCATCAAGTTCTAATGGATTGCCAGTAACCAGCGCTCGAAGCACGTCTTCATCTGTACATAAGTCCTGGGTGACCACAAGTTGCATCATGCGAGCAAAGCTTCTGAAGCACTCGTGTGGCGTAGCGGCGTAGCATATTCCATCGAGGTGCTTGGGCAAGATCCCCGATGCGGGAGCAGCCGTTCTCAGCACCTCGCAACAGTACGTCCGGCTCCCTCTACACCACCGGCAACAGGAAGAGCAACCGCAACAACAGCAGCAGAAAGAACTAGGCACATCTGGAAGATTGCGGCAAAACAGCTTAGAATTCTCGCGTTCTGAGGACTGCACATGCTATGACGACCTCCTTATCAGAGCGCAGGGCTTCGCCAATCGTGCCTCACTTGCCCAACGACAACGAGCTGCAAGTTATTGCGGCGATATTGGGGCTGATTCATAAATGGCTGATGAGCATTGGAAAATTCGGGCCCTGACCAACAGACACGTTCTTCCCTGGTGATGTTGCAGCCGGGTGGCACAACCAGTTGGACCGGTGCCCTGCAGTCATGTTCCTGCATGAACTCAGAATGAGAAGGAGGACAGGAACATTGCCTCATTTGCTTGGGGATTAGCTTGTCCGCTTCGGCGTGAGAGCTTGCCTTTAACCAATGAGTTGAGAAAAAAAACGATTTTTTAAACTCGCGGAACCCCAGAAGAACCCCCGGCTCGAAGCAGCTCACATGGTCCTGACTGCCAGGAGGACGACCTCACGGTCGGCCTGGACCAACAACTTGAAGCTATACTAAGCCATATTCAGCCACATTAAGCTATATTAAGCTATATTAAGCTATATTAAGCTATATTAAGCTATATTAAGCAATTAAGCTATATTAAGCTATACTAAGCTATATTCAGCTATATTGAGCTATATGACGTGCAATGCGAGTACTGTGAAGGTTGGGTGGCTGACCGTTATTCGGACATGGCGTGACTGGAGCTGAGAACTTGCTCCGCGGCGCCTGTAAAGCCGCCGGCGCATGTAGAAGGCATTCGCCTGCAAAAGCTGGTGGCAAAGCCATACAAGGAAGGAGAAGGCAGGCTCGCATCATGAAAGAGGGGGGGGGGGCTTGGGGGGGAGGGGCCAGGGAGGGGGGAGGGAGGGGGGAGGGGGGGCCTGAGGAGGGGGGGAAAAAGAGCGGGGTAGAAGAGGGGGTAAGGGGGGAACACGCAAAAAATCAAGTCGCCAAGATCCTCATGCCTTGGTTCTGCAGAACCTTCATCGTCAGCCTTTGCTGCTCAAGACATCGGAGCGACTTGCATCAACAGAATGCTTCCTCAGGCACCTGTCAGCCTCTGGTGGGAAGATAAGGACTCCAACAAGCAAGCCGCACGGAACCCAAAACATGCGTGGCTTCAGGACAGCGACTCTCGATGGCTCTTCATTCCTGGCGAGAGATGCCGGTACATCCGGGTGCAGCGAGGGACTACGTCGGTCATGATCTCGCCTCGGGTCGCACATCTGCTGTGGTACACGCCTAAGACCTTGCAGATGGCCTTCCAGAACAAAATTAGCTGCCGGAATCCGGAACCAGCTGGCAATGTTTCACCCTTTGCAGGCTGAGCATCGGTCTTCCCAAAGTTCCAGGCCTATAAAGTCCACCAGTCGGATGTCGAGGGCCAAGGCTTTCATTGCAACCTCCCCTTAGTGCACGTCCAACTCCGAGCTGGCCACCATGCCAACGCAGGGCAGAGCAACATCTTGCAGAGAACAAACTGCGATGCACAGCTCGAATCGTGAGGAAACTTTGAAACCTAAACCCTAAACCCTAAACCCTATGCACTGCGGAGCGTCCTCACAGAATGCACGAAACAATCAGCATCACCCTGCTCACCCTGCTCTGCAAGTTGTCTTGGTACGTGGGTCGCGGATCCCATGTTCACAATGACAACATGCCTTTCACCACCTCCAGCACACCGTCGCACGTGAACTTGCGCATAACGACTTGCACGCCGAGGAAAGACATGTCAGCAGGTAGAAGGATTAAAAAGTAAACAAAACTAAGCTGAGATGCTGTCTCCTCTAAGCTCGTCCGCGGCAAACTTGAAGGCCTGCAGTCACGACATGCAGTACAGCGTACCCGTTGCTTACTTGCCCACAGCTTGCATGGAAAGTTGCAGCTTGCATGGAAAGAATATGGCTTCCGGACACAGCTGCTGGAAGCCAACAAGCAGTAAACAATGAGCGGTTTGATTAGCTTGCCAGCAGCTGCTACTGGTACTCTACTTTATTTTGCCAAACTCGCCTGCGCATTCTGCTCAATCGCGGCAAGAACCACATGGCGATCTGACTTGAGCTCCTGGGCGTAGTTTGGGGTGAAGCACTTAAGCCTCTGAGGCACGGCCCTTGACCTGATTCGATGCGGCATGTCCCCTACAACCGAGCACGTCCACACAAGTCCGGCCTCTGGGGCTTTCCGCAACCGCTTGTAGTCATTGCCTTCACAGGCTAAGCTGCAAGTTACTGCCTGTCTTCATGGCTACATGTCAAACTCAAGGCTACAGTCATTGGAGCAACTCGTTTGGGCGTACCCCGCATTCACTACCTCCCCTATCTCGCACGTACTGTACACACCACACGAACACAGCTCCCTCTTCGACAGCGGGGCAACGCAGTGGCTCTACGAATCCCTTTGACAGCCCGAGCCTGGCTTCAAAGATGAGCGTCGTGGTAAATACAGCTCCCAGCTTAGCCCGGCCTAGCCCAGCTTAGCCCTGTACAAGTAGGCCGCAGCCAAGTTGCTTATCTCGTCCAGCCAGTAGTCCAGGTCATACGACTGGGCAAATAGCTCGGCAGATCTCGCTTCTGGGGTTTTTGGTGTCACAATGCACAAAGCTCTACAAAGGGCCGCTGCCTGTCTCACCAGCAATATCTCGACGGGCTCTGGGGCCTGCAGGCACCGGGCTGCGGACTGAACACCCCATCTCAAGGGACATCAGATGTGCCTCCTATTCTCCGAGTCATGTACATCTAAACGCACATAGATAGATACGCACACACCTGCGAAAGATGTGCACGATTTGAGCAGATGAGTCCTCTGGTGTGAGGATGTCTTTCAGAAGATCCACGTTCCCTGCACCGCTGCGACAATCGTTGTCTGTCAGAAACCCTCCGGGCCGAATCTCCTTTAAGCCAGGGACGGATTAGCTTGCTGCCGTACAAGAGCTTCATTTTGCCTCGGACATTGGGTGGCACGAGGGTGGTGTTTGCTCAAGTCCGATTCAGTGACTAAGGGGTCCTCTGGCTGCTCTGTGCTTCCCGCGCTGTGTGCTCTGCATTTTCGCGTCTGCTGCTAGGGCGAATGCTGCTCTCAACTGAGACACGTCTTCTCTGCGTGCTGGCCCAGGCAGTGCGTAGTGCATGCAAGCGGCTCTGAGGCGTTTTGGCCAGCTGGGCTATTTCAGCCTCTACAGCTGAAATTATTGTTGAGGAAGCTGCGCTCGACTTGGGTAAATGCAAGGCATGCATCTAGCTCAACTAGCATTCTCGGCAGTTCAACCATGGCTTACACAAAGCTGACTTGCCTTCAGGTCTCGACCGAACCAGTCCGGCTGGGAATGTACAGTGCATAGGTGGCCACCGAGTGTGCTCACTGAGATCTCCTCAAAGGTGCACAGCTCTGCATACTGCAGCAAACGAGTACAGCTGAGGTTGGCTGAGTCCAGAGCAAGCGCCATTTGCTTCGAGCAGCATATATGCTCTTGAGCACTCGAAGGCTGCGTGTGCCAGTGCATGGCAGGACGTTCGATTGAAACCACGTCCGCGGCAAGAAGATCATTATCCCGGTATGGAAACACCGTGACACAGCCACATCCCATCATATTCTATTGCATTTTCTATGTTATCCCACTATCACCGAAGTATATGGGGGCATTTAAAAACAAGAGTATTTGTATAAAGACATTCCGTCTGGTGCAGTCTTCTTGCCTGTATCCTGGAGGCGGCTTGGGCTCAGGGGGTAGCGCTGCCTGGCGCCTGCGCCATGGTGTCCGCAGTGCTTCACGTGTGTATGGTAGCCCACTATAAGGGTTTAGGGTTTAGGGTTTAGGGCTTAGGGTGTAGGGTTTAGGGTTTAGGGCTTAGGGCTTAGGGTTTAGGGCGCTTTCTTGGGGGTTGGCTGCTTTATCAAGGAAGAAAAGTGCAAAAGGGCACCACGGGGATACCAAGCCGTATCATGCTGAGTCATGGCACATGCAAAAGGATCTCAGGCACTCAAAACCCTAAACCCTAAACCCTAAACCCTAAACCCTAAACCCTAAACCCTAAACCCTAAACCGGACTGCAAGTACAGAACTTCGCACAAGTCGGTCAACATCGGCTCGAAACTCGGAATTCTCCGCCTCTGCTCCGCTAGTTCGGCCTGTCTGGCACGACTCTCACGAGAAGTCAGACAAGGGGTCTAGGGTTTAGGGTTTAGGGTTTAGGGGTTTAGGGTTTAGGGTTTAGGGGTTAGGGGTTAGGGGTTAGGGGTTAGGGGTTTAGGGTTTAGGGTTTAAGGTTTAGGGTTTAGGGTTCAGGGTATCAAAGCCTTGCAAAGCGTGGCTTCCGCTGCCAAGGTTAGCTTCGCTAGGTTGCACATTCCGGCCTGTCTTCGTTTCAGGTACGCGGGAACCTGCACAACCACAAAGAGCAAGAGCGTTCATGGCACTGACGGCTCTCACATATTCTAGCACCACTGCCGATCAAAACGCGCGACGGAGCTTCGGCCCCAAAGCCATGGCAAGTTGAGCCAAGTGCCACCATGTGATATTATCAATCTTCTTTTTGTCAGTGTTCTTACTATTGTGCTTATGTATCTTTCTATGTATCTATATGTACACATGTCAGACAATATGTTCTATCGAAAAGGTAGAATAAAGATGCGCGTCCCAAAAAAGGCTTCAAGCAGATGCCTTTCCAGCCCTGACGTTCTGCCGCAGCGGGGGAAGCTGCGTGACCTGCGCAGACCCCGAAGCTACCTCCAAAAAGTGGGCTGAGGGCTTAGGGCTTAGGGCTTAGGGCTTAGGGTTTAGGGTTTAGGGTTTAGGGTTTAGGGTTTAGGGTTTAGGGTTTAGGGTTTAGGGTTTAGGGTTTAGTGCAACCACCCCCCGGCGGTTTTCTCTGGCCTCTGGCTTTGGAGGCGCAACCTGCCCGGAAGCTGGATAGAAGGGGAACACCAAAAGGAACCTCCTAGTATGAAGAGAGCGACCCAAGGAGGGTTTAGGGTTTTAGGGTTTTAGGGTTTTAGGGTTTTAGGGTTTTAGGGTTTTAGGGTTTTAGGGTTTTAGGGTTTTAGGGTTTTAGGGTTTTAGGGTTTTAGGGTTTTGGGGTTTTAGGGTTTTAGGGTTTTAGGGCTTTAGGGTTTTTAAGGTTTTAGGGTTTTAGAGCTTTAGGGTTTAGGGTTGGAGGTTTAGGGTTTAGGGAGTTTAGGGTTGAGGAATGGCGCCAAGCTCAACAAGCGTCAGGCCTTGCCCGTTCTTCCCGGACTTGCGGCGACTGGTGGAGCTGGGGTTGGCAATGGTGGCCTTGCAATTTCACATAGGGGCCTGAATAGTTAGAATAGCGTTATGGGGGGGGGGTTACCATCGTATATTTGTAAAGGAACCCAGAAGGGAACTTGAGAAGGGGCTACGAAAGCTAGTCACCGCAGGGGAGATGGGTATCGCTGCTCCAAGCTGCAGCTTCAGTCTCGAATGCATGTTTGAGCAGCTGTTAACAAGCACGATTGAGTCCATGTAGAGACTCAACCGGTTAGTCAGGTAAGATCGAAGACCCCTAAACTCGAAATCTGAAGCCCTAAACTCCTTCAGCCCCCTTGCTTCCCCCGCTGGAACCCCGTGTCGCAAACGAAGTTTAGGTACAGGGACGCTCTGTTCAGTACGACCTCTGCAAAGTACCACAGACCTTCAGAGCATGGTGACTGTGGGGGGCGGGGGAGGACCTTGGGGTGGGGTGGGGGGGGACCTTGTGGGGGGGGGGGGGGGGGACCTGAAGGTGGTAGGGGGGGGGCCCCCCCCCCTACCTTATCCCACACGCAACCACCTTAAAGGAGGGGGGGGGGGGGGCCGGCACCTTATCCTTCGAAAATGCTTCATGGTGAGGTGAGGGGGGGGGGGGCCCCCCCCCCCCCCCACCCCCACCTTAAGTCTTGGGTTTCGGACCTGTTAAGGTGTGGAACCCTTTTTTCCCTGGAAGCTTCTTAACAAGGTGAATACCAGTGCATGGGTAAACGACAACTCCCGCCAGCTCCACAGAGCTAGCTTTCGTGATATTATTAGCAATTCTTCCGACCCCTATACTAAACTCCTGAGCAGCCTTCACACGCAGCTCTGACTCATATGGAATTGCCGAGGAAGAATGTCGAAGTTGCATGTTGTTCTTGAAGGCTGAGCGGGGGACAGCGATGTCTTCTGCGAAGCTGGCGCCTTCGGCGCCTTATTCATGTCGGGGGGAGGGATTCATCTCATGAGTTCGGAATGGTGTGAAATTTGGTTTGCATGGAAAATCTCCGGAATGTTGGGGAAGTTCTTGAAAAGTTGACCATGAGTTTGGAATGGTTCGAAATTTGGTCTGTTTGGAACAAACCCCGCCCCCGAGTGCTGGATGGGCGCGATGGGAGACTTGATAAACGCCCTGGGTGCAACAGCATTGTACATCACACCGTCCCCAAGATTGGCTGGGAAAATCTCATGCAAAGAAGAGATCTTGCTCTAGAGAAGGACCCCCTTCTTAGGTAGACTTTTTTGGTACCCCGAGAAGGGGCACCGTAGTTGAGGGCAATCCCCCACGTTTGGGACCCGATCCTTCATTTTCACACTGACACTTTGAGGCCATGGGAGACTGCTACTTGGTACGGATACTGGGTTGAAAGACCTTGGGGCACCCAAAACCCTAAACCCTAAACCGTACAACCCTAAACCCTAAACCCGACAACCCGAAACCCTAGACCATCCAACCCTATAACTAAACCACTTTTGTTGCTGAGATTCCAAGTTTTTTCAGGGCGTCAGTGCCCCCGACCTAAAGAAACTGCCCGCTCCAGGAGGCTCTGGAAACACCAGCCTGGGTGGCCCTCGGGGGAAGAGAAGTTCTACCCGATATAACTCTTCAAAGGGTACATATACTTATCTACTTGTTCTGCCCAAAATGTGTATGTACATCTACAATGGAAAATAACCTAATATCACATATCGTAGTATATAATATATATTATACATACATACATACATACATACATACATACATACATACATACATACATACATACATACATACATACATACATACATACATACATACATACATACAACATACATACATACATACATACATACATACATACATACATACATACATACATACATACATACATACATACATACATACATACATACATACATACATACATACATACATATATATATATATATATATATATATCAGTGTATATATGTATATACGGGGAGATCTAGTACAAAACACTGAAGTATGACATATCTACGGGGATATAACATGCCTAAGTCCCTCATGCCCAAGAACCAGCAGGATAAACATGGCGAAGAATTGCTTGAGGAACTTCAAGGGAAATCCTCTACTCGAAGTTCAAGCCCAAGGTCGGCACTGCACGCGCAGAATGCGCAGATACCGGAATCTGCTCCGGCGCACGGTCCAGTGGATGGACTTTAGCCGGTTCCTGGGCCACGAAGTACTTGTAAGCAACGGCGCCACGAGGCGACAGGACAGGGAAGCTCATGGGTAGGCCACCGTGCCTTCGCCCGCGCAAGCAAGATCTCCCTCAGATTTGGCATCGACTAAGGTCCTGCAGGGCCTAAACCCTAAACCCTAAACCCTAAACCCTAAACCCTAAACCCTAAACCCTAAAACCCTAAACCCTAAACCCTAAAACCCTAAACCCTAAACCCTAAACCCTGTAGGCTTCTGCAGCCTGGGCATGACACGCGGATGCCGGCATCGTCTTGGACGTGGGCTCTCTACTTTGTGCGTAGATATTGCCGATAAGATTGTTCGTAAAACTCATAAGAATCTTAAGAAAAACTCTTCATATCCTTCGTATTCAGAGATAAGAATCTTAAGAACCTTCTTCATATCCTTCGTATTCAGAATGTTCATTTATATTGCTATAAGGAGTTACGCAGCATGGCTCGTCTGTTTTGACAGGTCCTTCCAAGCTGCGGCATGGGTGGGCACATGAGCGTGGGGGCGTCAAAGGCGCCATGGCACACGGAACGGGCTGAGATATTGTTAGTGCTATTGGTAAGAATATTAAGAGTTCTTTTCATATTCTTCGGAATCATAAGATTGTATAATCTTGCTAAAGAGCTATGTATGCGACTTGTCACAGAATGGCTTGGGTCCGCCAAGTCGTACACAGCTACGATGTATGCTTGAAACCAGGCTCACCAGATTCAGAGAATGCCAGATGCTAGCCTCGTCTTTGCATTACACACATCTCCCCTGCGAGCCATCCAGAACAGGAAGAGGAGCTGCACAACAAAGCAGGGCGACACCAGTGCGACAGAGTCTACATGCCGTCGTTGCGAGCGTGGATGTCCATTTTGGGGGGGTCCCGGCGGGAATGAGTTGGTGAAAAGCAATGTTGTTGCACACTTCTGAGCATGGACAGGCATTGGAGTTTATGTATTGCCAGTATTTCACCCATGAAGCTGGAATTCTGTGAGCAGCCCTCATACCAATGCCACCTAGAGTATGCTCAGTAAAAGATCGACAGTGCTGCTCTGCCTTGCTCTGCACTCGGATCAGTATCCTTCCATTAGCATGCCTTTCCATGCCCTTCTTTGAAAGGCTCCGGGGCAGCTTGAAAGGGGATACCGCTTGCCAGGGAGCTTGCCAGAAAGAGTGTAAAAGAGCTTAGACACTGGCTTACACTTTCAGCGGCGATCATTCGGACCTTTTAGGCCGTCTGATACGTCGAGCTCAGCCATCCGCTCGTCCAGATGCAGCGCGCAATGAAATGGATTCGCGTCGGCCCCCCGCCGAGGGGCGGGCCGCTGCTGAAGCCCTCCTACCTCCGGAACTCAGGACGTGCGCGGCGCTGCACCGAGCGACATGTGACTTTGGTTTTCCTGGGTCTGTGATGTGTAGCACACTACGGCGCGCTAGAGCATGCACAATCAGGTACTGGAGCGCAGTTTGCTTACAAAGCACGGCCTGAGAAGGTGCGGGTGCTGAGTAGTGAAGGGGAGCTGAATAACAGAAATACTGGCAAACATAGGTACAAAAATCGTGCTTCATGCGTTCACAATATCACTCACTCCTTCCATCTCATATTGCAGCAAAATTACCCTTTTCGTAGTGTTTGTAATTGTAATTTGCTTTGTGCCCGCGAGTGAACATAGCAATACTAATAGTGTGGTCCTAAGCGTCTTTTCATGGGACCGCTACTAAAATTATCACGAGTTTACGATGTGGATTTTTCCGCGGCATAACAGAATTGTTAAGAGCCGAGGGTGGGTTCCTTGTCAAGAGAGCTCCTGTCACGTAGATGGCACGGTTTCTCTGTTGGGTTTTTAGTGGCTTGAAGACTCAGAGGTTCTTAGTTGCTTGGAAACAGAGGTTGGGTCTCAACGCGCGCACAGCAGTGCAAGCAACCATGAACTACCAGCATGACTCATGGGCATACGTATCCGTAACATGTATGTGGGTTACAAAAGATACATGTTTATATATATATATATACATATACATATATATATATATACACTATATATATATACATAGATATACATATATATATATATATATATATATATATATATATATGCGTGTATACATAGTGGTTATATATAGTGATTTTTATATTCTGACAATGGCTGCATCTGCTCACCGATGGCTGCGCAGGACTGCGCAGGATGCCAAAAAGCAGCAGCAGTTGATGCTGCCGCCCGCTGTATGAGAACCCGTCTTATGCAGACAGCATTGCCCGTTCCGCAAAAGCACAGAGCTGCGGGTTAACAAGTGGTCCAAGCTGCCGTCTTAGAAACATACCCCAAGCGTGGCAACGCGGGCCATGCCGTCGGATCGTCGCTGGGAAACGAGCCCAAAAGCATCCCAACGCATCTGCACTTCTAGCGGGGGTCCTGTGGCAAGCCTCCGGAGAATATCACGATGCTATGGATCTGCAAAAGACCGGAAGGGCAGGGGGGAAATCGTCGTCTGCCCTGGTGAAGGCGAGATATACAGGAGATCGGCATAAAGGTGAACATGAATGGCTGTAATGGTTCATATTGGTTCAGATTCTTCGGATGGCGTTAGCAGCTAGCAATGAGCTCTCAGCAGATTTTTTGCAGTCAGCATTATGTCCAGCATTTCATGGCTTGTTCCAAGAGGTTGTGAAGGTCATGAGGGACCTGATCTCAGCGGCTTGCGGAAAGAATCCCCGCCTCCGCGAAGGTGAGTTAACCGAGTGAGACGGCCCAAGTTCCAGAGTCTCTGACAGCACATCTACCAGCAGAGCACTGTGGAGCACACAGGCAGTTGGCTGACAACATTACGGAAGCCTCTTTCCAGCAAGAACTGGCACCGCGGATGTAGCAGCGCAGGTTACCGTGGTATCTGGACAGCACATTGCCCACCAGGACCTTTTGCAATGGGGACGATCCGTGCGCGGTCTGCATCGAAGGGAGCCGATGAAAAAGTGAAACCAAGATATTGAGCATCAACTTCCTGAGCTCCCAGAATGGGCGCAGGAAGTCGGACACAAGCCTCTACAAGATCTCTACAGGTTCGGTCCGACCTACAAGGAGGACAAGTATCCCATGCTCCCCTTAGAACCTCATTTAACTAATATTTTTTCAATCCTCTCTTGGGTTTTACGTAAACAAAAATATAAAAGAACTCCCAAGGGGGATATAGGTATTGAGTAACCATGCCACTCGATCCTTCCAAGACCCCAAGCTAGATCCGGACACATCGAACCGGGCCTCATGTTTCATTGGCGGGCCCCGAAGCTGCTGCTTTCACACAAACCTTGCTACAGCAGCTGCACCGCAGAGGAAGCGCGACAAGCGCAACAGCATGAATGGCAGAGTCGCAGCCTGCTATGACAGCAGCATGCTTGTTAAAGGCTCGTGCTTGGCATCCTGCGAAACTACTACACAGCTCAACCTACGTTGCAGCCGTTCCGACCGTCCATCGAGATGACTAAGGCGGTGTTCACAGACGAAGCTAGGCTAAGATAACCATTAAATACCATTATAAGCGGCGATGAGACCTTGTAGCTTGCAACGTCAGAGCGGCCATCAGTGGCGCACAGCCCGCATGGAGGACACCGGCAGCCCCGCTGGCCTTCGAGAGGGAGATGAGGTGAGCTAGCACTATACACGCATATATATATATACATAGATATATATATATGTATATGTATATATATATATGTATATGTATATATATATATATATATAGAGTGTCACAATCCTCACACATGAGGTTGCAAGACTTCGCCGTCTCAAATTGCGTCATGATTGCTTCTTTTTCTCCTTATCGATTGAGTCCCAGAAAAATGGCACCAGCCCTGTGTTTCATACAACTGTGGTATTGGAAGGGGAGACTGGACACAATATCAGAATGAATGGTGTCGTACAGAAACAACCTTCAAGCTTGAATCCTCAAGTGCCACGTAATAATAATCATCATCATAATAGTAATAATAATCATCATCATAATAGTAATAATAATAATAATAGTAATAATAATAGTAATAATCATAGTAATAGTAATAGTAATAATAATAGTAATAATAATAGTAATAATAATAGTAATAATAATAATAGTAAATAATAATAGTAATAATAATAGTAATAATAATAGTAATAATAATAGTAATAATAATAGTAATAATAAGCGTAATCATAATAATGATTGTAATAGTAAGAATACTAAGAATAGCAATAATAATAGTGCAGCTCTGCCAGCCTGCTGATTTGTGTGAAGCCGTGGAAGGCCACCGCCTGGCTCGGAGCGAGACGACCTTCTCTTGTTTTGGGATGTCGCCCCCCTTATACTAACAGTCCTAAATAGGGATTGTAATAGGGGCTACTAGAATCCCTATTAAGGACTGTAAAGAGATTCTAGTAGGGGGTACTATAATCCCTATTCGGACTGTTAGTAAAAAGGGGGAACACCCGGAAAGCAGCGCACCTGGACGGGAGCTGCGCGATATCCCTGAGAAGCAGGAGAAGCATGAGCTCCGTGAGGGACGGCGTGAGGAACGTGTCCTCCGCACTTGGCAAGGAAGCCCCTATACTACCCGCAAACCCATAAACGCTTGGCAGGGCCTTCATTTAACAAAAAAGGTGCAGGCCGTGAAGAAAAGCAAAAAGCTCCGGTTGCGAAGGAAAGCAGGTGCCCTGCCTGGTGTCAGTATCTGAGTCCGCATCGGTGCCTTGGCTTGTGAACATACGATCATCGCATAAGCTGCGCTTCTCACCTCGTGACCTAGCTAGTGTAGGAATAGCGTCATAGCACCACATAATCAACTCATCATCACTTCGTCATGCTATCATACAACCATACAAACATAAAATCGTTAAATCACAGGATCACATGGTCATACAACCATATAGCCATATAGTCATATTTGTCATACAGTCAAATATTCATGCAACAATAAAATGCTATAACCAGAAAACCATACCGTGATATAGTCATAAAACTATATAGTCAAACCATCATATTCTCATGTAATCATGTCATCATACAACCAAGTTTCATACAATCATATAAATCATACGATCATATAAACCATAAAACCATACATATAGATATATATATATATATATATTATAATCATACAAATCATAAACCCGCAAAAATCATGTAACCATATAAATCATAAAACCACATAAATCAAATAATCATATAGATCATACAACCAGATAGATCCTGAAACCATATAAGTCATATAACCATATAAATCATAAAGGCATATAAATCACATCATTCATTATATAAATCATACAACCATGTAAATCATAAAAGCAATTAAATCATACAACCATGTAAATCATACAACCATATAAATCATAAACCCATATAATTCATATAACCATATAAATCAAGTAATCGTGGGTCCCGCACCACCGGGCTTGGCCGCAATACTGCAGCCGATGTGTGGGCGATCGGCGCCTGGTCCAGCTTGCAACCAATGCAGACTCATAGAGTTTAGGGTTTAGGTTTAGGGTTTAGGGTTTAGGGTTTAGGGTTTAGGGTTTAGGGGATATTCGCAGGGTTTCGGCTCAAGCCTACTGACGCTCACAATCTGAGGTCCGCCACCATTGCCGGTCTCGTCTGGTACCTCATCAAAAGCGCAGCAGTTGTGAGTACGAAAGACGGGAGCACGGGCACTAGACATGGCTCTCCACAGCGCCACAATGTATCCAAAAAGCGTGACGTTCATGCGCAGGCAAAAGTTTTAGTAGGAACCTTGGCACTGTACATTGCTGGAGAAGCCTAGGTCCTCAGCGACCCTGCTGTGTGGGGATTGCTATGTCAGTCTCCATCTCCCCCTTGCAGAGTCCGCCAGCTCAAGGCTCGAGGCGCACGTGACCACCGTCCGAGCACTGGCGACCAGATGCTCCTCACCTGCCAGCACAGTGCTGCACAGTGCTGAGACGTGGGGAAACTGCCAAACATGTTTCGTAAGTTTCCTCTGCCCAAACATGACATGAACGTCAGACGCCAGCGGCCGTCGGACCCGGCACTGCAAAGGTTTTGCTTCGGTTTTCTTACCTTGTTCTCGGCGTCCGGGAGCGTCGGGGTCTTTGGATTGCGAGTGGCTCCTGTAGACACATCTCGCCGACACCAAATACATGACTGGAGGAATGTGGTGTCCTTCTCATGGCACCATCTGCGTATTCAGGTCCTGAGCTTCAGGCGCGAGGGCTTAGGATTTAGGGTTGCGCCTGCTATGCGCGGTAGCAGGCCGGAGCAACCCGGTCCCTCCTTATGGGGAGGGTTCTCAATGGGGAATTACTAGGTGTCATGCCCCAGCTTCCCAGGAAGCCTTGGGGCAAAGTGCCGGTGGACTTCGGGGTTTAAGAGCAGCCTGAGACAATTTGGGGGGGCCCAGTGAGTCCCTGGTTTGGGTTCCCTGGATAAAAGGAGCTGCAGGATGACGGGTACCTGACCAGAATTTAGAGCGGCAAGTTGAACGCATGGTTTTTGACCCGAAAGAGGGAGAATGGCTGCCACATTGGGCAGCAGGGGGTAGGGTGACACTTTAGCCCTACAACAGCGCTCACGCGATCTTCGCCGGCGCCGTTTTCGGCCTCGAAACCAGGCCCTGGCGGCGGATGTGACCCTCGACCCACCTCAACAGTCAAGCCGAAGGAGACAGAAAGCAAACAGACGACAGAAGACAGGCCCTACCAGCCCTACCATGCAGGATCGTACAACTCGACCTGTAGCCTTCTCTGATTTGTGCAGAGTGGCTTGTCGAACTTCGCAACAGGCCTTTCCAGCTCGCGTCGGTGGCGGCGCATGATCTCTCTCTCCTTGCAATCAAAGCGTTCGTCGGCATTCCTCTAGACCCGCCACAAGCTGTAAAAGGGCCAACCCTAGAAGCAAGCTTCCCGAGCCTTGAGCCTCATGAGCCGTCTCGCGCCACTACCCACACTTACTGCTGGCACCAAGCGGCATCCTCCACATAGGCGTCTGGCTCCTGGCCAAGCAGCTCTAGGACTCTTGACTGGGCTGATCCCTCAGGAGCAATGATCGGGTCGAGGGGTCAGGTTTAAGGGTTCAGGGTTCAGGGTTTAGGGTTTAGGGTTTAGGGTTTAGGGTTTAGGGTTTAGGGTTTAGGGTTTGGGGAGGTTTAGGGGTGAGTTGAATGAGAATGTGCTGCTGGCCTTCTTTTCAAGTTGCACTTCGTCGACCTTGTCCTCGAAGCCACCCGACCTCCCTCGCTTCAGCCTCCTCTTCGAAAAGCCTTGCCCGTGCCTGGGCACATACAATGACACTCCGGGAGAACACTGTGAGAACTAGCTTTTCGGCATTGCCCATGAACCTGCACCACAAGGCAAGACTTACCCTAGGAAATAAGCCACAATTAGCATCTCAAAGTAGCCCTAGCACTCGCATCCCTTCTCAAGCGCTTCGCAAGGCGCCGGATCTCAGAAGCCATGTTGGATAGCAGACGGTTGGCCTTGGCCCTGCGCTCCTCCAGCTGCGGAAAAGCACGAAGAGCTGCCGCGAAAGAGGCGCGCAAAGTTAAACTCTTGGAAGTCTTGACACGCCCTGTCAACGAGATTCCTCGGCTTTGTGCTTCACTTCATGCCTGACGGCACGGCAGAATCTGCTTGATGCATGATCTTGCACCGGGTGCTGGGCAAGGCCACAAGTCAAGCTGGCTTGCCTCAGGACGCCAAAGCGTATCATAGCATCGGCGAACCTTCGCAAAGGAGTGGGGCCAGCTTGCGAAACTGCAAGGCGTTGACGAGCAGAGTTGTTGGGTTGAGTATTGCAGCTATGTGTACGTTTCAAGCACTTCAGAAAGGCACTCTCCGAATTCCAAATAAAGCGAGAGAGAGAGAGAGGACGCAAAGAAGTTGTTTGTACATAGCTGAGCAGTTGCTTCATGCATGCTGCTGGCAGGACAGTGTTCACATTAGTTTGCCGAGGCTCCCTGGATGAAGGTCGCTTGTGAGCTGCACTGCATCTGTTCCACGTCTTTCAAGATCCAGCCTCTTGGTAGAGAACGGGGGGGCTCAGGGGGCGGATGTCACTTCCGCAGGCGAGTTTTTGCTCTTCAAGAACTTTCCATGGATAGTTTGGCAGTGGTCGCGTTCGACATATCGGGGCATGTCCGGGCACCCGCAGCACTGTCGCGAGCGATGAAAGGATCTTCAATGCTTCGTTGTTTGGAACACGAGGCACAGCAAGTCCCAGCCGTTGGGCAAGGAGCTCATCAGCTGCTTGATCATCTATCGTTACAGCTGCTCGCAGCTGGTGTGCCCGGTGCCTGAGCAGGACTTTGTGGCAGCGAACATGCCATGAAAGGTACATTCACGTAGTTGGTCCATTCGGGCAACACAGTACGCCAGCTTTGGGGCACATGTCGGCTTCCCTAGCTGAATAATTGGCTAGTTGCTCTGCGACGTAGAAACGGTCGGCCTCCTCCTCAGTATCTCTGCTCGTACAATCGCCATCAAGCACCCACGCGCTCGAAGTAGTTCGAATATGTCTGCAGCCCTCTCTCTATACCTGGACCGAGCACAACCCGCTAAGTAGAAAGCTCACAACAGGAGTTGGAGCCACTTTTCGATCGGGCCATGGCATTAAGGCAATGTATGAACCTTAAGTCAGAATCTACCAATACAACAGCTCCGTCAAGCATTCCTACAAAAAACGGATTGCTAACCAGCATCTGCTTTGAGTAGCTGCGTCAAGTCGTCTTTGGACATGACACAGCCCGGAATCCTGGATTGGAACAGCGACCGAGGCAGACAGAAAGAGCACAAGGGGTTGCGTATGGGAATATCGAAGAAGTCACGACCACGCATTCAGCACGCCAAGGACGAAGAATCTGCATAGCCCGGCAACAAGCGACTCTCCGAAGTTCGGAAACGTCTTCGGCATCCAAGGTGCTTCCGCTCGGTCTGCTTGTTCTGGCTCCTGTGACATACTGACTTTGCCAAATGTGAGCATAGACACAGCAGGGGCCGACCAGAGGAAGGCGGCACAAAGCACGAAGCCCGCAGAAGCCAAGCTGAAGATGACCGAATGATGATCCTGGCCCTGATGAAAGCATCAACTACCAAGCATGCAAGTGCAGCATCATCCCTAAACCCTAAACCCTAAACCCTAAACCCTAAACCCCAAACCCTAAACCCACGTGGAGTATTTAGAGCATCCCTTCCACGCCTGACCCAGGACATCTTCGAGGCCAACTGCGGCTTCTGGAAGGTGCCAAGGAGGGCCTGGGGGCCATGCAAAGACTTCAGCAAGAGAAGTTAGGGTTTAGGGCTTAGGGTTGTTTAGGGTTGTTTAGGGTTGTTTAGGGTTGTTTAGGGTTGTTTAGGGTTTAGGGTTTAGGGGGCTCCTCTCATCTTCTCCTCCTGGGTCTCCCAAATTTCTCAGGATTCCCAGAATTCGCCTCGGCTTCCTGCCCAGAAGTGTTTGGAACAGACCCGGATCCGGTCTCCTTCCCCCTAACCCAACCCTTTCCCCCCCATGCCAAATTTTGTGACGCTGAACCTCCCCCCCCCCCCCCCCACTTGACCTTTTTTTGGGAAATTTTCTAGGACCCCCCTCTGGGACCCCGGTCTGGGACCCCCCTTTAAAAAAAAACCTGGGACCCCGGACCCCCTCCTGGGAGTCCTTCCCTGGACCTCCCCTTCCTTTTTTGAGGCCCTCTTTCCTTCTTTCCTGCGGGCCGGCCCGGCTGCCGAGGCGGCGCGCGCAAGCGTTTACAATTTGCCAGAATTTGCAGGATTCCCAGGATTCCCAGGATATTCAGGATTTTCAGGATTGTCAGGATTCCCACCCCAGCCTGGAGCTTGGCCGCCATCTTGCCACTCCGCCGCTGCGTCTCCAGAAAGGCCCGGGTGCTCGATGGCCTCTCTGCCGTTGTGTGGAGACGGGTTGAGGGTTTAGGGTTTAGGGTTTAGGGTTTAGGGTTTAGGGTTTAGGGTTTAGGGTTTAGGGTTTAGGGGTGTGGAGAGCCATGCAAGGACCTCCCCGTCTCCCGGACACTGATGACGGTGCAAACAAGCGTCTCATTCGCCAGATCCGCAACGGTGGGTCCTTACTGTTGCCGGGATCACTACACCAGGTGGCTGCTGGCAGGCCTTGCACCCTTATCAAGTGGGCACTTCAGATCCGCGCGCAACTCTCACCAAATGGGGGGGGAACACCATTGCCAGCAGAAGGAAGCACCGCTTTGTCACGAACATTTCCGCAGCTGAATGCCGCTTCGAGGCGCACCACTGCATCTACCTGTATGCACGAGCAGTCTCTATTCCATCGCAAGGGCTTGCTACGAGCCTTCTGCAGACGAGGGGCGTTTCCTTTCGAAGGCTGGCGCCTCTTTGGTTTTGCTGAGGAAGGGCGCGGGAGCAGCGACACTGAGCCTCACCGGTTGGCAGTTGGAGACTGGGAGCCACTACCACATGATGACCCACATGCTTGACACATTGGACGATTGTCCGAGCTGTCGAGCTCCTTCATGGGGGTTGTTCTAAATGAGGGCCCCTCGTGGGAACCTTCGGGGTGCTTTTGGGGGATCCTTTGCGAGGCATTGGTATCTCAAGTCTTTCTCTAGAAGAAACTCTCAAGTCTCTGCAGCCACGAAGCTGAAGCCGGCGGAGTTGGACCACATGTTCGGCATGTTTCCTGGAGACGGAAGTACTACGCAAACCTTTTTATGTGACTATCTGAATATATTACTGTACTAGATTACTATATTGTCAAATAAGTATAGTATTATACTAACATTCTACTATATGATAATATTAGTCTCCCGAAGTCCACGGATCCGGACATCTCAGCGTCTCTTGTTGCCGGCAAGCCACCGCCCAAAGAGATACCAAGCCGTTTAGACACATCGCAGGCGAAGCACTGGCATGTTGTTTCGTGCAGGCGATCTAGGTTGCTTCATGCTTCGGCGAGAGGAGGTTCAGTGGCGGTGACACCTGCAACGGTGCCTAATGGAGCCAATCTGTGGTTTTCAGCTAGCGTTTCATGGCTGCAGCCATCCAAGGTGGGAAAGCATGGCCGAAAACGCATCTCGAGCCAACGTGCCAAGCACAACATGCCACTTCCAACAACGGCCCAGCACTGCCCAGGCTCTGTGCACCAGAGAAGGTGAGAGAAGTCAAGAGCTGTTCCTAAGGCGGCCACGTGGTGGTGCAACAGTTCGAGCTCCACCACAGCCACAGCGAGGTGCCTCGAAGAGACCACTTCTCTGAATCTGAAGGGACACGAAAGCCCAAAACAAACACTCCCGGACCCCACAGCCGAATCTGGCCACGATGCAAGTAGGGCTTAGGCTGTTGGGTTTAGGGTTTGAAGGTTCAGGGTACGTAACCCTAAACCCTAAACCCTAAACCCAAACCCTAACCCTGAACCCTAGACCCTAAACCTGGACACAGTGGGCACAGAGGGCACATGAGGGCACACCTCCAGCCACGGATGCAAGACCGGCGCAACAGGAACTGGAGGGCTGGAGACGGCCTCAGCCATTCGCACATCGGGCCTAAATCCGATAAACTCTCCATCAGCTCCACTAAACCACGTGAAGCCCATAAAGCCGATAAACACCCTGAAACCCATACCCTGAACCCTAAACCCTAAACCATAAACAACGAACCCTACAGCCCCAAACCCCATAAGCCCCTCAAACCGCTGAATTGCCATGGTCTCCCTGCTTGCCGTCTTGGGCCGGGGTCAAACTCAGATGTGCATTGCTTGGGATGTTCCCCCTTATACCAACAGTCCTTAGTAGGGATTATCGTACCCCCTGTTTGAATCCCCAATAGAATCCCTATTCAGGAACACCAAACCCTAAACCCTAAACCCTTAACTCTAAACCCCTAACCCTAAACCCTAAACCCTAAACCCCATTAAGGACAGTTCCAAAAAGAGGGGGAACATCCCAATGTGAATTGCACCTTCCTGCGGCCGAAGGAGCGCAAAGGCGCTCCTTGGGCGCCTCGAACAGCTTTTGAGGTTTAGGGTTTAGGGTTTGGGGTTTGGGGTTTGGGGTTTAGGGTTTAGGGTTTAGGGTGTAGGGTTTGGGGTTTAGGGTTTGGGGTTTAGGGTTTAGGGTTTGGGGTTTGGGGTTTGGGGTTTAGGGGTTTAGGGGTTTAGGGGTTTAGGGGGTTTGGGGTTTGGGGTTTAGGGATTGGGGTTTAGGGTTTGGGGTTTGGGGTTTGGGGTTTGGGGTTTAGGGTTTAGGCTTTGGGGTTTGGGGTTTGGGGTTTAGGGATTGGGGTTTAGGGTTTGGGGTTTGGGGTTTGGGGTTTGGGGTTTGGGGTTTGGGGTTTGGGGTTTGGGGTTTGGGGTTTGGGGTTTGGGGTTAGGGTCGCGCAACTCGTGTGGGGCCAGTTCTCTACATTGTAATCCTTTTCGGGGTGCTCCAAATGTAGGTCGTACAGTAAGAACCCCAAACAGGGGGGCTGCCGGATCAATTAAGGGATCAAAAAATCAAAGCCGCCCGGAATCAAAATCAAGATGAAAGAGGATCAAGAAAACTTGTCGCTCGCCTAGGCCCCTTGCGCATTTCCTGGTGGCGTTTGCGAGTGGAAAGCTGCTCTCCGCCTAGGTCCCGTGCACTTTTCGAGGCTTGCATCGCTCCGAGTCCTGATAATGCGGCAGGCGCGTGGATTCTTACGTTTTGGGCCGTTGGATGGTTTCGTTTATTGCGCCCACTCTAGGAATTTGCAGTTCGCGACGTTGGAAATCGCGCTCCCGCCTAGGCGCCGTGCGCATCGACGTCGCCATCCTCCGAACTGTCGCTTTTGCACGTCGGGGTTCGCGAAATGCGAAAATGTCGTCGATTTTGGCGCAGACCCCCCATTTGCAAACACAATGCTCGCATGATGCGTATGGAAGGGATTCATATGTTGTTGAAGCAAGCTTGCACGGCTTCACAAAAGCGCGGGAGGTTGGGGTGGGTGGCGCTGCAAACACAATGCTGGCATGATGGGTTTGGAAAGGATTCACATGGAGTTGCAAGCAAGCCTCTCGATTTTGGTGCTGTTTTTGATTCTGATGTATTCGTTGTTGATCCTTCTATTTGTTTGACCCTTTCTATTCCTATCCCAAATGGGGGGGGGGGGGGTTATGACGACTCAGAGAGAACACACCCCACCCGCCCCACCCCAGCAGCAAACTACGGCGTAAAACTCCGTCTGGACTGGCCTCGACCTGCAGCCGGCATTGCGACACTGATGCAGGGAGCCTCGGCATGAAAAGCATGGGGGGCTTTGAGGCTTTCTAGGGGGTTTTATGGCTCTTATAGGGCTTCTTGGGGCTTTGATGGGGTTTGTGGGGTTTTATAGGGTTTATGGGGCATTAGGGTTGATATAGGGTTATGGCGTTTATGAGGGTTAAAGAGTCTATAGGTTTTATGGGGTTGATTTAGGGTTTCTGGGGCTTTGAAAGGGTGATACAGGGCTTACGGGGTTTGTAGCCCCAAAGAACTACCACATACAGCTGTTCATGAACCCAAGGAATTGACCTATTCGAGGCCCATTCTCATTTTTGCTGAGCACATTTGTTGTAGAAAACAAACTGATCCCCTGGCCTGTGGGTCGAACGAGCCACCGTGAAGCTTAAATATGTGGCACCATGGACAAGTGTTAGACAATGAAAACCTTCTAGAGACACCGAAAAACAAGGTGCTTAAAATTGATAATCACAGCGGACCGCTAGACGATGAATAATGAATGTGCTAGTCGCAATCATAAAGCCAGATTTTGTTGCATCAACAAGTTGATGCTAGAATTACATTGACAACTTGTTGCTATACCCTAAACCCTAAACCCTAAACCCTAAACCCTAAACCCCAAACCCTAAACCCTTGTCCCAGGAACGTCAGCGACCACGCGTGACCTGCAGCCGGCTGCTGCGTCAAGAAGTGGTGCACCTCCAGCCTGCAGGGGCAGGGGTTTGATCAAACAAAAGGAGCCCATCTGGGTGCCCTCATAGCGGTTTAGGGTTTAGGGTTTAGGGTTTAGGGTTTAGGGTTTAGGGTTTAGGGTTTAGGGTTTAGGGTCTGGGGTTTAGGGTTTGGGGTTTAGGGTTTAGGGTTTTAGGGCCCATATGCCTGATGTCTTTCTTCGACCAAAACAAGGAAGCCCCGTTGCCTCTGCTGTAGCCGCTGTGGCGAGAAGACTGGAGGTCGTACTGCCTCCCCTGCCTCAGTCTTCTTGTGGTCTTTGGAACATAGCCGCTTCTCAGACCCTTTTGAACCCATGAAGGAAGGCACCGAGCTCCGGCCAGCTTCAGTCTGACGCTAAGTAGACGAAGCTTACCTGCTCAGATTCACGCCCTCTGTGCGTCATCCGATGTAGTCGAAACCTGAAGCACAGGGTAGTTGGGGAATCGTCCCCTGCATGTCGCGCCCGTGATCTCTCGAAACCCATGGATCAATTCATGACACCTGCCGTCCATCCAACAGGATCCGCGAGTCAGCCAGCCAAGCTGGCTTCTGAAGCGCCTGCACATGCATAGGCATGCTCGAGCTGAGCTGCGGAGAGACAGGTAAACAACCGAACAGGCAGAAGCTGATCCGAGAGGGATCTTCATGACTGGACCAGGCGGACCCCGGTAACACCCACCAATATTTCAGAGAAACCCCAGCTGCAAGTCGCTCGTGCTTCACCCAAAAAACTGCTTCCAAGACCTCGTGGTCGTCCTCGCCAAGCTCCTGGCAGAAAGGACAAGCAGACGCTGCAACAAAATGGCAGCTAGCAAGGAAAATAGGGGGGAGCGACGTGGAGAAACCTCTTCAAGACCCAAATGACTGCTATGATGGTTGTGTTGGAACTGCTCCGATGGTTTGGTTGGAGGCTTGGACCTCGGATTCCTCCTCCCAACAACTCGAGAATGCGCTCCTCGTGTGCCGGGTCCCCTGCAGAGGGCCTCAGGACGGCACAGTGCCAAAAGCTCCGAAAAGCCAAATGCCGAGCTTGCCATGGCCATGATCGGGCAAAACCCAGGACACAGCATGACAGCATGGGCGTTCTTCGAACTTAGGGTCCCTTTGTACGAGGCGTCTTAGTCACGAAACCCATGATACAGCAATAAGGTGCCCATAGACAGTCGCCAAGTGACGGCCCCCTTGCTGTGGAAGCAGCAGAACCCCCCTCAGGCAGCTGAAACTGAAGCATCCGGCTCCTGCTCAGCTAAGGCCAGTTGCAAGACGAGCTTACAAGCTACGTGACTCACACCAATCAGCCCTATCAGACCCTATCACTTCGCTACGGACAAACAAGGCGGGTGCAAGTAGCTAGTCAACGCACGGCTTCAACAAGACATTTCTCGATGAACCCTCGGCTCCCATGCGATGTCTCTCGGCTGTCGTTGTGAGGAGATGGTGGCGCAGAGCCGCCTGACCGTAGAACAAGGGGGTCAACGGCTTGGGGCTTGGGTGTTAGGGCCTGTTAGGGGGTTTTGGCGCTTCAGGGCTAAACAACCCTACTGCCAACACCCTAAACTCCGTCTAATGAGGCTGTTTGTTGCCCACAGCCGGCAATGCTCATGACGGTCACCGCATCTCCCGGTTGCTGCAGGCACTTCCCACAAGACCTCACTTCCAACTCTATCCAGAAAGTGATACAAAGCACAGACGCCTTCCCCTGGGTGGGTCCAGAAGCCCCTGCTGGGACCTAGGGGCCGCTGACTTCACTACGCGCTTGATTCGACCCACCCGGCCTTCCAAGGCCATCCTGGTCTCGTCGGACCCCTCTTGTACAGCGGGCAGCAAGCCTTTGTGACGGACTGGACATCTGCAAAGGTTAAGTTGAGTTGAAACCCCCAAGCCCTCCTTGCCCTAAACCCTAGGAGGGGCAGGACAAGATCCCCTAGAGGATGGTGAGAGAAAGACTCGCCGAGCCACCTGACGAGCTTTCTGAAAGCAATGCAAGGGAGCGCTCCGAACGGGAGATGGAGATAACTTCTGCCGACCTGTCATGGTCATCATTCTCCAAAGCACGCGACTGCCTCCTAGACTCTACTAAGGGGGATGCGGAAGGAGGCTCACCAGCACAGCAGCTGCGAAAAAGCTCTGCCTATCGGACGTGATCGCCAACGATGGCGCGCTGCCAGCATGGCGGTCCTGGCGGGCAGCTGCGAAACCAGGAGCCACAACCGCCATTTCATGCGCGGCCCGAAGCATCTCGACGCGTCACGTAGGCACGTCCCGATTCCAAGCCTGCTGCCTTCCGCAGTGGCCATGAAAAAGTCACAGTGTCACACCCCGAGGCCCCCTGGGTCTCCACAGACTCCCCCTTTTCCCTTTTTCCCTCTTTCCCAGCCGCAGCGAAGCGGCTCTGACTCTTGAATGGCTTCATGTGGCCGATGCAAAACACACGGCAAAAAAACAAGCATCTACGCCATGCAATTTTATACCTTCTGCTGATTCTGCCAGTAGCGGTCCGGGGTTGGCGGTGGCGAACTCCGCCGCAGCAGCCCGAGGCCCTCCGGATGCAAAGCGCGGAGCAGCGCCGGATCCTCAGCCATCAGAGTCCCGGACGGACTGAAGCGATCGCGGCTGTCACTGCTATCACTGGACTCTTTGCGCTTGCTTTGGCCATCTGTTCCCGCTCACGATCAGTGTCCTTACAACGGCGACCAGTGGCTGCAAGCCCTAACCCTATACCCCAAACCCTAAACCCTAAACCCCAGTGGCTGCCAGGGCGCCGAATTGGAGTGCCCAACTAGGATCTGCCCCGAGCGCAGGGACGCGGAGCCCAGGGATATGTTGGACGAGGTCTGCGAGGACCTGCTCCATCTTCAGCGACACGCTGTGGGAACAAAAAAGACTTAGAATGAGAGGCCGACAGAGTCTCAGCAAAGAGATCGGGAAAACACGGTAGTTAACCAGTTAACTTCGTGCGACGACTCTCACTGGCGCATCTGTGCCCTGAACGTTGTTGACCCTTATGTTGTTGACCATTCGCTAGGGCCGTTACTGTAGGGCAGAGGGACCTTCTAGCCAAGACGTTTGAGTAAGAGCAGGACTGAAGATGATGGCTGAAGAAGCGAACTGGTTGTGATTGAATTTTTGTTTTGACAGCGACTGACAAATTGATCCTTTGTTTGATCGGTTAATCATGTTGAAAGTAGAATTCGTGCTCTCTGTGTACGGCGATCCCATTCCCAACTCGCGCGAATCAGCTATGGAATTGCACAAGCCTCTCTCTGCTCGGCAACTAGATAACCCCTGCACCCCACCTGCCCAGAGAGCGTTGAGAGGCACTGTTCCTGTGGGGAAGGCACTCAGAGTCGCGTCACTGCTGCGGTACAATGATCTGGGGAACAAGTGGATCGCTTTGCCCGCAACATCAGAGGAAGGCAATGACTTCCAAGCGTTCGCCACTGCACCGCATTCGACATCATTCGGCAAAGCACCCTTGAAATTGCGGGAGGGTGTCCCCGAGTGCCCCCAGCCTGCCGCAGAGCTTGAGGTCATTCTTGCACAAGGGGCAAGAGGATGCCTTGACAAACCACCTGAACGCAAGCAGTGCCTTTGTGCAGTTGATACTGCCTCTGCGGAGATTCTCAGATAGGGCTGCCGAGGTGCATGTCAATGCACTTTGCATGAAAGATGTGTGTGCAATCTAGAACTCGGCAGATGTCCACGCCGATTTGGAAGACCTGCAGAGTCAAGGGTGATGTCGCAAGCCCACCGTGAGTCCCTTCTTCATAAAAAAGGACGGAGGCCTCACGGCAGATTGCACAGCTGTCCACCTGGCTCGCCTGGCTACCATTCCAAAGGACGAGCTCACCTCAGACGACGCACGGCGATCCGCCAAGACTTAGCCCAGCAAGCTGAAGAACAATCCAAGGCACTTTTCTTCACGATCCCTTCGCACATTATGCCTCCACGCCTCTGCACAGGTCGGTTGGAAACCATGCAACAGCTGAGGGACGGCAGCGGAGCGCTGGCTGTGGCATGCTGTGGCAACGTCTACTTATCACAGGGACACTTCTTCGAAATTGAGTCAGCGGACGCGCGGCATCGACAAAATCACACACACAAAGTAGCCTAGCCTCATGGTGACTCTGCGAAGGTCGGCGGCAGATGAGCCGCACCGCGACAGGGACAGTTGGCCGTATGGCAGCGGCAATTATCAACAGTGAAGTTTAGATGGCTGAGTCCATGCCTGTGCGACGCGGCTGGGTCAGGCCCAGAGGGTCGTCAGCTGTTTGGGATGAGGTGCATCTCTGTGAAACTGTACTTACAATGTGAGTTGAGCCAATGCGGATGCGAACAGGCACGTTGTCAAAGCAGCTTATTGGGCGCTGTAGGAGCTTGAAGGTGGAGAGCGGAAATATCTTTGTGGCAAGCCATTTGGAGCTTTGCAAAGGGACACACATGCGCGGATGGCATCTTTTCGCTAAACACGAATCGGATCTGCGATGCCATGGCGTCCGACCACCGTTCACTGCCACTCACCGCGCATGCCTCGAAGCTATGCCATATTACCATGTTGCACCATAGCGACATGCCCCGTACCTCCTCCTCCTTCCTCCTACTCCTCCTCCTCCCAATCCACAACGACATCCAGCAAGCCGCCTCAACTTCTGGATCTGCTCTCCGCAATGCGGACATGCTAAGGCCTTCGACGCGGGCATCTCTTGCAAAGATGCTGCTCCACCCACACCGGACGCAATCTGTATGTAAGCAATGCAAGTAACTTGAAAAACCCACGCACGCCCCTGCTTTTCAAAAAGAACACCAAGCCTGGGGTTGCTCCATCAGCTCACTGGCAACGCAGTAGTAGCAAAATACCTCAGAGAGACGGAAGAGACTTACCTTCAAACCGTTTCGTACCTTCTTTGCTTCTTTTCATCCGCTGCTCTTTTGCGTCTTTCTTGCAGGATCGAAGCCTACTTGAAGCCCTTGCAGAATGAATGCGATGTCGATGTCCAAGCTGAGGGCATACCCCTGCAGTTCACTAGCATCCCGATGCCCCGCACCATGAGCCGAGGATCGTGATTGCAGTTTGTTCGCGTCGGCACCGTCATCGGCGAAGCTCCGCCTCGGAGCCACGTGGGAGAGGAAAGCAGAGGACGGCGACATGAACGCCTTTTGTGTTGTCCAACTTCAAACCAACCCAAGGTTGGGCATATCAACTTCGTGCAAGCTCGAGAGCAGACCTTTAAACACACCCCGAGCTTCGCACAGAATCCACAGCAAAGCTCGGCCCTTGCCGCATCCGCGTGTGCTGCCTCTGCACTGGACTTCCGCAAGTATGATCCCAAGATGCATCAGGCGAAAGCACTGGAGCAAGCGGAGCCTTTGGCAGGAGCCGCCTGCATCGGAAGCTGTGGCACAGGGGGATGAAATGTAAGTCCAGCATCTTCAACATGCAGCACGATGCGCAGTTCCTGTCAAATGCTAGCCCCAGGGTGTTGCAACTCGCTCCAGCTCACTGTGGCCTTGCTAAGGATCGGCGCAGACGGGACAAATTGACCAGCGGCATGACCTGCAGATCAGGTGACATCCATTGAGTTCCGGGAATGTGTTGTCAAGACCTCGGATTCTTCCAGGCGCCACGCAGTCAGAAGGAACTCAGAAAGCCCGTTCCTTGTCGAGAGCTTAAGGCTTCCCTACATCCCAAGCGTGCAGGCAATACGCTGAGATTCCATCCAAATCATGACACGATTCATGTACTCAAAGGCAACCTGCCGAGCAAGCTGAACCCCTTTTTGCAAAAAAAACAAAAAAGACAACACAAATCGTTCCAATTCCCAAAGCAGGGGCACCCTCATGCACGCTCCAAAATACTAGAATCCTTACGATAGGAATCCGAAAGAGGGCACCCCTGTTGTTGGAAACCCCCGTGTGCCGAGCCCTTGCTCTGCTTAGTATCTTAGAGCCCGTCAACCTAGCAGTCCCTGAGCATCTGCCTGTCGACGAGCTTTTGGATCGATGTGTACCTGTTCAGCTCGCAGCTCGAACCTTCTCGAACCACTACTTCCAGGAGCAAATCTACCCCCCACCCCCCCGCACACTGCCAAAACACAACCGGGCCGTGCGCCATCCGAATGCCAAGAAGTCTGTCGCGCAGCTCGCTGCATTCACCATGCCTACAGGCCCATTAGAGGTCTCCAGCTAGGCATGAAACCGCAAGGGCTGACAGCCCGTTGCCCGGCCTCAGGAAAAGCACGAAATTCCAAACTACTAGGATGGAATGTAAAGCCGTTGCTCGAGGAAGTAGGCGTCGAAGCCTGGGTAGAGCACGGTAGGACCCTAAACCCTGAACCCTAAACCCCAAACCCCAAACCCTAAACCCTAAACCCTAAACCCTAAACCCTAAACCCTAAACCCTAAACCCTAAACCCTAGACCCAACTCCACACGAAGCAAGGCCCGGGTGCCAGACAAATTCCACAGCCGTTGCGGGAATGAGTCCTGTCAGGTTCACTGCCTGTGGCCCCGCCTTCGGTGCGGTAGTACTGTGGCACCAGAACTCTGCCTTCCCTCCCGCAACCGGGCTGCGAAGTCCGGGTGAGCACGCGGCGTTTGGATCAAAAAGTTGCCGGGGGGGGGGGGGGGGAGGAACAGTTGAAGGGCAACTCGTCCCCGACACAGCGCTCCGTCTTCGAAGACGAGAAGGCGCGGACAGGGCAATCCAGACCAAGACGCTCTCGGTGGCGTCTTGGTCATACCGTGCGCACCCAAAACCATTCCTAGCCCCTAACCCTAAACCCTCAACCCTCAACCCTATAAACCCTCAACCCCAAACCCTAAACCCTAAACCCTGAACCCTAAACCCTAAACCCTAAACCCATCCCAAGCCCATGAAAACCGGCCTCTGGAGAATGAAGCCTTAAAACCTCTTCGTCTCCCTTCGCATGCGTCTGGATAGGTGAGAGGGAGGAAATTGCATGCTCCATAAAGAGCCCTCACAGACCAGGCCTACGTCAGGGATTAGGGTTTAAGGATGAGGGTTTAGGGTTTAGGCTCAACACTTACTGTAATACTGGTTTCTGGCCGCTCCATGGCCAATTCGGGCAGGCTCGGATTGCGAGCTAGCCAACTACTGCACGCCACCTCCGGGACGTCCAAGTGCTGCCAGATATCCTCGTATGTCACGCTTGAGCTATGTTGCGCCACGCTTGATCAGCAAAACGCTCAGCGACTACGAAGTTTCCATACTGCACAACTCCTGAAGTCGCGCTGACAGCCACGGGAAGATGACCTGTGTAGTCAGTGCAATCCCAGCATGAGACCTTGGCCTGTGCTTTGCCATCGGCCCGACTTGGCATCAGACCCAAAGCACCAGGAAGCCAATGCGCTGCACGTGAGTCAAAGGCTGCACATGCCCTCCACAAAGGGTTTGCTTTGGGGAAGTGCACTTAGTGCACTCTTGGTTTCACTGCCGCTTGCTGATGCTGAGTGTGGATTTGCCACGGCCTTTTGGGCTTACGCGAGCATGGCGCACGTTCTGCAAGCGTCCACCGGGCCTAGGCCAAGAAGGCAGAGCGAGGCGCAAGAAAACAGAGACCTGTTGGCCCTGTAGTGTCCCAGACACATCTGCGCTCAGTATGCGCACCATGCGGTACAGTCACATGCAGACTCTTCCGGAATAAAGGTCTTTTGACACCGCTCGTTCAGGCTTGCTGAGGCAGCCGCGTGGGCTCGTCAATCCAAATTGTGTACCTTGCCCCCCCCTGTCCATCCCTTTATCACGTTAGCCGGAGTAGTGACGACATCTCTCTGCCTCCACAGAGTGGCTTTCAGGAGCAGGTCGAGCTCTGGGACGAAGGGCTCTAGTGACCTCCGTGGGTGCCAGTTGTCTCCACATGTCAACCCCGAAGCCACAATCTCACGGAGTCCGGCCATTGCAACGCCGTGGCTTCGAGCAGCTGCTGCCTACGATGTGGAAGGAAAGGCTGGCGGCAGTGAATTTCCGCCACCTGTAGATTTTGAACATGCAGCACATGCATGTCGCCTCAGAATGGAGGTGATCTCGCCATCCAACCGCCTTCAAAGGCTTTCCCGCATGAGGACCAAAGAACCCAGCAGACTTCAGTCACTCTGAGGTTGATACCGTGCATCTAGCTGATTCACTCGCAGCACCTGATAGCAGTGGCGAGGGCGAGGGTGGTGAGTGATGTGTGAAGCTGTGCGTCCTGGGCGTTTATGGCGGGACTGCAACGCACAGTGTGCAGGTGCACTGCGCGAGGTGCAGGCCTGGACGCTGCATGGATGTCGTGCACTAGAGCTTCGCGGGTGTGTGCGTCTGCTAGAGGCAGGAACCGAAAGCCAACCCTTCCAAGGAAAAGTGTCCAGCCCTTGCGCAGACACTAAATAATGCCCAAACAGCATGGCAATCTGGCTTCCGCATTGCCGCCGAGGGTCGCTTGCCATGTGCTTTAGCTTCAGCAGACCTCCTGGAACCCCAAGGGAGGGACACGAGAGTCTCTTCTGAGGGAGATGCTGAACACTTTAGCATGTTCCCGCTGTCACTCGTCTGCTCTCACTCGTTGCCGCACCTCTTCTTCTCCAAAACCCACACACAGACGCACGTACACACGCTGGCTTCTCCCCCCGATTGCATGGCTGCGCAGGCCCGCTGCCTTTCCATCCGGGGGCGAAGATTTCTCCAATTGTATTACATGAATCACAAGAAGGTTGATTTCAAGATGACCCTGAGCTGGCCAAGCATCTCGGGTCATCTCTGCTGACCCAAAGACCAGATCCCCCCCCTCCCAACATCTCCGCAAGCCCGCCCGGCAACTTTGGTGCTGCAACAAAGGTGCACCTGCGATCGAGCCATGGACAGGACAAGACATCACCCACCCCTGGCAAAGCAAAGGGTACGAATGATTCAAAAGGGTTACAAGCTTCATGAAATTCTGCGCAACGAATTACAGGCTCCATGTCCTTATGCGCTCTGATTGGGTGCACTCCCGCTTGTCGGCTACTGCATCGGGTTTGGCGTGGCTCCGGAGAACTATTATGGGCTGCAGGACTGCAGATGACTTGAAAAGTGGTGAGATGTGGTGAGTTCCCCAATGCCAGCCTCAGCTTCTTCGCCTCTTTGGCGCAAGAAGAGTCGAGGCTCAAAAATCGAACAGAAGAGCAGTGGGCCCGCTTTGCAGATGCGCATTGGAGTAGACTGAGTTGAGTCTCTCTCTCTCTCTCTCTCTCTCGCACATTCGCTTCCCCTCCCACATCCCTGTCTTTCCTGTGCTTGCTTCGGGAAGAAGACCATCGCATCATCGCAAGCAAGTGACTTCACTGCAAGGCTCACACAACGTGGGCTGCACAGTGGCTGGTTTTTTCAATTAATGTCCAAAGTACTGTGGTTTGACCTTTGCCAATCCGAGAGCCAAATACAAGCACGGATGCGGACATACCTGCTCGTTCTCACCAAAGCCCTCCGGGGCTGGTGTACAGTAGCCTAACCCAGCTTCACAGTCTTTGCATCCGCAGGTCATGTATGGGGCTTCTACTCGTCTGGGCTCATATGCGCAATGCAGAGGCTCCCTTCGAGACGTGCTCCTCGGAGTGTGATGGCTTCTTAAGATTTTCGGTATTTCGTTGAAGTGGCTCCATGGCACATGGCCATTGAAATAAAGCTTGCCCCGTGAACTTGAATACTATTGCATCCTACTATCCTGCTCCATTCTTAGGACCTGCTGCTGCGTGCTGGTCTGGGTGGTATCTTCACTCTCTTCAGCAGCCAGCACCTTCCAGATCAGTCCACCAACTGCGAAGCAATCCGACATCCCTGCGGACTAAATCATACGTGAAGGGCCAGTTCTAAGATCTTCATCAAGCATCATCAAGCAACTCTTAAAGCAAATGCTGCAAGACAAGTCATGAGACAGCGTGCCGGTCATGAAAAGGCGCCTGTCCGACTGCAGCCACCTCCAGGAAATTCCAGGCTAAATGAAACTAAAATGAAATGTAAAATCTGCTTGGAGGCTTAGCTTAGCTTCCCTACACGTCCCTGCGCACCACGCTGTGCCACATTATGCCCCAATTGCCGAATTAACTCTACGACTGAACTCTGCAAGGACCACTTCCCCTCAAAGTAGCTCAAGAGGCATTGTGCATTCGCAAATCCCTGCTGGGTTCCTTTCCCCCGAGCCTCAGCAGCAAGTTCAGAGAATCCGTGCGAGGTCCCCGGTTGCTGGCACAGGGCATCGTGTGTGATCACTTTGGACGTATACTCCCCAACAGGCATGAGCACAGTGCCTCTGGATCAAGTCAAAGCTCACCTGCACCCCCTTCAGCACCGGCATCTTGGTCGCGGGACATCATAAACTGGATGGGCTTACTGCGATCAGCATCGAAGGCGCAAAGCCTGCAAGGGCCACATACCTACATCACTTCTGCCAAGTCGCCTCTCGATCATCACTGCCTTGAAAGGACTTGGGCAGCGCTTGGCGAGGAAAGAAGATGTCCTGACGTGTGGACTCTGACAACGAGAGATCTGCCGTCATGACTGCACATGACAGTGGAGGACGAGAACAACCGCAGAAGCACGTGCCAGCAGACTCCAGTACGCGTCGAATGCCAATCGGCAAGTTCTAGACACCCACAAAGCACCGAAAAACACTACGTCACATGCTGTAATGGAGATCGATGGCACACCTCTGGGTGATGCTCGCAGCGGATGAACCCGTAACCTTTGATCGCGTCGTAGTCGCGAATGACACCCACTGGGAACGTCCTTGGAAACGTCACACTGCGCACGATGCCATCTCATGTGTCAGCATCAATACGCTTTATGCGGGCAAGCCCTTTGCTCCTAGCCCATATCCCACCCCCAGCGGAAATTTTGCATGCAGCTTGAGGGTTCCTACGAGGAGTATGGGGTCGAAGGACCTCCATTGGGTTTCGAGCCTGAGAAGCGTGGAGTCTCGTGGTATGAGGTTCAGGGCCCTGAACAAGTTCGCCTGACTTGCATGGGCGTTTGTTGAAGGGCTCACGCATCCTTTGACTCGCTGGGATGTTCCCCCTTATACTAAAGCAGTCCTTACATAGGGATTCTTAATAGGGGGCTACTCGAATCACCCCCCCTCCCTAAAGGCTGCACTTCGGGCTTGAGCAGCTCCGCACAGGTTGTCTGAGGCCCCCCGGCCCAGGGCCCAGTGGTATGGCGGGCTCATTGGGATCCACCTCCTACAAAGGAGGCCAACATGGGGCTACGAATAGTGGGCCTAGCTTCTTGGGGTCCTTATTCTACAAGGATCCTACTCTTTTTTGGGTGGTCTGTACTAGGGGCCCCTTCTACCACATGGGAGATGATTGGGCCCCAGGAGAGGGCGATTTCAGAGGCATCAGCTGTTGGGAGCCCTCTCCCGCTCGGCTACGCGAATCATCCCTCTAACACCCCCCCGCTTGTCCTCGGGAGCCGCTTCGTCAACACGAGACTCCTAAGACACAGAGGACGCAATGTCGGAAGCGACAGCCATATGCTCCCCTCTGGGAGTGCTGCCTCGACTTCGTCCGGGAAGTCATCTTCAGGGATGTCCTCCTTGAGGTGATGAAACTCAACGCACACGTTGAAAGGTGCGAGACTGCGAGATAGGGAGAGAGAGAGAGAGAGCTTCGATGCAAAAAGGCAAACAGACAACAGCAATTGGCGCCTCTCGCGGTTGCTCTCTGACCTGTCCAAGCCGCCGCGCTTTCAAAAAGCGCTCCGCATCGCAAATTGTGCCTCTGAATCTGAGATCCTCCCTAAACCCCAACCCTAAACCCTATACCCTAAACCTTTAACCCTAAACCCTAAACCCTAACCCTAAACCCCTTGTCATCGCTCATGTCAGCTACTCGGCACCTCCAAGTCCTCCGGCGGCTCCTGAGGGTGCCCAGGCGAGAGTTCGCAGGTGCCGCAGACTTCCTCTCTTCCTAGATACACAAGTATACATACGCTGACTATCAGTATGCAGGTATTATGATGTATGTATGTATGTATGGTGTATATATGTACAGTGTGTATGTTCAGATATATATATATATATACACATATACATATACATACACACATAGATATAGATATAGATACAGGTATAGATATAGATATAGGTATAGATATAGATCTAGATACAGATCTAGATATAGATATAGATATAGATATAGATTTTGGTATAGATATAGATATAGATATAGACATAGATATAGATATAGACATAGACATAGACATAGATATAGATATAGATATATATATACACATATATATATATATACATATATATGTTCATAGTACTTGTTTTTGGTACCTGGCCTCGGGTGCCTCGATGCGCTGAGGGTGGTCGTTTGGCAGCTCGACTCGCTGGCGGCCACCTCACGCTTCTAGACTTAGACTTCCGAGCGGGGTCTTGGGGTTTTGGGGGGTTGGTTGCAGTCCTGGGGGGTTCTGGGGGGTTCTGGGCTTCTGGGGGGTTCTGGGGGGTTCTGGGGGGTTCTGGCGGGTTCTGGGGGGTTCTGGGGGTTCTGGGGGGTTCTGGGGGGGTTCGTTCTGGGGTTCTGGGGTTCTGGGGCTTTGGGGGCCTTTCTTGCAAATCGCGCCTTCCTCCGTGACGATGTCGAAGTGCTTCTGAATCTTGCGCTTCTTCACCTGCACATACAAGGGATTCGCAGACTTTGCCAGAACGATGCATTTGCAAGCTCGCGCGTGGGCCCTTTTGGATGTACCCTAAATGATCAGGGGTGTACTAGAATACAGCGGACCTGAAGTTTAGGTGAAACCCCACGAGCACATCGCGGGCTTCATTCACTGCAGGCGTGTCTTGCTAAGGGTGAGGCACGCGGAAATCGGTTCGTGAACTTTCCATAGTCCTGACCTGCCATGGGCGATGGACGTCTCCTCACCGGGTGCCCCTTCAGAGAGGCCCTAACGAAGATGACCCCACAGAACTTTTGGGCAGTTCTAAGTAACAAAGGGTCAAAGCACCGTAAGATGATCCCCAGTTAGAACTCGAGCTACCCTACGTAAAGGTGCAGCTATGGTGAGTAGCCGCGAACCTCCCAGCAACATTCCCGAACATGTCTTGGCCTACGTGAGAAATACACGAAAAAGCCCACGCGCCGCCGAGGGAGAGCAGGTCCGGGGCGCGAGCCGTTGCCACACTCCGCCAAGTAGTCCGTCATCTCCTGAACGACATCCTCCTCAAGCTCAGACCTGACCATCACCAGCAAGAACAGTGGTGCAGAACCCGTGCCCCTAGTCTCATGTTCCGACATGACAGCTGTATCCAGCTGTAGAGTACAGGTCAACTCTGGCGGTAGTGGCAAACACGAGATGCACCGAGCTGCTGGACCTTGCTGAACCTATCTCTCTTGGTCAGTGAAATGACTCCCTGCTCCCCCCTAAACCCTAAACCCTAAACCCTAAACCCTAAACCCTAAGCCCTGAACCCGAAACCCTAAACCCTACAGTAGTCCCTAAGCCTCCCGTCGTAAGGGCGTGGCAGCTCTGCAGGCTCAGCACCTGCAAAACAATCCCGAGGGTCACATGCGAGTCCACTTCAGGTCACCAGGGTCATCCTACAAGCTGCCACAGTGACCCTGTTTAGGGTTTAGGGTTTAGGGTTTAGGGTTCAGGGTTTAGGGTTTGGGGTTTAGGGTTTAGGGTTTAGGGTTTAGGGTTTCCTAAGCGGCACCTTTGGAGGGCGCGCTGTCCCCATCGGGGAACAGCCGCGTCATTTGCTGGGCTCGCAGCTTGCCATCTGTCATGATCTTCACCTGCAGACTAGGGTTAAACTTAGGGTTGAGGGTTTAGGGTTGAGGGTTTAGGGTTGAGGGTTTTGGGTTTAGGGTTTAGGGGTGGGATGTTCCCCCCCATATACTCTAAGAGCCCTTACTAGGGATTCCAGTACCCCAGATTGGAACCCCTCTTGCAGACACTGGGAGGTCCCCCCCCAAAAACTCTAACAGCCCTTACTAGGGATTCGAGTACCCCAGATTAGAATCCCTATTCAGGACTGCTAGTATAAGGGTGAACATCCCCAATGCAGACACAGAAGCAGAGACGCCAAAAGCAGTGGCAAATGAAGCTCCTGGGCTGCCCGGTTGTAGGATAGAATCCCCTTGAAGGGACCCCGAAACCCTAAACCCTAAACCCTAAACCTTAAAAGGGTATCCCTACTTTCGGAAACAGCCACGTTCATCCTCCCTGGGCTTTTGCCAACATGCGTTCCTAGGGCCAAAGGGGAGCGCGAGCAGACTTTTGAAGCGAACCACGAAGCGAGGCTCTGCACTATGACCATGTCTGGTCACTTCCTTCTTCCCAAAGCAAGCAGCTCTGAGTACAAACAAAAGGCCACTACCAGGTTATCTGGGACGCCCTACGTCGCTTGCGCCTACACTGCGCGGCTTCACAGGAGAGCTGAGAGCTTCGGTAAGTCAAAGCGGAACTGACTTGTGCAATCTGCGTTTCAAAGTGCCCCGTGGAGCTAGATGGTGATTTCCGAAAATAGGGGTACCCCTTATATATATATATATATATACCCCGAAATACTATATAATCCTTTTAAAGGAACCCAAAAAGGGTACCCCTATTTTCGGAAACCCCCAGATAGTTGAGCCTTGAGAGCTGAAATGATCCCGGCAAGCGCCGGCGCGCTAGCACTTCTCCAACATTGCCTCTGCAAAGGTGGCTGAGTCAGGTACATCGCCACCAGCCACCGTTATAGCCTCATTGCATCTCAATGCCAAAAACTCTGTGATAGGTGCCATTTAAGATTTAACCGCCGGGGCTACACACAGAGGGAAGGTTCCAGGTTCATTCGCAGAAAGTGTGGCTTTGACCTCCCAGGAGCCTTAATGACCCCGCCGTCCACCACCATCGCGAAGCGCTTGCAGCGGGGGTTTCCCAGCACCGCCATGGCCGGCGCAGCATCGAAGACCAGGTCCAGGGCTTTGGTCAGCTCCATGCGGGTGTCTCCGAGGAAGCAGATCATGGAGTCCTCCACCTTCTGATCCTTGGCCCAGCCCTCCATGACGGCTCCGTCGTTGACGCTGACCACGATGACTTCATCCACACCCTTGGCCTTCAAGTCAGCTTGCTTTGCCAAGTACCCCGGGACATGATTGTTGGAGCAAGTTGGGGTGAAAGCCCCTGGCACGCCCACCACCACTGCCTTGGTCCGGGCAGGTGGAGGACAAGCTCAAAAGGCCTCAGAATCTGCAGCCGGGTGCAGCCGTGTCGCCTTCTTCCCAGCAAGGCGCTCTGCCATGTTTACCTGAAGCTCGTTGGAATCCATCACTCTCGCTTTTTCAAGGGTGTTTCCCCCCTTTTCCTTCGAAGCTTCGGCCCACAGAGGCTTGTGGAAAAGGGTGCACAGGCCAAATTTGCCAGGAAAGGGGGGGTATCTCCCAAGACAGGGACATCTTATTCTGCACACCATCCCCCCCCTTCCCGAAATCTCAAATCCTTGTGATAGGAACCTCTCCCCCCCAAAAAAAAGAAATGTACAAAAACAAAAAAGGCGCCCCTAGTGTTGGGAGAAACCCCCATATCCTGAGAACAACCCCCCCACGACCCCGGCACTGGCCTTTTTGGGTGGGAAGCCGATGTCCAACTCGATGGCGGGAAACTTGTCGCCCACGGCAGCAAAGCCACGAACACCTGAAGGCTCGCCAAAAAGCTGACGTGAAGATCAAAAGCGAGAATTGAAGGCTTACAGAAGACCAGCCATACTGTATGAAACACCAAACAGGGGCTCGAATTGCCATTGGTAGTATTCTTCTTCTTACTAGTACTTTTTGTTGTGACTAATATTAGTCTTATGAGCATTATGTTATTACGTGCAGAGGCGCTTGCACGAGCCATCCGCGAGACCTGCATGAGACGTGGAGCCAACATCGCTCACCTTGGGGCTGAAATCTAAGGCGTCCTCTCCTTTCGCGTCTCAAGTACTACATACCTCTGAAATCCCAAGAAACATACACCTGTTGTGGACAGCAGCTCCCTCTCTCCCTCTCTCTCGCTCTCCCTCTTGGCATGGTGGACCCTTCTTCGCTCGCGCTCAAGAACGAAGCTCTGGCGAAAGGTGGTCTGCCAACCCATCTGAGTCGGCTGACGATGCAAGGGCAGCTGCCAATCAAAATCTGGGAAGATGGGTTGTTGAGACAAAGCGGCTGCAGTCCAAGCCATACGAAGAACCATTCGGTGTGCAAGTTGAAAGCGCCGAGGAGCACGCGCATTGAGTACGTTGAGTGCTGTAGGTTTGCTTCGCATTCCCTTTGCTACTGAGAGTGTACGAGCGAAACCCCTTACCAATTACAGGACGGATGGACGGGCACGCATGGCACGCCACACCAAACCCTATCGGTGGCCTCGAACTCCACGCGCTCTCCAACCACCTCTCAACGCACATGGGCACGCCGGCTTGAAGTTCTTGAAGAAGGAAGACGGGTATCGTGGCCCAGCCTCTTCCTTGCGCTCCGCACCGGCGAGCTCCGGCGGCAACTCTGCACGAACAAAATAGACATCCTTGCACAAGGGATTCGCTGCCACACACCTTTTAACCCTTGGTGTATTCTTGGGGTTAGCCCAGGCCTCCTCGCAGCTCTCTGATCGGACAAAGCCGAAGCCCTAGCCAAGATGAAGCAAAGGTGAAAGAAGAATCTTTGAACACTGGCCAGTCAGCTTTGTGCAAGCCTTGCCAGGCTCGAAGGTCACGATCTCGCCCACCAAGACCTGAGCTTTGGAAGAGCTTGAGCGCTTTCTCTCTCCAGCCTCCCAAGTGTCTCAGCATGCCTGCTCACGGCAAGGCAACAACTGCGCCCGCTGAGTACCGACTCCGTACCAACTTAGTACAAGTACCGGCGTTGCTCTTGCCGACGGGGGCAGGAGAAGTGTTCATGGAGCTCGAGGAGCTCCAAAAACCGCTCAAAGAGTTGCAACAACGGTGGCGCTGCGTGCACTGCGTGCACTGCCAACGCAGGGGTAAACACTCAGCACTCGACATCTCTCAGGGCATCACAAAGCCGCAATGCAGGGACTTGAGTGGACATGGAAAGATATGGATATGGAAGGTGCGAAGCTGCCAAATCGAAAGTTAGAAGACTTCATGCAGTTTAAGAACCGGCACCAAAGGGCTTGGAGCGAAAGGAGAAACACAAACCCAAGGCATAAGGCAACCCATGGCAATCCCCAAAATTGTCAAAAACAAACCCCAAGGCATCGAAATCCAGGCCAAAGAATCTTGCCACAGCGCGGCCTCACCGCCCTGTAGCTGAGGCCGCTCCTCTCTCCGTTCCTCCCCAGGAAGCGCACGCTTTGGGGCACGAGGCACAAAGGCGCAAGGGATGGCGCAAGGAAGCTACACGCAAAGAGAAGGCTACGCAAAGGCTGTGCACACAGCTACCAGTGTACACTGCCGGGTCAACCCACGCAGACCACCGAAGCCCAGTTTGCACAAACTTCACAACACGGCTGACATCCCCAGAGTTGCAGGAACGCTACCAGAGCCGCTACCAGCCGCTACCAGATACATCGACAAGCCGGTGTGGAGCCCCCCCGGCGCGGTCCCTGCCGACAATTTCCAGGTTTTGTGCACGGGGCTTGCCCTGCTCTTTGGAGTATCTGCCCGCAAGCGTCGCGCAATCGAAGAGCAAGGCACAGCAAAGTGGGGCAGACATGACACCAAACAACCGAAAGCCGCTCTCTATAACGGCTGCCCACCGAAGCTCAAAAGCTCCTGGGGCGACTTGGGCCATCCTTCGAGGTTGTATTGGGGGCTCACAAACGCCAGGCGCACATCTGAAAGGAGATCTCTAGCTGCTGCAGCTCTTCGAAGGTGGCTTCGTTCAAGTCCTGGCAGGAAGGCAGAGACTAGACTTTACCCCCCCTCCCCCCCCTCCCCCCCCCCCTCCCCCCCCCTCCCCCTCAGCACCTTGGGAAGGGAGCTCCGCAAGAAGAAGACGTTGTCGCCATACTCACAGTCTGGGCCAGGCACAAAAAGTCCGGAGCAGGGGCGGAGGAGCATTTGATGCCGAGCGATGCTGAGCGATGCTTGACGCCGGGTGCCAAGCCCAGGAATCCGTATCCCTTGTCTTGGTGGTACTTGGCCACCCTGGCTTGGCAATGTTCAAATCCAGGCTACCCCCCTCAATCTCTCAGCTGCTTGGCTCTTGGCCTTCCTCGAGTTCTCTGGCCTAGACCTGGCCAGAGAAAAGCAGGCCCCCCAAAGGGCACCCCGAGCAAAAAGGACGCGCAACTGAGACTGCGCGCCTTCTTTCCCACGGTGCAAAAAGAGCAGTTTCCTGGACACAAGGCTGAGACCCAAGAAACGTCCCCTCGCTCTCATTGCACTTGCTTGCGACTTGCAGTAGTTCTGCAGACCTTGCGCGCAGCTTCCCATCAGGCATCTTCTTGACCTCGAACTCGATGACCTTGTGGAGGACCTGGCATGGAGGAACGGCTGACGAAGAGAGGCCCGAAAGAAGCATTAAAGCAAACAAGCCTACCATGGCCATCCGGGCCATCCGTGATGTGTGCTCCCTGTTTTTGGGCCTTCTCCTTTTTGTCCTCCTCTCTCAGCTCAGGCGGAAGCTCTGACCTCTGAGCTCGAATCTTGAATCTGGTGACGGGTGACATTGGCAATCATCGTGGCATCTCGCGCCTTGGGAAGAAGACGTCGCCCTGAATGCCGTCCACTTTCAGGAAGCCGAAGCCCTGAGCAAGCGCACGTTGCAGATCTGACCGGCTGCGCCCAGGGCTTGCAACTGGAACACACTGTCCTTGCTCGGAAGTCTTTGAAGCGACAAAGCTTTATGAACATAATGCAGTTATATACTAATATAATCTATAGTATCTATAGTGCATGTAAGATACAATAAGGTCCTGTTAACCTGGCAGGCGACGGCCTTAACAGCGTCGTAGCTCGTCACCGTGCCGACGGCAATGCGCGGTTCAGGCTGCGAGGGGCAAATCAGGTAACAGTGGCAATGATGCACAAGCGACAGCAGCTCAACAGCCCCTGCATCTGTCATGCAAACTTTCTCGACTCGCGCTGTCACCTCTTTGAGAGATGCCGGTACTGAGCTGCCACCCGCTGAGCGATGCTGCGCACTTCCACACGTAAGAATCCATATGTCTGTGTGATGCTTTGTGATGCTGCAGTATGCACAAGTCTCAAGAAAGCTCATGGTCGGAGGCGCTCTTCATGAGGAACAAACTGGCTGCACGCAGAAGCTTGTCTCGTGCAACAGCCAGCACGCACGGCCCGGGGCTATTGCAAAGCTTAGAACCGGTGCTAATGCTGAACCGCTGGGGGGAAACCAGGCATGGCGCGCGAGCCCCGGTGCAAGCAGTGCGTGCACATATGCAGATGTATGCAGATTCGATACGAGCTCCAATGGGAAGCTGTCAAGGCAATGCTTTGGAGAGAAGCAGGCTGTATCCCAGTCCATCGGCCGAAGAAGCTACCAGACGACGTTGAGCTGAAGCCACCCAAAAAAAGCACCGCGACTGAACATCACAAAATGCGCCGCTCTCCCGAAGACAAAAGCCTTTCCAAGTGGGCCTTTTAGAGGGCCCTGCTCAGCGCTGTCAAGCTCTTTCAGAGCTCCTCACGCCAGCAGCGCCACTTGCAGTGCTCCTGGTGGTGCTTCTCACCTGCCCGAAGTGGGCAAGGGCACGATGAGCATGACACCGGCACAGCATCGCATGGCACGGCACGACATGCCCTGACATGCAGAAACTCAACAATGCATCCGGCTTTGCTTGCAGATCTTCAGCACGTTCTCCGTGGACTCGATGAGGTGCGCATGCTGCACCTGTAAGGGGCTCGGCTGTCCTTCGCTTCTCACAACGCTGCCCCAGGCACCTTCTCATCCTTCTATCACCAGGGGCCAGCAGACAGAACCCCAGCCGGCCTTCTTTGCTTCCTGCACGCGGAACTCGAGGTGCTCGCCTTGGCGAGGGCACATGAGGTCAAGATGGGCAAGCTGACAATGCTTGAGGAGCGCTGCGTCCAACCATGCAGCTTTCTTCCAGCAAAGCCACACGTGTTTCCCAAATGCCGCTTCATTTCTTTCTCACATTTCCTTCGGGTCCAAAAGGCTGAGATTCACAGAAGTGCCTCCAAGAGCAACACGGGGCCAAGAAGGGCTGGCCTCTTGCAAGTTTGGCCTTTTGCCAGAAACGATTTGGACTCCTCTTTCACCTCCTGGAAAAAACTTGCGGCAGCTTCGTAGCCACCGGGAGGCATGGGCCACAAGATGTTACAGAACCGCATTCCGCCACGGCCTCGGGAACGGGGCGCTTCACGGAGTTCACCAGCTTTGCGATGGACTCCTGCGCCTGTGGGGGGCAGCTGCACATGCATCTAGTCACATGCCCGGGCTCTTCTGCTCAGATCGCTTGCGCCGCGCATGTTAAGGTCACGGCAAAACGAAGACTTGCAAACAGCTCTTGCAAAGGAGGTCTTCACACTAAGACGAAGAGGCAGCCGTGTGGGGTCCTGCGTCTCATAGGACTTGTTGCTGTCTGGGTCCAGGGATTCAAAGGCTTCCTGGAGGCAAGCTGCTGGAACAAGTCCACACAAGTCCTTGACCGAACACACATGCGAACCCATCGCCCAAACCTTGATGTGCTCCAAGTCTGGGATGTGAAATGCAAAGGCAGCATCCTGCAACAGGCTGGCACAAAGCATCAACGATGGAAGCCTAAACGGCCGAAAACCCTGCATGTCTGAATGCATCTTCCCAGTCCTCGCTCGGTGAACTTGCCGCGCCTCCCGCGCGAGTCGAGCTTCGTTCATGTGGTCCGACACACGAGGCCCCCCCCCCCCTCCGCATTTCGCACAGGTTCTTCAGCGGGCCTCCCAGCTGCATGACGAAGAGCACGGCAGAGATTCGAAGTCCTCGAGGTGCACGTGGTATGAGTATGTATGAGGCATGTGACCAGACAACTTCTGGTGGGACTGGTGGGAGCAAAGGTCCTTGAAAGATCATCGCGAGGGAGGCTGGAGGAAGGATGGCCAAGGTTTGGGGGGGAGAGGTTGCAAGGCACCTGGAGTTGCGGAGCCGAGGTGCGCTGGCGGACACGCACAACATGCCTTCCCACTTCTGCACTCTCCTGCACCGTTGCACGCATCCAACAAGCGCAACAGGGCCGTGTAGGGAAGCAAATGCCAGAGACAGCATCATGCATGAATGGGCAGCACCTGCATCTGTCATGCAAACTTTCTCGGCTCGCGCTGTCACCTCTTTGAGAGATGCCGGTACTGAGCTGCCACCCGCTGAGCGATGCTGCGCACTTCCACACGTAAGAATCCACATGTCTGTGTGATGCTTTGTGATGCTGCAGTATGCACAAGTCTCAAGAAAGCTCATGGTCGGAGGCGCTCTTCATGGGGAACAAACTGGCTGCACGCAGAAGCTTGTCTCGTGCAACAGCCAGCACGCACGGCCCGGGGCTATTGCAAAGCTTAGAGCCGGTGCTAATGCTGAACCGCTGGGGGGAAACCAGGCATGGCGCGCGAGCCCCGGTGCAAGCAGTGCGTGCACATATGCAGATGTATGCAGATTCGATACGAGCTCCAATGGGAAGCTGTCAAGGCAATGCTTTGGAGAGAAGCAGGCTGTATCCCAGTCCATCGGCCGAAGAAGCTACCAGACGACGTTGAGCTGATGCCACCCAAAAAAAGCACCGCGACTGAACATCACAAAATGCGCCGCTCTCCCGAAGACAAAAGCCTTTCCAAGTGGGCCTTTTAGAGGGCCCTGCTCAGCGCTGTCAAGCTCTTTCAGAGCTCCTCACGCCAGCAGCGCCACTTGCAGTGCTCCTGGTGGTGCTTCTCACCTGCCCGAAGTGGGCAAGGGCACGATGAGCATGACACCGGCACAGCATCGCATGGCACGGCACGACATGCCCTGACATGCAGAAACTCAACAATGCATCCGGCTTTGCTTGCAGATCTTCAGCACGTTCTCCGTGGACTCGATGAGGTGCGCATGCTGCACCTGTAAGGGGCTCGGCTGTCCTTCGCTTCTCACAACGCTGCCCCAGGCACCTTCTCATCCTTCTATCACCAGGGGCCAGCAGACAGAACCCCAGCCGGCCTTCTTTGCTTCCTGCACGCGGAACTCGAGGTGCTCGCCTTGGCGAGGGCACATGGGGTCAAGATGGGCAAGCTGACAATGCTTGAGGAGCGCTGCGTCCAACCATGCAGCTTTCTTCCAGCAAAGCCACACGTGTTTCCCAAATGCCGCTTCATTTCTTTCTCACATTTCCTTCGGGTCCAAAAGGCTGAGATTCACAGAAGTGCCTCCAAGAGCAACACGGGGCCAAGAAGGGCTGGCCTCTTGCAAGTTTGGCCTTTTGCCAGAAACGATTTGGACTCCTCTTTCACCTCCTGGAAAAAACTTGCGGCAGCTTCGTAGCCACCGGGAGGCATGGGCCACAAGATGATACAGAACCGCATTCCGCCACGGCCTCGGGAACGGGGCGCTTCACGGAGTTCACCAGCTTTGCGATGGACTCCTGCGCCTGTGGGGGGCAGCTGCACATGCATCTAGTCACATGCCCGGGCTCTTCTGCTCAGATCGCTTGCGCCGCGCATGTTAAGGTCACGGCAAAACGAAGACTTGCAAACAGCTCTTGCAAAGGAGGTCTTCACACTAAGACGAAGAGGCAGCCGTGTGGGGTCCTGCGTCTCATAGGACTTGTTGCTGTCTGGGTCCAGGGATTCAAAGGCTTCCTGGAGGCAAGCTGCTGGAACAAGTCCACACAAGTCCTTGACCGAACACACATGCGAACCCATCGCCCAAACCTTGATGTGCTCCAAGTCTGGGATGTGAAATGCAAAGGCAGCATCCTGCAACAGGCTGGCACAAACCAGGCGGGCACAAATCATCATCGATGGAAGCCTAAACCCTCTGAATGCCCAGTGACATCTTCCCAGTCCTCACTCGGTGAACTTGCCGCGCCTCCCGCGCGAGTCGAGAATTCCGACACACGAGGCCCCCGAATTTTGCGAGCAGCTCGAACCGGTTCTTCAGCGGGCCTCCCAGCTGCATGACGAAGAGCACGGCACAGATTCGGAGTCCTCGAGGTGCACGTGGTATGAGTACGTATGAGTCGTACGACCAGAGCAAAGCTCCTTGAAAGATCATCGCGAGGGAGGCTGGAGGAAGGATGGCCAAATGTTTGGGGGGAGAGGTTGCAAGGCACCTGGAGTTGCGGAGCCGAGGTGCGCTGGCGGACACGCACAACATGCCCTCCCACTTCTGCGCACTACTTTTGCAGATAGAAAGCGCAACAAGGTCACGCAGCATTTCACAGGCAATCATCTTTTGTAACGGTCGCCAGGGAAGCGAATGCCGGCCAGAACCAGGACAGCAACATGCAGCAGTGTGACTTTGAAGGCCATACTTGGTGCTTCGTTCCTTCTTCCTTCGTGCGTCTGCCTCCCACTTTAAGAACTCATCACTGTTTACGGCTTGTCCCACCGCCCCGATTTTCAAATGGCTCGCTGCCACCACCTGATTCCTGCTACAGAGAAGCGTGACGTAGATAGAGATGAGACTCCGAAGGCTCAAGAGAGCTTTCTAGCCCGAGAACTGAAGAATTACGAGCCATGCTTGATCTAGGTTGCGTCAGAAAACCGGGACCGAAAATGGCTCGTGTCTGGGTTCTCCGGCTTTGCACAACGCCTCTGAGACAGTTTTCGAACAAGTGACTCTTGTCGGACTTATAACCAATACCTACAGGTCATCGCATTGGCTGCCTCAGTATTGTGTACGCTTCAGACACGTATGCTCTCCTTAGGACAGGACATGTGCAGTCGCAGTCGCAGCTTAGGGCGCAACCTTGGATCATTCTAAGCAAAACGTGAGGGAACCTGCAACAGGTTCGAGAGTCAACATCTTTGCCGCCGGAAGTGGGAGATCACGAGGAACGCCTGGGAGCGGGCATGGTTGGGATGCCCTCTAATGCGGTGCATGCCAGCAGACAGGTGCAAGGTGACGGAGAATCGCGAGCTTCTTCAGATAAGGCACCAATACGATCGCGCAGGTACCTCAGAGGTGAGATTGCATTGCAAGCCGCCGCAAGCCATCAAATGTCACGAAGCGACGCAGCAACTGGAAGCGAACAACACATCCAAACCCTAAACCCCAATCCCCAATCCCCCTTCGAGGAAATGCATTGCCCAGGTTGCGCCAAGCAGGATGCCAGGCGTGGCCGTAGCTTTTCTGGAATGCCGTAGGCCTGGAACTCGCGACTCGACAGAAGAGATCAAGAAAACTCTATAATATGTATGTATATATATATACATATATACCCCCCCCCCACCCCCCCCCCCCCCCCCCCCCCCACCCCCCCCCCCACCCCCCCCCCATGGTATCCCCCCCCCCCCACCCCCCCTAAACCCTAAACCCTAAACCCCAAAGCCCTAAACCCTAAACCCTAAACCGCGGGGGGGGGCGCGCGACCCTATATAAACCCTAAACCCTAAACCCTAAACCCTAAACCCTAAACCCAAACCCCAACCACACCACCGATCAGGGGGGCCCAAACCACAGGGGGGCGGGGCGGGAAAGAATTTGGGCCGGGGGCCGGGGGGGGGGGGACCATGGGGTGGGGGGGGGGGGGGGGGTGGGGGGGGCAGCGACGCTGCACCATATATATATATATACATATATATATATATACATATGTACATATATATATATGTACATATACATATACATATATATATATATATAGTATAACTATCTATATATCTACATCTATCTATCTATCTGTCTATCTGTGTATATGTGACAACCTCTGAGGTATCTCAGCTACGATTGTCCATAGCCTAAACGGGAATCGTTTTGTGACAGGGAAGCGCACCTGCACCCGCTGTTGCATTCGCAACCTCAGGTCCTCCACCGGCGCCTCTTGGAAGAGCATCTGCGCCAGGAACAAAGGGGAAGCGCGTGCAAAAGTCTTATGTATCTGTATGTATGTATGTATGTATGTACGTACATATACACACATATTATATATATATATATGTGTGTGTGTGTGTATGCTACGCATTATATTGTACTCACACACACAATGAGAGGTGTACCTTGTTATATGTGACTGTAAAAAGCTATGATGCAATGATATTCTTATTGTAACTCATATTTGAGCTTTAAAGGGATTTGCGGCACGCAATGGCGCAAACAGACCTCTGCGACACTGCACAGGAGCGCATCCAGCGGCTCCAGTATGCCCTCGACGATGGCTGCCTCGGAAAGGGGTTCAGGGGTTTTAGTTTAGGGTGTAGGGTGTAGGGTTTAGGGTTTATAAGGTTTCGGGTTTAGGGTTTAGGGTTTAGGGTTTAGGGTTTAGGGTTTAGGGCTTACGATTTAGGGTTTAGGGTTTAGGGTTTAGAGGTTCAGAAATGGTGGAACCAACCTTCGGCCCTGCTCGTACTTGGCCCGTGTGATCTGGTGAGGATGCTGAGAGCTCGATGCCGGCTGAAGATTAAAAATCGTTTTTCTAAGTTATTCAACTTGGGTCTTGCCGGGTCATGCATAATTAACATCCTAATACAAATCGCTATTCTACGTTGTTGTACTTGGGTCTTGCCGGGTCAAGCATGCATCCTGTCCAATTTGTACGATTTCGACAACCGGACTGAAACGGGTGGATGCAAGTCAACGTCGGCAGCTTGCTAGATGCCAGAAATCGACACGCCCCACATGGCAGCAGTTTCCGAGAGTTCAGACAGCGCCTGTCTCCAGGACTTCGCATGCCACCGTCCCTTGTGCGCTGTCAGTCGACCAAGCCGAGTTTCAAGGCTTCGTCATCTCAGTCCCACTGTCTTGTGCTCAGTTTGCTCAGTGGGCAGTGGGCTTGCTAGCGACTCTGCATCCATGCTGGCGCGCCACGGGGAGCCATTGCTGTAATTGTTTGGCAGATGCGCACGCGTGAGCCCCACGCAGCAGGCTCGTGCTGTGCGCCGTAGACACCTTTCCCAAAATGCGCACGCGATTCGGCCAACGAGGCAAAAAGCTTTGCTGCCATCTGCTCAAGGTTCGCCACGTTTCGGAATGCCAGCTCGTTAGTGTAGTGATAAATGACTATGAGGCCATCCGCCATCACGATGCGACTGGAGATCACGGAGATCGAAGGCATGGCGCCAAATCTGAACTGGCCCCTCCAGAGACTCGTGCCGGAAGGTCACGAGCTCGCCCACACAATCCTCCACATCCGGGAAAAAACCTGCCGGCGACTGCAGGGCGACATCGAGCGTCTCGAGGTCCAAGAGGCAAGACGAGAATTGAACTTGACAACAAACCTAGAGATCAATATGACCCAGGTATGACAGCACGGGTCATCCGAAGTCTTCGAGCAATCTTCAATGATTTGCTACCCTAAACCCTAAAACCGCCCGCCACCCCCCTCTCTTGTCTTTTGGGGTAGGCGGGCGCTGGTCAACCGCTCAGTGAGACCCTGCGAGGGAGCCTGGTGGGCGACCGAGCTGGCCTCCAGGCTGGCTTACCCTCCAGGCGAGTCAGCAGTTGTCCCCTGACCCCCGTCCGCTGGGCTGCGTGGATCAGGGGCCGTTTTGTTGGGGCAGGCAAGGCTTCGGCCCAAAAAATGCTTCTCTCTGCCCTCAAACCAGGCTGGTCCACGCACCTGGCCACCTGCCCTGTGGCCCTGCCCTCCCTGGCCCAACGAGCTGTCCACGCACTTGTGGAGGTCTCAAAAGGGCGTGAGTGCTGACCCATGTGATGCTAAACAGATAAAAGAAGGTCTTAACTCCTTGAGAGTTGTAAGTGGGCGGTCTTGGGGTGGGTAGGTCTGCAGACTACTGCGCGCTCCCAAAGCGCGCTTCCGTTTGGCACGCCCTAAACCCTAAACCCTAAGCCCTAAACCCTAAAACCGGCTAACTCCGTTCTCCAAAAAACGGAATGCAACCCCAGGCAGCCTGAGGATCCGCGAGCCGAGAGCGCGTGGGAGCTTGCCAGGCGAAGGCGCCCACCTCGAGCAAAGCTGAAAAGAGCTCACAGGTTTTAGGGTTTACGGTTTAGGGTTGAGGGTTTAGGGCTCAGGCTTCAGGGGTTAGGGTTTAGGGTTTAAGGTTTAGGGTTTAGGGTTTAGCGTTTAGGGTTTGGGGTTTAGGGTTTAGGGTGGCTTGCACCGACGAGCTCCTTGCAGAAATGCCCGAGGGAAGGCGGAGAAGGGAGAGGGAAGGCTTCAGAAAGAGAAGGGGATTGGGAGACAGCGAGACTGCGAAGCACCCACACCCTCTCACCTTGCGAAGCAAGCAGGCATCGCGGCTCAGATTTTGTCGTTGTTGGGGTTCGAGGCCAAGCTGGCTCTCTTTTCAACAGCGGCCCTTCTGGACGCTGCAGGGAGTTGTCCCATGGCCCTCCGTGCTTCACGACATATTGTTTGCACTTGGGTTTCCATTGCGCCGCGAAAAGCTGGCAGTGAATGCCCATATCTACAACACCGGCAATTCTGGTGGTTTGGGTCCTCCATCCTCAGGGACGTGGACTTGCAGGGTGCTACCTTTGCGGATGAAGCCCCTGCAAGTTTCATGCTGGTTCATGTGTGGCGTCTTGGCATTTCATAAGTTTGGTTTGCAGCGGGTGGGTTGTCTCATGCCTATATCTGCAGTATCTACTGGATCCGCTACGCAGAGTTGCACATCGGTCCCAAAGTCAGACAGCAAGTAGTCAGGGGGTTTGTGTTTCAGTGGCTGTTTGGCAGGATGGCCGTTGCTGAGGAGAGTCTGCTGCCACTGAAGCCGTGACGCTCTGCCGTGCACAAAGTGCCAAAAAAATGTGCAGTTCGGGAACCTCGCCACCCATGGCTCGGCAGCAATACCGCGCCTTAGCCAATGCCAGAAAACTTGCAGGCTGCATTGGTGCCGCCCCAAAAGGAGGCATACAGGAGGGGGGGGGGGGGAGGAGCCCCCTATACACTTGTTGGAGAGTCACCTCGCGACTGCAACCCAGTGGCCACCTTGTCGTGGTTTTGCACCAACTTCCAAGCTGCCTGGGGTCCCCAAAGAAAGTACAAACCCTTGAAGCTCTACATCCAAAAAGCAGCATAAGCCCTAAAGTTGCTAACAAGAATCCAACACTCGCGAAAAGTCCTGAAGCTCTAAACACCCCTGTCTCAACCCCTAAATAAACATCCGCAGGATTCACGGGAGCTTCCCAAAATGAGGTTGCCCCGATCACATACCGCAAGCATCTTCATGCTACTCATAGGAACCCAAAAAAGGGCAAGCCTTAAAGTCTTTACTAACAGAAACCCCCCCAGTAACGGTGAACCCCTAAACCCTAAACCTCAAACCCCAAACAATAAACCCCACAAACCCCAAACCCCAAACCCTAAACCCCAAACCCCAGAACCCTAAACCCTAAACCCCTGACCCTAAACCCTAAACCCTAAACCCCAAACCCCAAACCCCATGCCTCCACGAAGGGGCGCCGCAGGATCGAGGAGGCCTCTGCCTTTGTCAGGGGCTCCACGTCACGCCTTGGGGGGGGGGAGGGAGGGGGGAGGGGGGGGGGGCGTTTTGGGTTTGGGGTTTAGGGTTTAGGGTTTAGGGTTTCGGGTTTAGGGTTAGGGTCGAGGGTCGAGGGTCGAGGGTCGAGGGTTGAGGGTTGAGGATTGAGGATTGAGGATTGAGGGTTGAGGGTTGAGGGTTGAGGGTTGAGGGTTGAGGGTTGAGGGTTGAGGGCTGAGGGCTGAGGGCTGAGGTTGAGGGTTTAGGGGGCTTGGGGTTGCTCAGGGGATTTGCGGGGCTTTCTAAGCGGCTGCTTAAGGTTTGCGGATGTTTGGTTTATGGGGCTCTGACTGGGATTGGGGTGTGAGGGCTTTGGGGCTTTAGGATTCGAATGCACGGCCACTCCCCATCAAAGATTCCCGCACAGGACTCTGTGAATCAACTACTGGTGAGAACCCAGTAAAATACGGTAGTTAAAAACTTAGGAAGAAGACATTAAGGCCACTGGGTCATGCAGGTTTGTCATGAGAAGATGTGATGCTGAAAGCTCGTCGCCAGGCTGCCTCAAAGCAAAGGGCAGCCGATAGTTCCTCAGGATCCCACATCCACATGCAGAAGCTGCGGCTGGTACGCACTTTCATAGGGTTCTTGAGGGAGGGGGGTTCCAGGCGGGGTAGGTACCTAGGGAGCCTTAGGGAAGCTTCGGGAGCCTTAGGGAGTATTAGGGAGTATGAGGGAGTATTAGGGAGTATTAGGGAGTATTCGGGAACCTTGGGTTACCTACCCCCCTTGAACCCCCCCTTTTAAGAACCCCATAATCACTCTGCATTCTGAGGGTCTCTGGCAGTAGCTGCCTCCACTTGTCCAGGTCCACTTTGCGCATCGGGCTCGGCTGCCTTTGCTTGGGCTGGGGATTGCCGAGAGGTGGAGTGGCAAATGCCAGTCACTCGCCTTTTTCATACTTCCTCAAAAGCCATTGCCGCTGACGGTCAAGTTTCCCAACTTCGGTTTTCAGAGTTAGCTTGCTTGCCGCGGCTGTTCTCAAAAGAAACGCAGCAATGAGAACAAAACGTCACACACAAGCATGCACATCTCTTCGGCTGAGACAGGCACAAACTTCGTGCAGACATTTGCGCTTCATTTGGCTTTGGCCCAGGCACGGTGCTCCGAAGGCTGGCTCCAGGGCCATGCACAAACTCAGGGAACGTGTGGTCGGCATGACATGTCATCTCAACTGGGATGCATCTCCAAACGAGCACCTAACCCTTCAACCCTACACCCGAAAGGCTGAACCCTCAAACCTCAACCCCGAAACCCGAAAAGCCTCGCCTGTAGAAGTCTCCCCGCGTGGCCAAGTACCATGGAATCTCCTGCGAGCTTGATCTGCAGATCTACGGGGTAGGTTGATCTGAGCGAAGGACTGATCTGACTCACCGGAATTGTCTCAAATGCAGGCTTGTCTTTTTGATTGGCTTGCATCCTGCGCCCTAAAACCTAAACCCTTGTAGCATGTCAAACTGCCTTTGAAATTTCACCATGGACACATGCATTAGGGGCCATCCTCGAAAGCCTGCAGCCACCGGTCGATGGCTGGAAAGTCCGCGCGGACATCCATTCCCTGCAATGGGGGGGGGGTTTATGGGTTTTCTCAACGAAAAGCCGCGACAACTAGCAGGCCTTCTGAGACAGTTTTGGGCGGGTGTTTAAGGGATGTCTCTGAGCGGAAGGTGGATGACGAGCAATTGTCCAGAAATCGGTCTGGCCTTGTAGAAGAAGGCGCTGGCCACCACTCTTTCCACCATGCAGACATACTGGATGTCCACGATCGTCGGATGCTCGTAAGGCAGGAACCACGGGGTGTCTGAATTTCTCTCCTTCGTGGGGGGAGCACTCAAGCGTCACAAGACAAGAGCCACTCATGGCTGGCCAAGCCTACGCCTGGAGGAGCCAAGGATCCAAGGCTGTTTGGACCTGTCCCAAGGCGGCTGCAAAATCCACAGCTGGCTCGTTGAAGAAGGACATCTCAGCGCGGAAGAGGTAGTTGCCTGGGAGCTCTTGGAGCTCGTATGCGAAGCTTTAGCTTTCTCCAACTCTACCAGTGCTCCATGAGCCACAGCATCTTACCTTCGAGGGCCCGGCACCAGGCTGAGTGAACCGCGCGCTGCAGTTCTAGCAGCTCGATGGCCCGCCCCTGGATGCCGCGAGATTTCAAAAAGCGAGAACAGAGGCAAAGGGTCATAAAAGCTGCTGGCTGCTGATTTCTTGACCAGACATTGCCCAAGCAAGGAGCCCGCAGTCGCGAGAAGCCAGGAATCATCGGCTTCTCCGGGTTCGGAAAGACTCGCTCCAAGAGGAACATGGCATCCTTGGAACACGAGGAGTGGTTCGCTCATGGCCCCCCCCCCCCCCAGAAACCCTCAAACACCCAGGCAGCACACGAGGCTGTCAGTGGCCCATCGACCATCCACCTCCACAGCAGGAAGAGCGCCACGAGGAACCTCCGGTGCGACACAATCTGTACTCAGATTTTATCGGATTCACCAAGACACCAGGAATCCCCTCCAGATCAGGCTGGCGGACCTTCCTTTGAAAGGCCTCGCTTCTCTCCCCGTAGGCAGGAAGGTTCTCCTTGACTACGACGTAGTCGATACGTTTGGCTTCCTGATCTCCGAGTGTTGAGAGAGCAACCGTCGAGAAAACCGAGCAAAAGCAGCTGAGGCACGAGAAGCAGCCAAACGGCCTTGAGCAAACAACTCGAGCAAGTCATTCGCCCGGATGCCACGAATCGGAATGCAACTTTGCTTGCAGATCGCTTTGGGAAGCACAGAAGCTCAAGAGCAGAGCCTGGCAGCGTGGACAGAGCGCGGCCGAATCCCGATAAAACGTCACCTGAGTGACACTCATACACAAAACCAGCTTTAAAAGGTGACTGAAGTTTTAGATCCGTGAAGGAGGCTTGGGACTTTTTCCATGCGAATCAGAGGGCCCCTCGTTTCTTGCTGTTGTTCCTTTGAGTCAAAAGGAGGCCAAACCCACGCAAGGGTGGGGGGCCTTTGAGCCTTGTCCATTCATTGCAGCTGTGTCACCCGGGGAGCTTGCCGGCTGGAGCCAAAGTAGCGCACCTGTCACTCCCAAGCTCCCGGCATCTTCTATAACCTTTCTGAGGGTTCGCGCCTCCGCATCGGGATGACATCGGAGCCCTGACATCACAAGACACACAGAAGGCAAAAAAAACCAGAAGCAATGCACGAGAGGCACCTGCTTCGATCTCTCCTTGCGCCTGCACGAGCTCCTCACGCCCCAGCAGCTTTACGTGTCTACGGTCAGTGGACAGCGAACATTTTCCTGACTGCATTGCACACATTGCTCGTTTGGGTCCTTCCCCGTAGGTGTCTCAGCGATGCGTGACCTTGGCTTGTAGTTCGGGGTTCTGGAGACCTGGTCCTGTTCAAGGTCTATGTCTGCTGATGCTGCAGAATGCTTGCACATTTTGTACAAGTTTAACAGTTTAAAGTTGTCGGTTCTCGGCTGTCAGTTGTATTAGAGCTGCATGCTCCACGGAAGGTCAAGGGGCCGCAATGTTTGCCACTCCACAGCAAGTCCCTGGCGTCAGGAACTGTCAGACCCATAGCAGAATTGCAACATGAGCGCCTGCGCCGCCGCAGCCACACCGGCCAGGCGCCGACGTCGTGGGCGCAGGGCCTCAGATAACATGACAACCATGGCAATCAACGTCTCATAAAGACTGAAAAGCCTCTTCGGCGTGGCAGAACAGTCATGGCTCTTACCAGTCATCCCTCCCACTTCTGCTCTCTGTTGGCTTCGTCGCCTGGGCTGCCGCTGCGGCGGCAGCGAGGCGTGTGGAGCTGCCCAGGCCTTGGCCGAACACAGTAGACGCGAAGACTCCGGATCCTCGCTCCGTGCACCGTGCTTCAACCCAGAGACTTCAATACCCCTTAATTAAGGACTCTTCCTTAAAGCATAAGAGGGAAGCTTATATGGTTTAAGGAAGATTGATGAATTAAGGGTTCTTGGAGCCTCTGGGAAGCTTTCGCTGCCGAGATGCTCCGCTTGCTCGCAATGCTGGGACCATGGCTTGGCAATGGTACCTTGGAGCATGTGCCTCATGCAGTGTCATGGGCCCCCTCCACCACTCAGTAGACTCAGTAGACTCAGTAGACTCGAACTAGATTTCTCCTGTACTCTGCAACCCCGCGTTCCAAATAACGTAGCCACAGGAGCGGGCAGCGCCAGTTTAAGCGCCGCCGGAGCAGCGATCATGAAAGCATTTGAAAGAGCGAGGCACGGAGTGCAATGAAGATGGCGGGACTGAAGGGGTATGGGTTGTCGTACGATGGAGTGCGCGCTCACGACTTGTGAAAGAACTGTGTCCACTTGTGTTTCTTTCTGTACTGCATCGGTGGGTGCTTGTTCATGACAGGGTTGAGAGCAAGGCTAGGCTAATTCGAAACAAGACTGGCAGCCGAGAGGAAAATGGCCACCAAAGTAGCAGGAACTGCCGGACTCACCGCCAACACAATGTGCAGGATTCCAGGTTTGGCATAGCGAAAGGTCTGCAGGTACGGGACGATGCGGGAATGGCGCGCACCGGCAATCGGGGAGGTGGCAAGGGCACCACCGGTGGTGGACCTCGCAATGACCACAGCCGTTAGCTTGCACTGCTGAACATGTGAGCCAGATGCGCATCCACAGCGAAACAGTTCACACAAGCCATCAACGTGTGCATCTTAAGCCGGATGCTTCTCGGATGGGCCATCGGTACCGGTGGAGGAGGCTGCAGAACCTGGTCGACTCTGTTCGACATTCGACCGCGGATGATGATTCTGTTGTTGCGTGCGTTGTGCTGACACACAATCGGTCCCTGCATCCTGAAAGCAAACCAGCAGCCCTGTCAAGTGCTCTTCGCTACCGGAATGCTCGGTCTAGAGTTCCGACAACAGGAACATGAGTGGTGCTTCACCCTCAAATCGGCTCCAGGAAGGGCCATGGCCTCCCAATCCTCCGCGCGCCGTGCTTACAAGTCTCGCCATGGGCCCGCACTGCCCTCTTGCAGTAAAGTTGCGGGCCCGGCTCCCAAAGCACTCTCAAACAGTCCAACATGCTTAGTTTGCGCCACTATGCTGTGCTAGCGAAAAAATAGGATGCGAGGATGGAATTGGGAATGTTGACGAGCCAGGTATCTCCCCCGGCATGCTTGGATGACATTGACAGTTCTTGACTGATCAATGGATCCATGATGCAGGCTCATCATGAGGAGCCTCTTCACCACAGATCTCCGCTGGAGCAGGTGCGCTGATTCCCTGCTAGACTGGCCACAGTGCGCTCGGCGTTCACAGTGTGTGCGTAAAATAGATATGGATGGCGGGAGGGAAAACAGCAATGGTCTCACCCTTTGTCTGCTGTGGCTGCGGTGCAGAACGAACAGCATACAACGGCGACATATCTTAACAGGTAAGTAAAGTTACACAAAGGTACTTGCTGGTTGAAGCGGGTGTGCTACGCTTTCCCTGCACCGTGGCCACGTCTTGTTCATGTTCAGCAGCAGCGCCGTGTTTAAATGTGTTGAAACCACGGTAACCTGCGAACTGCATCTGTAAGTGTCCGTCTTTCAGTACATCAATGCGTGCAGACGCGGCGGACTGACCAAAACCCATCACCCAACACAGTGTCGTTGCACCCTAGATTGCAGGAGTTTACTCCATGCCTTCTGTGATTAAATCCGCACGCTGTGCATGGAAAGACAGCGAGAGCCAGGAAAATTGCGCAAAGGTCGAGACCCTGATCTTGTGGCCCAGAATGTTTCCTTTACGCGCCGGTCTCAACGGTCTCAACCCCTGCATCCCAACAGCACAGCTGATGGGAGAACTAAGCTTGCTGACAGCTTCCAGAGCACTCGAGGGGAGCTTTGAGCCTTGGAGCGCTCAGTGCTTAGCTGCCTTCTACTGCGAGCCTGCCTGCCTTTCAAATTTCGACAGGGACAGTTTCCGCAAGCCCATGTTCTTGGGCATCCATGGGCCCGTGCCTTTGGCTGTTGCAAAGGGTCTAGGAATATCAAGGCACGAGCCACAAACCCGCACTGCGAGTGCCCAGCTTGAGTACTCGTTAAAGCAAGGCAGTGGGAACCTCCATGCAGGAGCGGAGGCATGAAGGCTTGCTGGTTTTTTGTGCGATTTCGTTCCGGTGGTTTTTGGTACAGTTTCTACAACTCACCATCGAAAAATCTGCCGTCCTGGACCCACCTGGAACATGTCGTGGCAAGAGCTTCCAGCGCAGTGGCTGTGGGAATATCATGTACAGTGTTCCTCGCCACTGTGCTGCAGAAGGGCGCGATCTGTCAAATCTCAAATGCTGCGACAGACCACTAGCTTGGCTTCCGAGCACTGCCTTTGGTAAAACACTCGTGCATCTGGATTTCAGGAGGCTCAGAACCACAATCGAACCAGATTCTCGATCCAGTGCTCTGGGGACAAGCAATCGCATCACGTCACTAGGGCGCATACATAGAGCGCCTTCCAGGGTTTTCCTCGTCAAACGTAGGGACGAAAAGGCCGAAGCCCCTTTGGCATGATCGGCTCTACAGAAAGATGTCAAAGAGTTGCATCGTCACATAGTCACATGGTGCACCTACAAGCTCTACGAGGATGCAGACATGCTGAAAAGCCCAAGCTTGCACTCTGAAATGTCGGGCCTGAAGGAGCAAAGTGCTTCATCTTAAGTTCATAGATGTGGCGCCATTGTGAGGCCTAACTGTCTGATCTATGAGGGGTTCGCAAGAAATCTGCCGATCTCGGCAGGCAACTGGACAAAGCTGTGCGAGGCTCACCTTTCAGACGGCCTTCAATGCTAAAACGGATGGCCACCAAGAAGTTAGCGATTAGTCACCCGACTACGTCAGACTCTTCACCCAACTCCACAGCAAACTCCTGTGCAGACCTCGGGTGAGCCTCGCCTCCCCTTCGCTTGTCATACGGCCGTCTGACACACTCCCGCGATGGAGACGAGAGCGCCTACTTCCAACCTCTGGGAGTTGAGCTTGGAAGCTGTTCCAAGCAGTTTCCGTGCGTAGAACCCGAATCTATTCTGCAAACTCCCTCATCGGCTCGTCACCGTGGCTGTTGAGGCACTGCTCATCACAGGTAAGATGTGCGCGGTAAACTGCAGAAATGTTGGCGCTTCTTCGAATAGTGCCGAGTGACATGTGGGCGAAGGGCACACACAAGGAAGCCTTGAGGCCTTGAGGGCAGAACGATTAAAACACGGATGTGATCCGAGTTGTTGGCGTCTCGGCTTTCTAACGCCGATACTTGTGCGCCACTGTTCGCCTTATCTCCCTTGATGCAACCGGTGCTCCGTGCTCCAAGAGAGTGGGTTGCACGCTGTTAGGAACAATCCCATAGACAGTACAGAAACCTGTCTCGGTATCACAACGCTCATTGCACAAGCATGTTCAGAGCACGGAGGTCCGATGATGTTCTGTCGCAGCTTGTCCCTTTAAGGTAAGAGGGGCATTGTTTCAGGAGGGACGTACCTGTCATGTGACTGCTGATGGAACAGAGAACTAATGGAGAATTGCTGCTCCCTGGCTCTGAAACTTCCCCCCTCCGTGCATGACGTCTCCCCCAGTGGGATTCGATGACACGCCGTCAAACAATCCGACTTGGCAGTGGTTGCGGCCAACCAGCCTGTGATCCTGCACTGTGATCCGAGAGCTGAATCAATCCTACTTTCAGCAGCATTGCGACTGAAGCTCACACTGCAGCTAGCGCCCACCATCGATTTGCAGAAATCAGACGAAGGAACGGTAAAGGCAGGCCAGCACGCTGGATAACTTGAGCGATTCAGTCAAACTCCAGGGCTCTGCACGACAGGCTGCACAGGTCACGTTCTTCCACATTCTCAGTAGACACATGTAGACGTGATTGCTGCATATTGCTGTGCCTGCTAGCTGTCTTGCGCTGTCTTGTGCTCTTGAGCTTCTCCTCAGAGCTTCAAATGGAAGATCACCCACAGCGTATTGATTCAGGGAGACGTGGCGGTCCTCTGACTAGCCAGATATCTCAGATGACAGTATACACTCTTTTTGTCTGCCAACACCTCACCGAGTACTCAACAGAGTGTCCCAACGGGGAGCCCATTCTCTGCGAGCATCGCACCTTGTCCCTGTAGCATCCGATATGGGAGGCTGCTGGAGGTTTCCAGCAGCCCTTGTGAGTCCTACACTAGGACTGTTTCCTAGGGGTAGGGGTCCTAGGAAGCTAGATGCACACACTAGAGACTAGAGCTGATGTGATGACGGTGGACCCGATAGGCGCGACATGTTGCCTTACTGGGGCATGTTGGCGATGATTGGGTCCGGAGATTGGGTCCGGAGACAGACGCTTTCCGGCAGATTCAACCTTTTGTGCGGGGGTGTAGCCGTGGGGCCTTTTGGGGGGAGCGATGCTAGGGAGTTTGAACAGCTAAGGGAGTTTAGGGCTTCACAGTCTTCGATGTCTTGCTGATGTCTTGCTGGGCGAAGAGCTCCCGACGCCTGCTAAAGGAGCGGGCTTCCACTGCACTTACTTCAAGTTCGTACAGGTCTCCACTCCAAAAGTGACGACTGCAGGGGTTGAGTCGCGCACACAAAATACATGTTTCGCCGCTGGTCTACGGGCATATTCAAGTGCCAGCCTTCAGGGATGCTTACGACTCCCCTGCAGACGTCAGTGGGGAACCTCTTCTCTGCTGTGGTGTTTGAATTTCATTGCAGAACTGCCGGCTATTCCGGAGAGCTTGGCTGATGGAAGTGCAGTGGTGCTGGGCATGTGCTGGGCATGTGGCTGTGCACACCTTGTTTGGAAACAATAATGAAACAACTATCACAACCTCTTTCTGTCGTAGTTTTCCTCTCTCTCTCTCTCTCTTCCTCCTCCTCCTCCTCCTCCTCCTCCTCCTCCTCCTCCTCCTCCTCCTCCTCCTCCTCCTCCTCCTCCTCCTCCTCCTACTTCAACTCGGCATCTTGCTACAACTTGTCTTGCCTTCTCGTAATACTTCTTGGGCCTTGCGGAACCTTTCGATGTTTGGTCCTAGATTGCGGGGCACAACTTGCCCCTCCTTCCAGGTCCTTCAATGTCCTTCACTCCTTGACCTGGAGGTTGGTGTAGGAAAGCTTGATATTTCCCCCCCCCCCTTGCTTGGTTTCGGTTTGTCCCTGTTCAGGTCTCTGCGTTGAGGATCTTCCGGGTCTCCAGGCGTTGTCGATGAAGTTGGCGACCTTTACCTGCGGCCGCTTGTCTCTGTCCAACTTCGGTCTACGGCACTTTGCGCCTTTTCAATGGTTAGAGCCGTCTTCTAGCCTGCCCCGCGTCCCACGGCTTCTCGATCTCCTCGTTCTTTGCCCCCACCCTTGTTGCCTCTCTCTGTTTTCTCGCTTGTTACTCCTCTTCTCCTTCTCCAACAATCACTCTCTTCCTTTCTTCCTTCCTGCGCACTTAACCCGTTCTTTCGTGGGGCAAGGGGGCAAGGCCCCCGGGCGTCTTGGCGCTCGCTCTCGCTCTCGCTCTCGCTTTCGCTCTCAATCTCTCTCTCTCTCTCTCCACGCTTAGCCCCGCCAGAGGGGAGCTGCACTCTCTCCCTCTCTCTCACTCACTCACTCTCTCACTCTCCTCTCTCTCTCTCTCTCTCTCTCTCCCCGAAGAGGGCCGTACCAAAGTGCGCTCGTGTCCTATCTCGCACTGTCTCCCCTTTCTCCCACTCCCTCGTCAAGTACCAGGATTTTCTCAAAGAGACTGCCAAGCTCCGCGGATAGCTCGTGGGGCGTGCACTCAATGAGAAGGCGCAGGACGGATGCCAGATGAGTTGCTAACTCACAGGAATCCTGCTAAACCCTCTCACCATCTGTTCCGCCGTTCCGAGATGCTCTGTTATTGCATGAGAGCCTCCTCACAATGTGCAACGCCCATGCCTCCAAAGCACTTCTGGAACAGTGAGGCCGTTTCAAACATTGGGAGAATGGTACCTAAGCTTTCCACTTGGGGTCCAGTGGCAATCTGCACCTGCAAACACATCACAATCTCCAGTCCTCAGCCAAGGAGCCACTTCAGAAGGCTCTGACCTTGAGTAACACCAGGGGGGGATGCAGACGATCAAGCATTGCAAAGGGAAGCAGGGGGCCAGCTTTTTCGCCGGCACGTGGGAGGTGTCGAAGGAGGGACACATGAAAGAGGAACATGGTGGGCTCCCGGTGACCTCCGTGCAGCCGCGCTGCCATCGAGCTGACTGGAGGGACAAAAGCCGAGATGATCTGCATGATGGTGGGTTCCTGCCACGGAAACTTGCAGTGGCTAGGCGAGCAATCTTGCGTGTGCCACGAAACGCACGCGTCCTCCACTTTGGCCTCGGGGATAACCTTGCATGACTGCGGGCTGCTCGATGGACACATGTGCGAACATGCCCAGATGCCCAGACTGAGGTGATAAGTGAGAAGTTGTGGCCCAGAAGCACGCTGCACAAGCGTTGGAAGGAAGTCCTGCTGCTCCTGCTCTTCGCCTTCATCCACTGTCCCGTGTGACCCCACAACCTCCACCCCATGTGGACTGAGGGCTCCTCCCAAAGTCGAGGTACCCCGAATGTACCCCCAAACATACAACATTCCACATAATTTGGGAGCGTTGAGGAATCCCCGAAAAAGGCCTTGATCGTTCGCAGCCGATTCCTCCTGTTTCTCACGGTCTAGGAAGGCACTGGCCTGCATCAGAGCATCACCGGAGAAGGCGCTTGCACTTATCCTCTCATACCCCATGAACCGTGCCTCTTCAAACAGCTGCTGTGTGAAGCCAGTGCCTACCTCGAAGGGAACGCATCTTTTGCAAGCCGACACAAGGCATTGCCTACCCCTTGCAGTCGTGAGATTTCCCACCTGCATGGTCAGTCCGCCGCTTGTCTTGACATTGTCATAGCCTCGGAGCCAGTGCTTCCAGCTGTGCCTAATGTGCCTATTGGGCCTGGTGCATACTCATCTTAATCTGTGGGTTTGGGGCCTTTGGGCGCAAGCAGGTTGTGCGCAGGCCGCCGGGAGCCGCGCAATGGCAAAGCTTCGACTGGACGCTCAGCGCCGGTGACATGCTGCGGGCACGGCTGTCCAAGTAGCGCTCCTCAATGTCAAACATAAATGAGGAAAGAGCCGGGAAAGTCGGTGACGGGGTGACGGGAACCCGCGGCAAGCGACGGGGAAAGTGATGGAAGAAAGTGACGGGGGCCTTTGAGATAGGGACTTGAATAAATCCCTGCCGAGATGCGGCATCGCTCGAGCTCCTAATGGCCCGGCCTTTGAGCTTCCAGCCTCAATGGCTGGGCTTAGGGGGGCTTCTGAGGGTGTAGAGTGTGTTTCATCGTGTTTGGCTATGCGCTCTCTTCTCTTGTCCTGCGAGATCCCCGAAGTATTCTAGCGATTCCGAAGCCAGGAGGCCATCCAGTGGCGTGATGAAGAAGTCCTTCCGGGAAGACAACGAAGCTGACTCACAAGAGCTACGACGGAGGGCCGCTCCAAGCACAACCGGAAACCAACCTACCACAATGCGACCGACTATGTACAAACCTGCCGGGACACGAAATCCACTGCATGACAACTCACAACTTCTCCCATCTTGGAGGTACCCACTGTAAGAATAAGCCCAGGGCCTCGAGAGCGTCAGGGCTCTGGACTTGGGGTTACGGGGTCTGCTGTCAGAGCTTTCATTTTCGGCGTTCCCCACGTGGTGCCGCGAAAGCGCGGCAATGTGGGGCGTGCTCCTGGCCGCCTGAAACATCTCTTCCGGTGAGACCCTCAACTCAACGGCTGAAGGAGAAGGTGTTTGAGATGATAACCGGAAAACAACCAAGAAGCAACACACACAGGAACCACAAAATATGATCACACCCAAACCTAGACACGCAACAGACCATGACGATAACAACAGCAAATTGCAGCGACAATAAAATGACATAACATGATTGTGAACAATCCTTTCAGAAAAACTGATGACAAGGCTCAATGTAGTAGCAATATTCACAAGAACAACACTAGCAAGAACAATACCAAGCGTCCTCTAGCATGAGGACTCGCAAGGTCGTCACGTCATCACGTCGGTGGCCTCGACGGCAAGAGGAGGCAACGTAGGGCGAACTGACAAACCATGATAAACCTTGACCACAGCATGGACTTCGTGGATCATGCAAAAAATGTTGAGACTCGGGTCAGAATTCGGCGAGGTAATCGCCCACGGTCTCCAAGCGATCAGCAGCTGTCTTTTCCTGAGCATGCCCGCAGCTCTCTCTCGTCACGAGGCAACAGGTTTCATGCGCGAAGAGGCCTCGCGATACAAGGCGGTGACAGAGTGGAAGCGGAACCTCGGACTGATGGGGTGACTCTGCACTTCTGCTCTAAGTGCTCTAAGAGCCAAGAAAGGCGATTACTTCGCCGAGAGAACCGTGCGCCAACACGAAAAATACCAAGTGCACACGGCAGTTCTTTGGAGGAACTTACGACATGCATCTCACAGCTTGCGCCGTATGGTGTTCGACTGAGCGGCGCTTGTCCCAGGTGCTGCGTCAGAGACTGTTCCAGCTGGCGCCGGCGGCTCCGGTGGTGGGGCCTCACAGCCACGGACTTTGTGGCTGCCACAAGTCGAGTCTCATAGATTTTCACAGCCTGGCCTTCGCCAGCTCGAGGAGAGCACGACCTCTCAGGCATGTTTCTTGTTTGCATACTTGGCCTTGAAGGAGGGCATCACCACGTGTGTATGTGTGTGTAGAGGCCACAGCCAACCTGCAAGAACGGTCATTGCACCCGGGATGTGTCCACAAAATGTGCATACAGACTCCTACCACATTGTGCTGCTCTGCAGATGTGCCAGCAGTTGGTGTACTACAGAACCCCAAAGCTCTTCAGCTCTTCCACAAATCTTTGCAAATGGGAGCCAACGGCCTTGGTGGTTGGGCCTCCCAGCGCCTTGGCAGCGCTCGCAACGGTCCGAAACCAGAGGGGAAAGGTGGCTCTTTGTGCGCCCGCAGCAACTCCAACAACCACACAGGTGCGACACCACATGCTCATAAGAATGCTGTGCTTCACTACATTGCAAGATGACACGAGTATTCACGCTTCTTGAAGAGACCGACGAGAAACCAGGATAAACTGCCGCCACAGACACGATGACTTTTGCAAGCCGCTGTACCAGAAGATCGGTCAACTGAACAGGTCATCGACATGCAACTGAAGCCGGGGTGGGAAAGTTGACATCAACACTGCCGTCGACACATCCGTGCTTTGCCATGAACTGTGTAGGACAATTTGCTGGCAGCGGCAATACAGTCCGACAGCCTCGGCACCGTTTCGAGTCATCAGCTTCTCCTTAGCCCAAGAAACTAAGCCTTGTGGCCCACGTCGTTTCAACTGCAGTGTAGTCAATGCCTGCAGCGACGGCATGTCTTTTGCATCGAATCTAATATGCAATGCACCTGCATGAGGTGAATACTTAATCAACCGAGCATCATAAGTGCCGTCCTCGTGGAATCCAACCTGCGATTATGCAATATGGCCCGCAACCAGGAAGGACACATTTTCAGCCCGAAACAACGAACTTCGTCAGCTCATCCTCCTTGAAACCGGCCTGGTGTTCGGCTAGCGCGCTTAGCTTCTCCACGCAGCCTGCCTGAAATACAAGAGATGGTGTGTGTGTGTGTGTGTGCGCGTCAAGAGTACAAACACTGAAGCGGGTGGGTCATGTCCGCAAGATGAACATACACTGCGATGGACGTGCTGCTCCGACCTCAGGGCCGTTGTAACCCTTCTTCGCAAGCCGCACGGCAGTGTAGACGTCCTCCTTTGACAATCCACAGGATGACGCTAGGGCTCCTCTTAATGCTGCGCATGGTGCCCCCGAGCTCATCAACTTGCCAGCAAAGGCGCATCGCGAAAGAGCAGAGGAGGCTTTCCGTCGTCTTGGATACCGACCTCACAATCTGGAAACCCCCACACAACGAGTAGGACACATGAGCCAAGAAATCGAATAAGCCGAGTACAACCCGAACCACCAAACCCAGTTGTCTTGAGCATCAACATTGGATGGGTTTGGTGAACTTGTGCGTGACTGTTCCAGCCCGGGAAAACCAAGCCAGAAAGCATTAACCGCACAGGAGTCATGTTTTCACGACTGCACGGTCAACATCGACATCAAGCTGTAGCATGAGAGAAGACCAAAGGTCATTGCCCAAGGAACTGATACCCGAGGTTATCAATATCACGATCATGCAGGGCACGTTGAGCACTCCGTCCACATCCACAAAGATGATTGTGTCCACAGTTGCCTGTCGCATGGCAAGTGTCAGATATGCCATGCTGCAACGCCACCGTGCAGCCCAAGCTGCAATCTACAACATGACTGCAAAGGCGGACCCTAGTGATCGGTGATGTGGGCGCCGGCGCCATAAATTGCCAGCCTCTGCGAACCCAGCTGCGACGTTTCACGCAAGCAACTTGAGAGGCAGGAAGTGTTGCTACAATGCGAGGGTTCTGTAGGTCTGGCTTTCTCTCCCTCTCTGCCGTGCCCTCTGTCGACCTCCCTCCAAGGGGGCGGCCGAACTTCCAGTGCAAGCACTGAGTAAAAGGTGTTGGATTCAAATGATAAAAAAAATGCTGCGGACGGGAAGATGGATCACATGGGCTGTGCAAATCCTCAACTCATGTCTCGTCGTGACGCTCATCCAGAAGGCACCAAAGGTACAGCGGTGTCACATGACAGCAAGATTGCTGGTGAAGGCCCCGGCCACGGGTGCTGCAGGGATCCTCAGCTCGGGTTGTTTGCGGCGCTGACGCATGGCACACCCCAAGCTGCAGTTCGCGCAAGACTTCTGCCACATCATCTTGGCGAACAGCGTCTTGAAGGCCCACTCCGACTTCTGGTATTCTTCAGGACCCCTTTCACACCTCCCCAGCTGAGGCGAGGACGCACGAGGGGGAGGGAGCCTGCTGAGGCAGAAAGTGCTCCAAATCGGCTCCAGACATCAAGGTTTTTTTTGCGTTGCAAGAGGGTCAGAAGCCTTTCCTCAAACACCATACAAAAGCGAAGAACGAATGATGGCGCTCAGCTTCTGGAGCGCCGTTTCCGTGCGTGTGAATGCTTCGTGCCTCTCAGGCCAGCCCTTTTGCAGCGTCGTACAGCCGCACTCTACAACGCCGTTTGCATCCCGTCTAGTGCACACCCAAAAACAGCTAGCTTTGTAGCCGGGCCGAGCAGACTCCACGAAGTACCAAGCGACACTGCATTAGCATGCCATGAGCACATGAGCTTCAGAAAAGCAATAAATTCAAAGCCCAAGAAATAAGGAATCCATCTAGTATCATGGCCCCCCTGCTGACGAGACAACACCCATCCAGCAGTCGCATTAAAACGCTTCATACGGGCCACTTCCACTGAGTCTCGCACAGCTGGACGTTCCGGGCCCGGGGTTTTCCCTCCTCGGCAAGAAAAGCGCGCAGTGCAAACCTACCCAACTCAGGGGGAGAGCTTTGAGACCGCGAAACCCGGTCCTCACTGGTGGTCGGCTCAAAGGAAATCTCCAGGCCCTCCAGCGGCTGCCTCGAATCCAAAAGGTCCTTCCGGCAAAAAATGATGCCACAATATGCTCTGTTATAACGAGATGGAGAAAGGGGACATCTTGCTATGAGTCCTTCGGCAAGGCGCTGGGCAGGAAAAAGACATCCGGGCCCATCGGCACTTCGATGAAGCCATAGCCCTTAACAACAGGACGTCCGCGACACATGCAAAAAGGTTCTACTCGTACTAGTTGGTTTCCATAAACGACGCGAAGGGGGGGGGGGTACATGAGGCCATGATTCGGAAACCAACTGATTGGACTTGCTACGCACGCTATGATTCAGAAACCAGCGGGGCAGGGAAGGCCCCTTCACGCATCGCCCCCACCCACCTCATGCAGAAACGGCTACACAATCAGAGAACACCTTAACGAAAAGATGGAACAACAAAAATTGCAAAACGACGACCTTTAATGCCAGCAGTACCCTGTCATTACGACCTGACAGCCAAGAACAGGCTCTCCCGAACAAATTCACTACAGCATGCAGATGTAAGAGAAGCAAAGTGCTAGGGAAAGAAGATTTGATAAGTCATTGAGAGTTTCGGGCTTTTGTGATTTAAGCTTCCGGGCTTAAGGTTTTCATATCTTTGGGTTGCGGGCGCATGTTTCGTGCAGTTTGTGAACCGGTGATTCTCAAGGTTCCGAAGCAGGGACTCCCGTGTCTTCGGAATCTTGGGGAGCAGTCTCCCGCGTACCAGCCCTCGTGGCCTTGGACGGGTAGAAATGTCGGATTCGGCCTTGCTGTCGAAAGCCTCCTGACTCGGATTCCCAGCTATCGACTTTTTGCAAAAAGAAGCAACAAACTATATCCATATATAGATATTTACTTGCTATATCTATCTAATTTAGAACAATGTATAACAACAAACTCACACGGTTGGCGGCACCAAAATCTGCGGCCACATGGAGCTCTTGGAGAGCGTCTCCTGGGTGTCCAGAGCGCTGGACGAGGTGCACCGGGGCGGGTGGCGGCGGCTCCCGGAGGAAGGAGATGCGCTCCGCCCGGATCTTGCCATCTGGCATGACCCGAACCTGATACATCACACTTCCTCTACTTCCTCTACTATTCTACAGTTCTACAGCATATACGAGAGTCCTTCTGGCAGTACATCTCATTGCACAGAGAGCTCATGCAGAAGCTCGCCCTGCTCAGGCCCCACCTCGAACTCGACCCTCCTATCGACGACCTGAGACCACAAACGGACAGAGAGAGAGAGAGAGAGAGCGAGCGAGAGAGAGCGAGAGAAGAGAAAGAGAGAGAAAGAGAGAGAAAGAGAGAGAAAGAGAGACAGGGAGAGGGAGAGAGAGACACTCCGGAGGAGAAAATGCGTGTAAAGGCGGGGGACCTGCTCGCGCCGGGGTTCGCCCCCCGCAAGCTCTGGTGGCAGCTCACTCCTTTGGAGGGGAGCATGGCAACAAGCCGCCAAACAGCCGCCAACAACAGCCAACAGCATCAAAGTCAAGAGCAATCCCTGCAAGGGTGGCTTAACACCGATGTCTGCGGCGTGTTGTCTCCACAATTGTCTGGTTTGTTTCTGCTTCAGGCACGCAAACTGGCCTTCCTGCATGCAAGCAAGGCGACGGGCCGGCAATCGAGCATTGTGGCGGTTCTGGTTTGGTCTAACCTTCCAGTAGGCTTCCCCCCCTCCCTGATAGAGGCCAATGAGGTTTACAGGTGGCAAGAGGCATCTGCGCCATGTGAATAACAAGCTCGTGGTCTCGGTCGCCCATTCTTGATCTGTGGTTTCGGTGTTTGGAAACTGCCAGCGGCTCCACCCAGCAACTGACCGCTTTTCACGTAGCTTGCTCGTGCGATGTGTTGATCTAGATCGTTCCTGGTGCTTTCCCCTAAGTCCCCGGAAGGCTACACTCAGCTTGAGGGGTCCCAAACGTCGGCTGCGCTTGCATCGAATACGCACAGCTGTGGGCGCCTGAGGTAAAAAGCGTCGTCATTCATGTCGTCCGGCTTGATGAAGCCGAATCCCTGGAAATCAATGCAGCGGAGGCACTACGGCACTTTGCACATATTTGCTTGCGCGTCTTGTGCTTGCGGGCACCTTCTTTGTGTCATACGATCGGATCACTCCAACCTTGACAGCCGGCCTCAGACCCGCAGCTTTGCACAGGCAACTCTCTAGGCCAAGTACAAGGAGCAACTTCCGCCGTCTGTACTGGACAGGCCAACCTATATTTTTCATGTATATGCATGTGTATATATATATATATGTATATGTATAGCTTTGTTGCATAAAATCAAAGAAACACACAGCTGGCCGATTTCTTTCTGCCAGTCCAAGATGGAGTACATTGCTTGCCACATTCCGGAATCCTCCTCGTGCTCCGATGGCAAGGCTCCCAGGTGCTACAACATGCCAGAACGCATCATCTTCTGGGTGCAAAGACAATGGCGAGAGCTCCGGTGGAGGCGGTGGAGCCTCCATCGATCGCCCTGCGCAGATGTGCCACGATTCGCCCGGCCGAGCCATGCCGAGATGCGATCGGACGACCCCAAAAGTTCCAAAGCTAAAGTTGTCGAGCGACAGGCAATCAAAACTGGCATTTCTGAAAGGCTACAGGATTCCGACCAAATGTATCAACGCGGGGCCGCTGACCAAGGCGTCCCCAATTGTTGCCCTTCGCTGCCTTCACGTTCACGTCGTCTTGGGGGCGTTGGCAAGCGATTCTGGCCTAAGGGCCGGTCTTCCCCAAGGAGGCCGCAAAGAAAGCTGTCGAAACAGGGGGTGGGGGAGGCATGGGCTGAGACAAGCCTCCCTAAGCCTCCCGGCGCTGGGGCACAGGTGTGACAAATTCAGCTCGAGGTTTGCCCTCATTCTCCGTGAAAACAAAGGAGACCTTGCCGTCCCGAAAGAGAAGGAACATGGATGGGACGTCAGTGTCTGCGGAGAGACAACGGGCACTCTGCAAGCGTGATGGGGAAACAGGCCAACACCTGTCGAGACGGCATCACAAGTGGCCTCCATGTCCTTCAGCTGCGCGAAATTTGACTCCTGGACCGGGCACAAGACACCCCAGGCGGAAACCCCGAAGTGCGCAAGTTGCACACTTCAGCTGTCAAGCTCCTGTAGCTCTGGTGGGAGCGCTTGCTTCGGGAAGAAAACGTCCTGGAACTGAGAACTCACATGGGTATGTCGTGCTAACATGCAGCATTTCAACATATCCGCAACGGGCATATATGTGTCGACACTGGCCGTGATGCACTTCTCGCACAATATAAGATGGACAGCCGATCTGCTCTCCTTTGCCGAAACGTTGGACTGGATGAACCTTGCAGGCGACCCCGGGAAGTTACAAGGGTGGCGACTCGCATCTTCGCAGGCTATTGTATACGCAGTTGTGACGCACAGCCAGGCTCCAGGCCCATACTTCTTCAACGGGTACCAGTTCACGATTCGTCCATAAGCGGTCTGGCCGGGCATCAGAATTCATCGACTCCATCGACTCAACTTTAAAACTGACCGCAAGGCAGTGATCATGCGATTACCCCGGTTAACGTCTTCCGCACGGAACTTCTTTCAAGCCTTGACAAGGCCGTATGGTGCTAACTTGACCGGCTAAGGTCCCTTCCAGGAAAGAAAGGAGTTTAACATCATGGGTTAAAGGATCTGTTGCAGCTCTGGTCCCAGGATAGGCTTTGGGACGAGGCAAGAGGGGATCTTGCTTGGAAGCTGGATTGAATCTGTCTCGGTCTTCGGAGGGGTTTAGGGGTTCGCTGGGTTTCTTGGGGGGGTTTTCAGGGGTTTTACCCGCCCAAAACCTCGAAGGAACCAACGCCTCCCCCCTTGAAGCTCTTGGGCTTCGCCCTCGCTGCCGTTTCTGAGGTGGCCCCGGCCTGGGCTGCAAGAGGTTTTCCGTAAACCCTGAACCCTAAACCCTAAACCCTAAACCTAAACCCTAAACCCTAAACCCTAAACCATAAACCCTATCTCGGGCTCCGGGATTCTTGGGCTTGCTTTGGGGTTGCAGGGCTTCAGCTTCAAACGACTTGGGATTTTTCGAAGGGCTGCTTCAAGGGCTTCAGGGCTTGAGGGCGAGCTTTCGACCTCTAAGGCAGGCACTCCTCCTCACCTTCTCGCTTCATGGCCCCCTCGGAACATCGAGAATGGCAGGGAGTGCTCTGAATTCAGCATTTCCAGAGGTGCCTCAACCCTGAGACACGGACTCAAATGTGCTTCGGCCGGGTGTTCATCGTGAACATGCGCATGAACTTACTGCTTCTGGGGGGGGATGGGGGGATGGGGGGATTTTGCCACATTCTGGCAGTCATCTTGGCTGAAGGCTACAGCAAAGTAGTATTCTCTGGGCTGCGCAGTGCTACAAGATCACGGTCGCATTGCGTGCATGATTTCACACGGCAGCTAGCTGGTCGAACGGATGAACCGTGCTTAGGAGCCTAAAGGCTTCACACATACACACATACACATCTTGTGGCTCCAGGAATGATATCGTTGGTTGGCACCAGCAGCACGGACTGGAAACATGTGGAAACAGGTGGAAACATGTGGAAACATGTGGAAACGTGTGGAAACAAGTGGAAGCAAGTGGGAAAAATGAAACACTGTGGGGAAAAACGAAGGGCCCCGCAAGTCATGAGCCCTAGAGTGACAGCAATGCCACGTCGTTAGCACACTCACGGAAATAGAGTTTGCCGGAGTTCAGAGGCGATGACGTCATCTTGTCATACTGGCCGCCCGCAATCGTGCAGTCCGCAGTTCTTATTTGTCTTCTTCGCTTTGCAAAAGCAGATCAGCTGCAGAAACCTCCTGAAATGGAAATTCACGCAGTTTTGAGGAGCTGGCAAAGCGCCTCGGAAACGCACATCATGTGCAGAATCTACCGATGGCGGTGTGGGCTAGGTTTCACCGGGCACTAGCTGCGTGGGAAGAGCGGCAGCTGCACGAAGTCCAGTTCGCGAGCAGATTCTTTTTTCTGGTGCGAAACATGCGAAGAAACCAGGCTGCTGAAAGCGAAGGTGACACTTCGGCCCTATCCCAGAGAGTCATGAACATGTCCCTAGACTAGGACCCCAAGCTGCAAGATCCTCCAGCCCCAACGATTCTCGAAAATGAAGGTGGTCTTTGATGTTCCCTTTCCCTACGCCCATCAGCGCAAGGTCCGCCGTCTCAACCTGCAACTTCAAAAAACTGGCAAAAACAAAACGGAATCTCTCCAGGTCCTCGGGTTCCAGGGCTCTGGGGAATTCGAGAAGGGTTGGAAGAAACTTCGGAGCCCTTGGCCAAGGAAGGCCCATGGGATTTAGGACGTCTTGGGTGCTTAGGGTTTCAAGTTTTGAGGTTTTTTTACGGTGGTGTTTCTTTTCTTTTTAAACTTTAGGCTTCAAAGGCATGGCAATGGTGCCTGAACTCGCTCGTGCTTGTCTTGGCAGCGTCAGGGATCTCGATGCCGTTGCCTCCAGGCACCTGGCGCCAAGGCAGGAGGAAGCAGGAGGAAGCGATGCTGGGTGCATTCAGCGCCCTAAACCCTAAACCCTAAACCCTAAACCCTAAACCCTAAACCCTAAACCCTAACCCTAACCCTAAACCCTAAACCCGAAACCCTAAACCCTACAAGGCCATCTCGTGCCTGCTCAACGGCACCAAGCTCCTTGAGTAGCTTTGCGGCCTTCTTTTTCTTCCTGCCGCGAGTCGACTTATGAAATTCTGGGGTTGACTAGTCCACTGACAGTTTTTGGAAACCTCCGTTCTCCTGGCTCAAGCAGGCGTTGAGGCGTTTCGCTTTTGAGGTTATGCGAAAAACGGTTGATTAGTGTAACAAGGCCAAGGGATCGGAGGACTGCGCCTGGAATCCTGTATGACTCCTAACAAAGGGTACTTTCCTAACATCAGGCCCGACAGAGACCCCATGGTTCCCCTACGATATAGGCTCACTTAAAGACTTAGACTGAAGCGCCTCAACCACCGCTGCCCAAACAAGCGTCACTTGTAACACTTGCGGCTATCAACGTCCAGCACTACAGAAGTGACCCACGTTGCTCCCCATGTGCTGAGGGATTTCCAAGTGTTTTCATGGCCTTCGGATGACCTGCAATAAGTCGTTTGGTTGGGTTTCCGGCGGGTAACCTTGAAGAACAAAAGGTTAACCTTTTGAGCTGATATGGGGATTCTAGGACCCCAAAAAGTTAAGGGTTAGATGCTGTACTAGGTGGGGTTTCTGGCGGGTATACTGTGGGGCTTTGTGTAAGGGTCGGGAGGCGAGTCTGCACCCCAAGAGAGATTGGGAATAACGACCACTAAGGCAAGCTCTGAAGAGCTGGGTGCCAAGTCGTCACTGTGGAGGCTAGTATCCGCACTCAGCTGCATCAAAGGAAGAAGACTGAAGTGTACCGGGTCCAACCTTTCAACCAGGTTGAACTCTGAAGCTGATGAACCCCCCCCCCCATGGCTCAGCACGCCTACGGCCCTACACACAGCAGCGGCGAAGAGGCTTTGGTCCTGTCCAGCGCCATCCTCAACGGCGTTGCGAACTGGTTGTCCGGCCCACTTTCAATGTTAATGTCTGCCTTTTCCAGAAACGATGAAGCTCAGGAAGGGGGTTTAGGGTTTAGGGTTTAGGGTTTAGGGTTTAGGGTTTAGGGTTTAGGGTTTAGGGTTTAGGGTTTAGGGTTTAGGGTTTAGGGGTCTTCACATGCACGCAAAGAGCTGCGTAGGAAAGAGGGCTCTTCACGTCTGGCCTTCAGCTCAAAGAGCTTCTGGATGATTCCAGGATTGTTCCTAGGCTTCCCGTGCATCGCTCAAAGGTCTCGCCTTGGAAAAGCCCGTGTACATGCTGTTGGTGACCGGATTCGCTCGGGGCCCGGAAATACGCCGATCAGGCGCCCCCATTCCCCCGCCCCCGTTCCCCCGCAGTAAGCAAGCGGTGCATCGGTCGGTGTATCGCTCTACGTCTGTGCGGACGTGCAGGGACTCAACGGGTGGTGCATCGGTGCAGCGCCGTTACGCCGATAGCTTCTGTTCTTCATGTCGACCAGATGTAGAAGGATGTACTCCAGCCGTGCTGAGGCCGAGAGTGGAGGATTAATAGATAGCCGCATATAGATTGCTAAGCGCAAAGGTGCCGCAACCGTCGTTTACTGTCGACAACTTGCTGCAAGCCGAAGGTTGCCGAAGTTCCAACAGGAACCACACTACCAACAACTATCAAGAGTCTGCATGACACCCTCGTGCACGGCCGTGTTCCCGCCGATTGCCGGCCTCGGTCTATCAGGGTGCTGGTGGCCACGAACCGAAGCAATAACAAATTGACACCACGACATGATATGGGTGCCAGAAGTCTTATGACAGGCTCGTGATCTGCCGCGACTAGGGTGTTGACATGTCCAGGTTCGCTTTGAACTGCACCAGCGCCTGTATGCTGGAGAGCAGTGCCAACAGCAAGACCGTCTGCTCGGATGGCCTCCAATGACGACGGGCGGTCGCTAATCGCCTGAGTCTTTGGTAGCCGTGTACGGGAGTAGTTCAGAGAATTCTTGGGGGCCGCGGCAGCCACGTGCACGGGAGCCGCTCCGCTGCGGCTCTTCCTGTTGAGATCGGCACGGGCCTGCCAGATGCTCCAGAGGGCACAGACAACGATGAGACCCTCTTCAAGACAAAGTCACCTCAAGCAGCACTCGAATGTTGTCCCCCTGACCACAGCCACAAGCGTTGTGGAGCGCAGTGTAACCACCTGAGCCATAAGCGAAAAGAGCTCCATGTCGCATACTGCAAGGCACCCGCTTGAGCTGCCGACTTCTGTTCCTGGGCTTCAGTGCTTCAAGACGTTGAAAGCACATTCATTGGCTGCGGACCCATTGAACGCACAGAGGCACTCTGCAGCCAGAGGCTCGCGAGCTGTAGATCCGCCCCATGCTCCAGAAGAAGCTGCACAACCTGCAAATTATGTCCGATCCAAGCGTTCAACTGTTCGCGTTGTCAAGTTCACGACGCTTGAACGGATTATTTGGCTGTGTTGCAAGACAGCCGTGGGTGTTGCCAGGCCTCTTGCGCGTTCGAGGCTCCAGCTGCAAGGTAGAGAGCGTGAAAACCAGATGTGTCCTGCAAAGTCGCATCTCCCACGATACGTGGCACTCGTGGCGGCCAGGGCAAGCACCCTAAACCCTAAACCCCTAGACCCTAAACCCTAAACCCTAAACCCAGCAACAGGACTGCGACATCCTGGTAATTCACGTCCGCCTTTGCTTCCAGTAACCGAAGGGTCGCCTGCAGCGACGTGCGCAGTGCAACATGGAACTTCGATATCTCTGCAGGATCCACACGAAGAACACGTTTAGGGTTTAGGGTTTAGGGTTTAGGGTTCAGGGTTCAGGGTTTAGGGTTTAGGGTTTAGGGTTTAGGGTTTAGGGTTTAGGGTTTAAGGTTTAGGGTTTAGGGTTTAGGGTTTAGGGTTGAACACGGTAGAATCGGTCTGAAAGCCTCGGCATGGCCAGCTTCTGCAGCAGCGAGTAGGGGCGTCCGCTGAAGGGAGACCATTGAGAACGTCTCGTCCTGTGCTCTCTTTAGGGTTTAGGGCTTAGGGTTTAGGGTTTAGGGCTTAGGGTTTAGGGTTTAGGGTTTAGGGTTTAGGGTTGAGGGTTTTTTTTCTCCTCCTCCTCCTCCTCCTCCTCTTCTTCTTCTTCTACCCAGCGAAGAGCCCCCCCAGGGAAGGACCCCGGCACCCTCTCTCTCTCTCTATATCTCTCTCGCGGCTTGCCTTTCCCTGGGCAAACCTTTTCTTTCTTCAGAGGGCGTAGGGGGCGCGATGCTGTTTTGTCTTGGCATTGCTGACCTTCAGGTGTCGGCCAGTTCTCAAACCTTTAAACAATCTTGAACTCTGCACCTTTCTCGGTCACCTGCTTCTTTTCACAGCGTCTTCAAACTGTCTTCAAGAAACTAAGCCCCTGTTCCGCCGAGAAGTAACCCGGATCTCTGCACACAACTCCTGTTGAACTGGATTGCATACCGTGTCCTCATTCAGCAGCCCGCATGGGAAGCGGTCGCCCTGCTCTTCAGGCACTAACGTGAAGCCAGATGCACTCGCCAGAGCAACTGCCAGAGGACATACTGCCTTCAGCACAGCAGTGGCGTTGGTTGAGCCGGCCAATGCGACGATGGTCTCCACAGCGTTTGTCTCCGCAGCCTCACACAGATTCACGGCTTTAGAACTCAAGGAATCACAGCTCTTAAGACGTCTTTAGTGCCGAACACTTCAAGAACTCATGTTACTAGCATGGAGCCCGGAGCCCCGTCGGTCAGCCTTGTAAAGGGAGATCGCGTCCAAGATCTCGCCACCATGCATTAATGCGAAGCGCTTGTTAACGAGGCCAAGGACCTTTTCCCGGCTGACGTGGCGTGGACCACAAAGGTGCTTACTCAATCTGGCACTGGCAACTACCCCATGGCCAACCAGAGCAGATCAATAGATATAGTTCCCGACATGAAGCCGAAGGGGCATAACAATCTTTGGTTTGCTCTGCGGGGCTACAAAAAGAAACAGCCAGCTGTGCTTGGGAGGCTGAAAAGACGGCATCTGCCAAGATCGCCAAGCCGCAGTGAGAAGGTACACATCTCTGAATCTCGTCCTTTGAACATGTAGCCAGCCAAGCACAGTTCAGAGGCTGGTTTTGTGGCTAACACATTGAGCAGCACAGCAACTTCAGAATCCGCAAGCACGACATCATGATGGGCTGAGTTGCTCCAACTGCTGGCAAAAGATGGCTTCAAAGTCCACCATGTTTGCAAACCTTAGATGTGGATAGCTCAGGTTCTAGGAATCTGCAACCAACAAAAATATCGAGATCATGCCTCGTAAGACGTTCGAATCACGCCGAAGCACACGCCAGAAACAAGCTGCTTGGAGTCTGCCTCCTCAACGGCAACCTGACGCCCACATGGGGGCTGGTTCTCTAAACTATGCTCCCAGGTAGAATACAGAGCCCTTTATATGTAGGGTACCTGAAAAGGTCCCCAGAAATTTAGAGAATCCACCACAGGGTTCAGGACGGCCGCCCGCCTTGTAGTCAAAGCGAAACTCACAGAATTGCCACAGGCTGTCACCCAAGCTTGGGCGTTGCACCTTCGCGCAAGCAGGTGATCTAAACTTGACAATGCCACTGCAACACGAAACAAGTCAGGGAACGCTGAGAACTTCGATCTCGTCCGTGCAGGTGAAGATGCCGGTGGAAGGAACCACGATTTTCCTCAGTGCGAGTTGACAAAACCATGCACACATTACATGCTTCAAAGGAATATCCTATCGCAAGCACAAAAACACCTCAAATGACGAAGTTTCACTCGCTGGCATTTAGAGTTTCGTGAGCTTTTTCTCAAAGCTACAAACTTTTCAAAATACCGTTTGATTCATTTCTGACAATGACAAGGTGGGAAAGCGGCCGACATCGCCAAACGGCATAACCGTTGGAGGTGTGGGTACTTCACACTGCTGCCAGCGTGTGTGCGATTCGTGGTGGGTTTCCAAGCTATCTAGTCTGACGACACAACCCTAAACCCTAAACCCTAAACCCTAAACCCTAAACCCTAAACCCTAAACCCTACATACGCAAAGGAATCAACTTCAAATTTGTAGAGGCTGGCCGCGATTCCGCGTTCGCGGCACAGGCTTCTGCGACTGCGCTGTTACTCATGTTGCAAGCATCGCTGAGCAGCCTGTTGCCCTGCATCCAAGTCTCAATAACTTCTTGAAGCTTTGCGAGAGCGCCTCGCAGAAATGCCCAAAACATGAGTTCCAACTCGCACAGTAGCTCATCACAAACTTAACAATGTGCCACGGCCCTCCTCTGCTGCACAAAAGTGCGCCTCAGCAACGCTCCATTTCATGTACTCCCCTTTCGCCACTTCTTCGATTGCGACGTTGTCGCCACACATGCGGAGCCTTAGAGGCTCTTTGGCACTCGTTGGTGCCCTGCCTTCAGGCCGTTGGCCTGTTCGGGACCATATGACAGACCGACTGAGAGAACGTCTGGGGAAGAAGGGTCAACCGACGACCTTCTTTATCACGTACCATCATGTACCGGGCAGCTTTACTCGCAAGACTCCGAAGGGGAAGTGCCGGACTGACAGCTCCTGTGCAGCATGCAGACTCCTCAGCCTCCGCTTGTACATTATGGTCATACCGGCCCTTCTCTTCACAAACAAGTGCTCCTCTGTCGTGGCTCTTTGCACGCGACATGGTGGCTTGAGTTGAACAGGGTCCTAGCAGTCCACTTCTCTGCTTTTGTCTTCGGTGACAGATTGCAGTTGCACAAGGTAGACGTCCACCTTGTTGGCAAACTCGCCATGTAGCTCTCGAAAGAGGTCGGCATAGTCCTGCCGTCACATGTTTTGGCAGGTGTTTTGGTAAGTCTCACGTGTCGCACTTCTCATCCTGGCCTTTGACACAAAGCCCAATCCATCGCCCTTCGGCATGTCGGTGTGGGGCCCGTGTGGCTCCAGGTTTAGTGGCTGGTGACTGCTGGGGTCGGGGTTGGATGTATAGTACTCATGTACCTGTGAAGTCCGTATCAGCCCTGGTGGTGGGATGAGTTTGCATTGTCGCCATCTTAACATCATATCGAAGGCGCGACATGTCCAACGTGTCCAAGGCCATTGCAGCTGCGTGTTGCACTGAACGGGACCCGGCCTTCGAGAGACAAGACAACCTGAAGTCTCCAGATTGCTTCAAACAGATCAGATCAAGCCAAGGACCTCGCTCACATCGACATGAACTACGACATCTAAGACATCTAGGACACTAGGACTGTCTTTCTCTCTTGCCCAATCCACCAGGCTGCCGCAAGTCGGTGGCTCTCGCCGTTGGGATCAACTCCCCTGGTGGAAGCGCTACGGCACGAAGGAGACACAGAGGATGGTCGAGGCAGCCCCAAGGTTCACCGCCACTGACAACTTCGCAAGACTTCGCAAGCAACCCCTCTTCCATCGCTGGGACTTTTCGTGCGTGAAACCGGGCAGCCGCGGCTAGCGGCTAGCCATCACTGGCCGGCCATCACTCCGTGCCGTTGTTGTCCTCTTCAGCCCGCAACTTGCTCAGCCTCTCCTGCAAACAGCAGCACGACGAACATCTTCCAACACAAACCCGAACATCTTCCAAAATTTTGAGAGCACGTCTGCCAGTCCTGGAACTCTTCCCAGTCATAATCTATCTCCGTCACCTTGCACTGGTAATGTTCCATCACCTGGCCAACGTGCCAAAAGTGTGCCAAAAGTGCATCTTCGAAGATTGGCTCGAGCCGTAGCGAGCCTCTTGGACATGCTTGATCTCGTCCGTTGTCACAAGGCTCACTGCAACGCCCTTCAGGCCGAACCTTTGCCCAAACATGTCAGGCTCCCCCTGCAAATGTCAGATCCGACTAGAGGCGGGAACAAAAAGCTCGGCCCGACACCGACCAGTCCTTCCAATTCGATGCAGGTACGTATCCTCAGCACAAAGCACTAGAAGAGACAATGCCTACAGTCGGGAAGATGTACATTCCAGCTGGTCTCGCTGGCCAAGAAACCATGGCAACGCCCCAGTTACGGGTGAGAGGCATCTCGTAGTTCACCACGAGGGTGACCTGCGGAGCATGCGGCATGGGCCCAAAAGAGCCCCCAGGGGGGTCGTGTGTGCCACCTGTGGCACATCGATCCCACGGCAAAGGACGTCTGTCGCGACCAAGACCTGAATGCAAGCTACGACATTTAGAGGTGGTCACATACACAGCGGCTTCTTGCGACAGCCTGAGTCACTCCGGTCCTGAACTCATTCATGACCCGGTCTCGCCTTCAACAATCACGAGCTCAGCAGCTCACAGCACTCTCACCAGTGGAACTCAAAATGTCTAAGGCTGGTCGCTTTTCTTGGGGCATTCTCTGCAACATCGCCCGCCAACCGATTTTGACCAAGATCGGCCAAGGCTGTTGATTTGCGAAGCTATTTCTGCACTGTAGCAGCATGCCCCCTGAAGAGTCACAAGAGTGCGAGAGCGGTTCGAAGACCTCTGTGAAGCGTAACGTGCAGGGGAGACTACAGGGGCAGCTTCTTTTCGTGCACACCGCCCTGCTCACTCAGTTTCCGACCGTTGTGGTGCTTAGGGCCTAGTCCTTGTGCCAACGTCTGACACTGCCCATGGTCTAGCAGAGCTTCTATCCTGGATGCTTCGGAGCTACGGCCCAGGAATCTGCCCCGGTTCCGGCTGCTGCTGAGGCGGCTACTCGTCGGGGTTTGTGATCTGTTTTGCATTGTTTTGCTGACTCTTGGAGGAGTAAGACCTCCTCAGACCTGCCCCATCCAAAAGGACTGGCTGGCCACGACTGTGTTTTCGTGTCTATTGAATTGGCGCATGGTGCATGAGCGTTTGGATAGAACTCGACATAGCATGGCAATCGTAGCATCAGGGCGACCCTTGCCGAAAAGCAGCAACAAAGTCGCTGCTCGCACCGCGATTGCCGAGGTCCAGGCTCTTCTACGGTCAGGCCCTCTTCTTGACCGCTGCCTTGCCTGGCGACGTCAACGTTCAACGTCTTCATGTGCACGCCGTAGATAGGGGATGCTTTTGCAGGAATCAAGTACTTGCCAGGCGGACGACCCGCAAATCAGCGACACAACCCGACCTTCCTGCTGCAGCTGCTCCGCAATTTGGAAGGCCTCGCATATTGTGCCGAGCCTACGCCAACTGTCTCGCTAGCTTCAACCTCCTGCCAGTGCTTGCAAACAGGCACTAGTTTCGTTGGCCATCGCGGCTGAAGGGCTGAGCAGTAGCAGTCTACAAAGTCAAGAAGCCATCCTACTCAGCGAGCAAAAGTGCACCTTCATGGCATGCGGCCTGGAGGGTGGGAAGGTGGAGCTGACTCCCCAAAAAGATGAAGAGGGACTGCTTCCGGGTTTCTGGGTACCGAAGATGAGTTGCAAAGGGCCCACCAAGGCTCCACGGACATCCTCCGGCTGCCGCTCAAGACTACCAGGTGCTGGGGACCTAACTCTAGCGAACCTAGTTGCTGCTTTGCAGCAATAAGCTATGCGCCCGGTTTCGCGGAAAAATTGCACGGAAGAGGACATCTTCGGACAACTGCAGAGATCGATGATAGGAAAGAGCAAGACCCAAGACTCCCTCGGAAGGCGTCTTGGCACGATCCTCCATGCAATGCGCGAAACCACGGCTCTAGAACTACTGGTGCTGGTATCCACCTGTGTTGCAGGCATCCTACCTTCTCACAGCGAAGCTTCAGCGCCTTGACCACATCATTCACTTGCAAACTTGAGGCACGCAGGAGACCACAAAAAGATTTTTTGGGTTTACGAGAATAGGGGACCCCGGATTAGACCCTTAAATAGTAGTATCCCCTCATAATGGGGACCCCCATCTATCAAGCGACTCAGTCAGTACCAACCGGTCAGGCTGGACACTGGCCGCTAAATCTCAACCCGAAACCCCATAAACCCTAAACCCCTGAACCCTACACCTGAAACCTGAGACCCTGAACCTGAAACCTTAAACTCTAGACCTGAAACCCTGGCCCTAACCCCAACCCCCCAACAACACCACGGGGGGGGGGGGGGCTCGGGGTCATAGATGAAATTACCCGCCCCCCCCCCCGCAGCATGGCTTCAATTTGGGAGGTCTCGCATGATCTAGCCACAAGCAAAGCACAAAAGTAGGCCACTTGAGCAAAGCCAGGCAGACGGATCATCTTTGCAGCAACGCATATCGCCAGGACACCCTCGGCGGGTTCTCTGCTTCCCAGGCCATCCTGCGTGGCAACATTTGCTGCCAAAGCTCACAGAAACGCCATGAGATTCGGAAGGATTTGATCTTGGGGGAGGGATAGCAAGAGGCTACTTGCCAGGGTGCTGAGGGAGCTATAGGGAGCTGCTGTCAAGCATCGGAAATCATAGCGATGCGTGGATGTCCCAAGCGGATTTCCACGCGTAACGCCCTCAGCACACAGCCACAAGCTTGACACTCGGACGCATGAACGACTACATCTTTTGGTAGGTCCATCCGTGCCACACACAGCGATACCGAAAAGAGGCTCAGCATCCACTGCACCGCACTGTGCACACAAGGGCACTGGGCAAGGGGCCAAGTTGTCGCGAAGCGTGAACAACTGTGAGGAAAACCTCTGGTCCTTGGAACCCGGATGTAGACGTTTTGGGTGAAAGCAAGATCTTGCTCCACGAGTTTTGAATCGAACTTTTTTGGACAAGTCACGTGAGAGCGGAAAGCATCCCTGCTCGAGGTGGTCTCACTGAAGGGATGTCCTGAGCAGAAGGCCGAGCACCAGCACCTACACACATGCGAAATCCCATGCGAATGCAGCCCACTTGTTCTCGTTGGTCGTCGAGGTCATGCGCTGCTTGGCCGAGAAAGGTTAAGAGCTAAACTCAAGGCACAGACTAAACATCGCAAAGCTGACAACGAATTTCACATGCTCGACCACATTCTGCATGCAAGCCACCCAGACTGTGACAAAGGCTGTCGTTTTCGCGGGGGTCCGCCTTTTAACGCAAGACGAACCCAGATATCGAAGGCCACATTGCTGAGTTCTGAGGCCTTGCCACGCCAGAGGTCAAGGCTTCCATCATCTCCAAAGCAGCCTCTTGAACAAAGGTTTGAGGGGCCCTTCCTCGCAAACCTGCACATGGTGACTGCCTAGCTTTCACCAAGGTACCGTAGGAGGCCCGAGACTCCGAGCTTGTTGCGGCTGGCGCCTTCACACAAGCGTGCGTGGCAGAACAAGTCGCCTCCCCGCCTTAAGCATAGTTGTTTGGGGAAACATGCCGCCTATTAAGGTTTTTCAGAACTTCAAACCGAAAGCGTTTACCCAAGCTGCAAGCATGCGGCGCTTCCAAGCCGCTGCTGTCCGAGCCTGACCAACCGTACCCGTACCAGCTTCACAGAGTTGTGCGGCTTCAAAAAGGCGTCACAGTTACTCTGTACACAACGTGCAGCTGGTCTACGTTCGATGCCAACTTATATGATGCACCCGACGCGTCATAGAACTCTTGAAACAACAAGGCGAAAATCACCCAGCATCTATGCTGAGCCATACTGCTGGACACAAGCATGGAACTCAAAATGCAGAGGTCAAAGAACATGACTTGGGCAGCGACCCCTTCTCTTTGTTCGAAACCTTGGCTTCTGCTCAGCGTGCGGCAATCCTGCCCCACGTCTCCAAAGGACAAAAACCGAACGGGAAGATGCGCTTGAAGCAGGTCGCTGCCGCGATTTTGTTGGCTGCAAAGTCCGTGGACTCGAACTTGCGAAACCTCACCGAGGTTGTGTCAAGGTGAAGGCTAGACCGCGCTGCTGGCGGGTCAGACAAGAGTTGGTGCAAACAGGTCTGATCAGAAGGGACCCCATCGCCCCAAGGATCGGGCATCGAGAGCCTACCCCATCCCCCCCCGCCCCAATGCCAAGAGTGAGCATCATGAGCATCAGCTCCACCGCAACATGGATCAACTTCCGATAAGCCCAAGCAGCGAGAGGCCGTATTGTGAACGGATCGAAAGCTGCATCAGGTCTTCCGCCATGGCTATGCAGACACTACTTAAAAGACTTCGGGAGGCAGAGCCGAAGCCTTCTCAAGTGATTTTGAAAATCCTTCAACCCCAAGGATTTCAGGCGTCGCATGGTGTCAGTGGGTTCTACCATGATGGAGCAAAACGCCTTCAGAGGCTCTCCGGTGCCACGTTGAGCGCATGCCAACGCGTCTGCCCATGGCAGATGGCAGACTCCGAGCCTTCCTCCGGGAGTTGAAGAAGACGATGCTCTGGCCCATGCTGAGAGAACCATAGATCTGCCACAGGAGATGCCGTCTCATTTTTCAGCTCTTTATGGAAGTGACACAGCCTCAGGTCACCCCCAGCTCTTCAAGACAGGTCAGGCGCGCGTTCATCAGCTGCTGGAACTTGTCGTTCTCATCCTCGCAAACCTTGTACGTCTGCCTGGCACTTGACACACACACACACACATGCCGGTGCCCTCTGTACTTCAGACAGACCGGCAAAACTGCTGATTCATGTGGAACCCAGAAGTTGAAAGCTCTTGCAATACTCTTTGAACACGTGCTTTAGAGGATCTCGCTACAACATTCAAGCTACCTCGGGCATTGATCGCGCGTTGCTGCTTCGATTGAAAGAGCTGTCTGTCGCAGCCGAACAGCGACTGAGAGTTCTCTGGCAGTGCTGAATATCTAACCATAAACCCCATACGGCCACTGACCGTAAGCTTCCAGGACCCCTGGGGATTAGCAGGTGACTCAGGTGCCCGCTGGATGCTGGCAACCGTCAACGCCTCCTTGGAGACCTGGCTGTGGGAATATGGGGGGGGAGGGGGGTTTAGGGTCTAGGGTTTAGGGTTTAGGGTTTAGGGTTTAGGGTTTAGGGTTTAGGGTTTAGGGTTTAGGGTTTAGGGTTTAGGGTTTAGGGTTTATGGAGGGGGGGGGGGTTCCGAGATTCGCGGTGCCTTTTTTGGGGTCGTGTTTAGAAGGAAACACTACTATTTGGGGGTCTGTATGTTGGAGGTCCCCCCTATTTTCGTAAACCCCCATAGAATGATACTCTAGTATGATTAAGACCGCAGCAGTCGGGTCAGCTCGACTGAGAACTTGTAGTACTGTGAGATGGTGCAAGCGCAAGCTTCTCACCCGTGTACACTCCACACCTGCGACAGCGGCCCAGCCTTGATCACGGTCTTGCTAGCGAGCAGATTCCGTGCAAAGATTTGCACGTGATCAGGGTAGGTGGCACTGAAGAAGAGAATCTGTCCAGGACTGAAAACTGAAAGCGGCAGAGACCTCATTGGCACAGGGCCTGGATGTCTTCTGGCAAATGCTTCCGAACATCCATCACATGGGTGCCCATGAAGTTCTCCTGCGCAGATGTATCGGGGGGAAGCACAATACGAAGGCAGTGGAAGATTAGTAGATGCCTGACGCTGCTCAATGATGCGTGATGTTGCGCGCGTACCGCGAGAGAACGTCCTGATCCAGCATCACATCCGCTTCATCGAGAACCAAGACCTTGAGCTCCTTCACGTAGACGAATCTCTTCTTACACATGTCCTGAAACAGGACAGTCACTTGCCCGTAGCAGATTAGTGGTGCAGTCGCAGTCTGTGCATGGCAAAGGCAAGCATCAAAGCAGAAGATTGCCATGGAGGCAAGACGTTGCACTATGCTGGAAGGCAGGACATTGCCCAAGCACGTGCACAATGAACATCCCTACAGATCGATGCCATGCTCTCCGCGTGAGTTTTCCCCCCTTCGTCCATCATCTTGCCAGGCGTGCCGATCAAGATGTGACAGTCTATGGTGGAGCCGCTGGGAACACGCTCCTCGCACGGAGAGATGCTCAGCCAAGACGTGCTGAAACCAGCGCAACATTCGCTCAGCACTCGCTCCATTCCCGGGCACACAAGGTGTGTCTTCGGACCAAGCGCGTACCTGCCAACTGAAGCTTCTGTGGCCAAAGAGGATCCTGCGAAATAGTCGAATCATGCTTTGGGGAACCCCAGAAGGTTCAAGAACTCGTGGTTTTGTCGCGCGAGCTCTCTGGTTGGACCTGAGCTTGGCAAAAGGCAGATGAAGGCTTTTGGGGACATCGGGGTCACCTTTGGCAACTTCTGAGCGGCCGGCACAAGATCATGGCCTGCGGCTGCATGACCTCTTTGAAAAACTGAAACAATTGAAAGTGGTATCACGAATGAGTGTGGAAGCGTGATCTTTTCTGCAATACGTCGATGCTTAAGCTCTGACACACACCTAAGAACCATTGACATACTGCAAACAGCTGCAAGCACCGTCAACGGTCAGGTAGTGTGAGCAGCACCGGCGAAACACTGTGAGAATGTGCTCATGCCGAGGATTGGGCACTGATGTCAAGCGCTTGCAGCACGGCGATGCTGAAGCAAGCCGTCTTGCCCGATCCATTCTGCGCCTGGACAGAAAGAGCAAGCGTGAAGCCTGTGTCAGCAGCTATTGTGCAGAGATGAAAGCGACTGCGCGCCTGTGCCTGAAGACTTTTGCCGCGTTGACCTTTCTCACCCAGAATACGTGGCAGGGTGTGTGCCTGCAGCAGATCATCCGAAAATTTCAAGAAGTGGACTCTCAGATTCTGCTGGCTTCTGGAACTAGCTGGGGGGAAGCTTGCCACTTCCACTTCTTATTCGACGTCCCTGCCTGGATGACGGAGGGCTTCACGTAGCCCAAATAGTGAATGCCCTCAGGCTAGCACAATAAGCCGATGCTACGACACGAACTGCCGCATACAACATCCTGTGCGCGTGGCGTCCATCACCTCCTTGCTCAGGCCGAAGCTCTCAAAACTGGGTGATGCGAGAGGGCAGAGAACAAAAAGAGTGCGTTTGACGAGTTTCTAACAGGGGGCCCTAAACCTCAACCCCTGAATTCCTCATAGGGCTCTGAGTTTCAAGCTTCTTTTCAGATGACAGGAGCATCTCGGTCCGGGGAAACTCAATTTCCTCCAGGATTTCTTCGACACAACGAGCCCTGCTTCACTCGGAGTCCTCGGAGTTCTCTCGGAACTCCGGCTGAAAACGCTTTTGTCATGATTCCGGCCTCGTCCTGGACTTCAACTGTGGCCTTGTCCTGCGAACAAAGACATGCAAAATCATGCGGAACCTGTCCACCTTGCAACCAGGTGGACCCCCTGCCAACCTCGCCCACCAAGCCACCAGAACCACCTCGTAGCAACAAGGCACATGTTTGCCACATTTGTCAAAGGCTAGAGCTACATGGAGTGTGGGCCGTCTCCGCATGGTGCAGTGCAGCATCCTTGCCTGAATACCAGGGCGAGCTGTTTCTGTCCTGCCAGAAAGCTTGAACGACCGGGGAAATTGCAGATGCCCGTGAGAACTCAAACCCGCACTATCATTTGCAGCTGTCCGAGGACCAGCCGCCGGAATTCCCCCACTTCTTGCCACCTTTGCATCAAAAAAAACCAAGCACCGAGGGAGAGAAAGGACTGGGTCGCAAGCACAACAAACACTGAATCCGGGCCTCCTCCTGAGTAGCCACCCCACTTGTGACTGCTTTCTTTGTCCCATGTCTGGTCCTTGCCAGAGTCCCTGTCATCCCAGCCGCCATGTCCCGTGGACTCAGCCAGGCAGCTTAGTCAGGTTGGAGGGGGCAAACAAACTGTCGATACTGTCCACCTGTTCTTATTTTGCACAAGTCAAACCACGGGCAAGGCTGGGCAGCGAACCGTCGGCTTGTAGTTCGACCAAGCTGCACCGGCCCTTCGAGGACGGAACTTTAGGGTCCCGAAGCAAGAAGCAGACACTCCCACCGCGCAACTCCTCTGAGGCGCAGTCCCTGCTTCGAATCCTGGTGGCTGAGGCAAGGCCTCACGGCCTCACATTGCACATGGCACCAGGGTTCAAAATTGGAGGAGAGCTCTCACCATCGGGAACGAGCTGAAATCGATGCAGAAGCTGCGGCTCATGCAGCTTCAACACCAAACAGGATGTGCATGCTGAAATGGGCCATTCAGACTGCATGCCAAGGTGCTCAGATTCCAGTCAGCCATGGCGCAGAGATCCAATGCTCTGCTAGCTTTAAGGCACGTAAAGTCTGGAAGCTGAAGGTTGAAGATGGCTGGGTTCCGTGCTACCAGAGGTCAACATTGTTGGCAGGGCTTTGCTTGAGATCATGGGTGTCTGAGTGTCCGTATTCTGTGTGACCGGTTGGGAGCTGGAGACCGAGCGGCACGTTGAGCACTTGTTGACCCGTTTCATCATGCACTGGCTTGAAAGGCACATGTACAGTGACTCTACACTGAAGATACTCAATATTGAATATCTCCAAGAAAGCAAGCACATCAGATTATTCCGTCAAAAACAAGGCCACCGTAAACGCCCCAACTCCCAGCGAGCGAGACATCGGCCGCTGGTGCCACCTCCCCTGGTTGGGACTCCCGACTGGTCAGATGGTCAGTCAGCCTCAAGATACACCTCGTCTGGAATCGGCAAGCTGGACGTCCAACTCAGATGCATCCCAAGCCCCGTAGCCGATCTTAGTGACCTCCTTACTCTTGGGTTGCAGGCTCTTGCCCACATGAGCTTTCAGATGTGTGAAGCTGTTAAGCCATCTCAGGCCGAGGAGAAAGCCTACGTCCGACCGCTCCACCTAGACAAACCTAAGCACCCGAGCCGCCTAGCAAGAGGCAGCCGCAACAACATGGATGAAACACCTGGCAAAGAGAAGAGCAAAGCAGCTCATGAACCAACAGCGAACACTTACCTGTGACTTGGCGTGACTGTATATGATTGTAACCTCTGGCTGGTGACTTCGCTATATGCTTTCGAAGATGCCAAAGATTGCCAAAGAAACTGACTGACCCCTCCTTCAAGGTCACCGTCCACTCATTTACCTCCTGCTGCGCCTCTCCTTTTTTGTCCTTGTGCACAAGGCGGGCATCACGCCTTCAAGGCCACAACAAAGTGCGGCAGGTGCCCATCACAAGGTCCCGAACTCGTCGGCGAAGCGACATCTTCCGGCCGCAGTGTCTGCAACATGGTCCTGCAAGTTGTGCTGCCACTTATCCCGGAACTGACCAGGAAGAACGTCCGTAATCTCACGCCAGCATGGAAGACTCCGTTGCGGCTCGCAGCACACTTCACACAGGTTCGGCCAGCGCTTTTGCAGAACATCGAGGTGGTCTCCCATCATCTTGCAGTGCGGCTGTCGTCGCAGCAGGTCTACAACGATGAGTTCTTCAACACCAAAGCGGCACCAAATGCCCTGGCCATATCGCATGAGCGGTATCGGCTCACCGCCGATGTACTCCCCCGCAAGGGTCGTCTGAGATCCCACACGCCCAGGGCTGTCAAGCCGGTTGACGGAAACGAGGTGAAAGCGATTCTCGGTCGCGCGCTCCGTCGCTGCCATCTCAGCTGCCTCGCTCCTGTCCCAATCGGTGGGGTGGAGCACAACCTCCGCAGCTTGCAGCGCAATGCACCGTGAGAGCTCAGGGCTCCAGACTTCGTCACCGATGAGCATAGCCACACGTCCCAACCCAGGGAGTGTCTCGACCACTATGCAGCCACCCGGAGAAGCCCAAGAGCTTTCCGCACGATTCAAGTGGGTCTTTCGGTACTTCAGTAGCACTGACCCATCCGCTCCAACCAAATAGGCGGTGTGAAAACGGATGCCTGCTTCTTCTTCAACAAGGCTGCAGCAAAGGTTGAAATTACTGTCCTTACACCAGCCTTGGACCTTCTTCAGGATCTCGCTCGAGTAGGAGGCAGCTTCCGCAGGATCATTTTGGACCTCGTTGCGACGGAAGCACCAGAGGGCCGGCAGAACGCCCAGCGCAGCTCCCCGACGGGCGGCGTAGGACACCTGTCGCTGGGTCATCCACTCGGTGCACTGCCGAGTGTGCGTCGCGCTCAGCTGCATCATGGCCACCTTCAAGACGGCGGGGCCCTCAAAGGGCAAAGCAGCAGGTTCTACAGGCGCAGGGCCATACATCACCGCAGCCGGCACCGACTCCAGGGGTAGCCGCATCGGCTCGTACAAGTCGGGACGGCGAAAAGCCCACAGGTCAGCCCAGCTGCTCTCCTTGAGCTCAGACTGCCAGGGCATTACGTCCGAAATGACCATGTCGTCATGCTCCTCTGAGGCCACAACCCTCTGACCTGAAGGATCACAAATCTCAGAGCCTCCTGTCCACGGCCACAGCAGGCCCACAGTGTTCGGGTTGCCCACTGTGTTGGAGGCTACGTGCCAAACCCCGTTCTCCAATGCACCTGCAAGGGCAGAACGTGGCAGAACAAGGACAGAAGCTCATCTCATTTTAGTCTTATATAGCCCATAGCTAAGCCACCAAAGTGCATCTTGGCAAAGGCTGCTAGCATGCTGACCAAATCACGTAGTGGAATGTGCAGTCTCATTTCATCGGGTCCACGGCTGTTCAAAGAGTTCAGAAGAACCTGGGCACCCTTCAGACAAAGCACACGCGCCGCTTCAGGAACAATCCCGTCCGCGCAGCAAAGAACGCCTAGTCGTCCCAATTCGGTGTCGAAAACCTGATAGGGCTCACTGCCCGGTTCAAAAAGGGTGTACTCATAGTCCCAAAGGACATGCTTCTTCACCGCCCCAACGATGTTTCCAGACGGCGAGATGAGCAAGATTCCAATGTGAACAGTTGGCTTCTGCCGTCCACGGAGATCAACCCCCAAGGATGCCCAAATCCCAATTTCCCGGCAAGCCCTGCGAATGCCCGTGACGAAGCTCCCAGATAGGGTCTCCGAATGCTCCCAGCAAAGCTCCCTGCTTGGCTTGCCATCCTTGAAATACGTCCTGTCGCGATTCGAGTTCTCAGGCATGACAACAAGGTGCGCACCTTCTGATTTCGCCTTCCTCATCCAGGATATACACGTCTTCAGGTTGAACTCCACGTCCACGCCCGAGAAAAACTGACAGGCAGCTGCCTTCCACCGCTCAATAAATGGAGAACGCTCAAAGAACCGGGAGGCCTGCATAGCCGCCTCTCCACCAGGCATCTGGTGCAGAGTATAATCCACTCTTAGCTCATTCGCTGTGACGAAGCTGCTGCACATTTTCAACAACATGTCTTCACCCTGAACAGACACGACTTGCTCGGTGCAGAATCCCCGTGTTGTCCAGAAATGGCGCCACTCATCTTGGCTTGCTCCGATGCGAGGCACCTGCAGCGGCCTCTTATGCTTCTTGCCGTTCATCGTAAGGATGTAGTCGACCTGCAAACCTTCCCTCCAGCTGTGTTGCTGAACGAGTCGTAGCTGATCCTTCGTGGCTGAGACAAAGATAAGCACCTGCTGTTCCAAGGCGTCCCGAGCAGCCTCTTCATCCGGCACGCCCAGGCTGCAGAGAAAGCGCTGGAAGCCGTTCGGTTCATCTTCGAAGTTGGAACGAACCCATCGACCCAAGAACAGGCCAGGGTCTGCAAAGCTCTCAACCTCGGCCATGGCTCCGTCGACGCTGCAAAAGTCTGGTGTCAGGGACAGTGCTCACAAAAAACAAACACCAATTCCAGCCCGTTTGTGTGATTTCAGGCATGCTGTTATTGCCAATGAGCCCAACGCGAGCTCAGTAAAGAGGCGGCAAAGACAACAAAGCAAAGCAATGCATGCAAGGCATAAAACCAAGCCACACTGCCAAGGCCTGTTGAAACAATGAGCAGGGCGAAACCAACGATGCAAGACCAAGGGCACATGGCCACAGAAGAGGAGCTGAAGCAACCGTTTGCACAAGACATCTCAGAATGTGGAACACATCAGAAAGTAAAGACACCTTCAGATTCAAACTTTGGACTCTCGTGGAAAGCCCTAAGGCTGTATGATACTGTATGATACTGTACAGTACTGTCTATGCTCAATAAATTTGGTTCCCAAACCTCACCAAACCACAAGTCACAAAGTGCTTGAACATCAAACTGTGATTCAGGGAGAGGCCACTCTAACACACCTTGGGCAAGTCACCCCGGGCACAAATACCGCTGGGTGTTTGCAACCCGAGCCATGCCTGGAGCCATACCTGGTTCGATGGTAGGTCGGACATGTCCAAGTTGCGGCTTACTAGTAAGCCAATCCGTGGTTTAAGCCATTTCCACAACCATGCGGTTGAAAAAACAGCTCCCGAGGTGGTGTGCATGGCAACTCCTGACTCAACTGACAAGAACACACTGCCTGACATCATCAGCACAAACATGAGACTCACTACCTTACCCGATCGAAAGTGGCAACTCTGGTGCCATGATAGCACCTACGCACTTTAAGTGCGGCTGGCGCGTAAGAACGCAGGTGCTGGCATGCAGCATGGGCTGACTGATTCCTGGTGTCTTTGCTACAGTAGCGTTTGGAGTTTAAGGCTCAGGCCTGGCATGCTCCAAGCTTGAGCCAGAGACGTGTACGGTAAGAGGCCAGCACGCTGACCATGTCCGTTTCATGGAACTTCCAAGCTGAAACCTGACGCCAACTGCCGTTTTGCGGGCAGCTTGCAGGTTGTCCTTTTTGGCAGGGCGAGTGAAGGGCTGGCTGCCTTGGCATTCCCAGTACAGGTTTTGCCGTAGAGGCTTGTGAACGGCGCTAGATCCATCTAGAATCCTTCAAACAATTGAAGCCTTTCGCCGCTAAGGCTGCGGTGGCTTGTAAAGGATAGCATCGAAGCTGCCCTTTTGCGGCTTGACAATTTTGCCTTGGTCGTAGAGATAGCACACTGCCGAGTCATAAACCACAGCTCCTGCATGCTCAGTACGATAGCACGCATCAACGTCAACATTCTCCACGGGTGCGCTCCATCGGTGAGTCTGCGTGTGGCTTTGGCGTTTTCGGAGCAACCAGCTATCACCCAATGCCTCGAGGCATACGACTTGAAAATCACATAAGCCCGTGTCCGAGAAGCTTCGATGTGGCATTCTCAAAATGTTCTTACACTCTTGTGGCTTCGGCACGCCTTCTGCATCGGAGCTTCTGCAACTTTCGTAGTCAGCGTCTTCGACGTCTTCGATGTCATGTCCAGGTGGTCTGTACAACACAAAATCAAAGTCCTTGTGCGGTTGCAACTCCTCACGAGGATTGTAGCTAATGCATTGCCCGGATATGTACGCCAAAGCATAGTCTTTGTTGTCCTTGAAATAACAGTCGTCTGCAGAAATGCCGTTTTCAATCTTCCATCTCTGACTTGCAGGTCTTCTGCTCAACTCATCATGCGCATATTTCTTCCGCAGCACGAAACCATTCCAATGATTTTTGCGCTTGCATAGCACCTGGATCCTAAGCCGTTGCCAATCGCTGAAGCTGCTGTGAGGTTTCAAAAGCTCCTGGTTGCAGTCTATCTCCCCCAGATCCTCCATTGGCTGCTCTGTGTCTGACAACGTTTGGCCGTTGATAGGTTTCTTGTACAGGACGTAGTCGCACGAATCAAGATCCTTCATGCGGGTTGCAGCAAAATATTTCAATACTGTGCCTTTAGGATAGCGGAAGCACACCCCTTTCCAGAACACCAAAGCGTTCTCCATGTTTTCTTCCTTGAAGCACTCCTTTACTGAGCTTTGACTTTGCTGCACTTCTTCTTCGTCGTCATAGGCTAGTACGTCCGCGTGTTCCCTCTGAGGACGGACCTGAATTCTTTTGTCCTCTTTAAGGCACATCTTTTGCCACCTCTTCAAATCGCTGCCAGCCAACGTTCGATCATCGGTAGAAGCACACGATAAAGCCGCAAACCTGCTACCGGAGGTGTTTCCCTCAAGCAAAGACGCGGCTGCGATGGAGTCGGCAGGAGTGGCTCGTTTGGGCGTAGCATCTGCAATTTCTTCAAACCGGAATGCAGAAATCTGTCGAACTTCGGAGGGCTGTGTGCGATCTTCCAAAGCCGACCATTCTGGCCGGACTGCAAAGGATTGCAGGAAGGCCGCGAAAATCGTCAAATGGATCCTTGGGTTGAACGCTTACGTTTGCAGCTTCAAGATAAAGTTGCGCCAAACTACATGTCACAGCGGGGTCTGTCAAATATGTGCAGGAAGAAGTCGAACAAACGGGCGGGAAGGGGGGAGGGGGTAGGGAGGGGAGGGAGCGGAGGTTAAAATCGACACTTACAGAGGCTACTGCTATGCTGCACGCTTGTTCCTTCTAATCATATCCTTCACGAAAGAACCCTTGGCGGGGGCGGGGCGGGCACGGAGGGTGCGGGGGGAGGGGGTGGAGGGCGCGGAGGGCGCAGAGAAAGGGCACACAGAAAGGCGTGGTCGGAGAGCGCGGAGAGCGTGGCCGCCCTCCTTGTCCTCGCCCCCCGAACCCTTCCGTTCATCTTTCCGTCCCCTGCTGATCGCGCCTCAAAATTCATTCCGTCTGACCCTCCTCCATTGCCGAAGCATGCGCAGAATGGATGTTAAGCGCCGGCGAGGGGCGAGGGGGGGGAGGCGGGGGGGGGGGGGGGGGGGGGGGGGGGGAGGGGGGGGGGGGAGGGGGGGGGGGGGGGGGGGGGGGGAGGGGGGGGGGGAGGGGGGGGGGGAGGGGGGGGGGGGGGGGGGGGGGGAGGGGGGGGGGAGGGGGGGAGGGGGGAGAGGGGGGAGGGGGGGGAAAGGGGGGGGGAAGGGGCGGGTTGGAAAAATCATACCATCCCACTTGACTAGCTTCTCTTAGCTTGTCTTCTTTCCCTGTGTTTTCAAGGTTCATTCTATGCGAGTGGTCTTATTTGCAGAACATTTACAGCGCTCTGGGCACAACATTTCAAGCACATGCCATCTTTACTTTGGATGTTTAGACAAGCCTGTTTCAACGAAATCCATTCCGGCAATTCCATGTAATGGCCCGCGTTTGTTGGGTCGTAGTGGTCATAACATATTGTCAGCTAGAATATCCTAATCAATGTTTAACCTGACTTCACAAATTCTATTTTTCTATCTGCTGTTCTATGTCAAATGCCATTCTCTAACACTTTCTGAACATCGTCTGTGCTGTTAATCTCTACGCTTCTGCTGCTTTATCTGTGTTTCGCTTTGGTGTCCGTGTGCGTGTGTGTGTGTGTGTGTGTGTGTGTCATGATAAACATGGATTAGCTAATAATACGCGCTGGAGGGCTGGTTTGCCCACAAGCATTCCTTTCAGTGACAATGTGATGTATAGATTTCGGGTTTAGGCTAAGAGGTTTAGGGAGTAGGTTTCAGGGTTCTAGGCTCTTCGGGGCATGAATGAGAATGAGAAAAGACGCATATGCTTTGAAGCAAGCTTGCGAGACTGAAAAAAGCCCCCCCCCTCCCCCACATCTGCACACACAAATGCTGGCATCATGGTTTCCAACATGTACGTGGGCTTTGAAGCAAGCTTGCGCCACTTAAAAAGCGAGGGGGTTGGGGGGGCACAGCCCCCCCCCCCAGTTGCACACACGATGCTGGCATCATGGTTTTCAAACATACACGTGTGCTTTGAAGCAAGCTTGCGCGACTGAAAAAAGCGGAGGGGAGGAGCAGCCCCCCCCCCCCCCATCTGCACACAGAATGCTGGCATCATATACGTGTGCTTGGAAGCAAGATTGCGTGACTTAAAAAAGCGGGGGGGTTGGGGGGGGGGGGGGGGGCAGCCCCCCCCCCATTTGCGCACACGATGCTGGCATGATGGTTTTCAAACATATACGTGTGCTTGGAAGCAAGCTTGCGCGACTTAAAAAGCGGGGAGTGACGGGGCCAAGCATGGGAGAACTTGGAAAAAAAGGGGGGTTGGAATGCTGTCAACAGGATTTCCTGAGTCTTCCATCAGGAATCGCGGGCGAAGTCTAACAAAAACAAGCGTTTTTGCACCGACACCTTTTCCAGCCTAAACATTCAGAAATGCTTTTCTTCTCAGGGGAATAGCAGTTGTATCAGAACAGAACGCCCACGTGTCAAACATCCAATTCCCGAATTCGTCGCGCGACATTGCGTGGAGCCGGAAATGTGCCAAGCCACAAAAGTACGCGCCTGCACAGTCCAAACGACGTTGCCCTGGATTCTACCCCATGTGGCGCAGGCAAACCAGCCCTTCTCACCGGAAATAATGCAATGTTCATACTTGGGCTATTCTGCAAAAGTCTTTCAATCTTGAAGCCTGATATAATAGTTCATTTAAACTTCTTTTATGTTCGCGTAGTTTCCAGCGCTTCGCTTGTCATAGTTGATTTAATTTTGTGGCTCATCTCACTGATGGTTCCTGAAACTTTTGATTTTGCTGTTCTGCAGCTTGCAGTAATTTATGTTTCTTATAGCCTGTTGTTCTGCATAGCTCTTGATATTGGGTTTCAAACGTATTGGATAAAGTTTCTTTGTTATTACATCTTTAGGTTATACGTTCTGTTCGTATTTGCTTTAACTCTCTTCCGTTTCTTGCATGTATATCACCTATGTTGGATTTCAGAATGTCGTCTCTAATGTTTTCTGAGACGCCGTGTCCCTATACATTTACCCTGCAAAATTCGCCTCCGCCTCCGGCCGAGAGGCGTCCAGACACAGATTTGGCCTCCTTCGCCCCCGCCTCAAATCCTAGGTCCTGGCTGGACCCCCTGGCCCCCCCCCCAGTCGTGGGTCGACGAGGCTGCCGAGCTGGCGCGTGCGCAATGCACTTTTGCACTTGTTGTTGATTTTTTTGCACTACTGCACTTTCGCACCTTTTTGCCTTTTTTGCACTTTTGCACATTTTTTGGCTTCTTTGCATTCTGTGCATACACTGTGTGCTTTTCTATGCTTGTCTTATGCACAGAAAAAACCCAAAATCCAAAAGTCCAACAAAAACCCAAAAACCCAAACTTGCTCGGACAATGTCTCCGGAAAATTAGGATTTCTGGATTTTGGGATTTAGGGATTCTTGGATTTTTGGATTCTTGGATTTTGGGATTTTTGGATGTTTGGATTTTTGGACTTTGGATGTTTTGTCACATTCGAGGTTGGCCGTATGCATTTTTTGACTTGCAAGAGGGCGACTTTAACAGAATTTCAATTACCTCCGAACTACTGGAAACGTGAACGCTAGACTCACAGGAGACTAAATAGCATATTCAACAAGATTTTGAATAGAATGTTTCCGTGTATGAGAACCATGTGAAGCCTTTCTTGTTCCAATCACTGAGAAAAGCACGTACATGTGTTATACACAGGCCTTTGCTAAGGAGGCATTGACAGAGAAGGCCGATATTTGCCAATATCTAAGTTTGTGCATTTGAAAGAAGCTGAGTAATCGTTTTCCAATAAGAACCATTTGGGATCCTAGTACCTGCTGCTTAAGAAGTTTACATGTCATGAACACCTTTACTTTGCGATAATGAATGCTTTAGTTTTTCTGATCGTTTAATTCAAGCTCTTAATCTTGCATTGCCCACCTGTGATTATTACAGTAAACCTTGCTCGATTCTCATTAACGTATTAACTACTCGATTGAAAACTGTATCATTAAAATCCTAAGTAGCCTGCTCAAAAAGCTAATAAGATTTTGATTTATCCTACTCAAAAGCCAACAAGAGGTTGAACAGAAGCGTTCAACACAGTAATAGGGCTTTAGGTCCAGTAAACGGCTAGTGAACTGTCCACTCGAGGGTCAGGGACTTCCCCTACTGAAGTGAAGTGTCCATTCATTTCCAGGGCGCGCATTTCATGCTATGAGGTTCGAACTCATATTTTATAATCTTGCATATGGAGCCCCTGTAAGTATCTCATGTATATAAGAGGGCGACCATTCAAATGTGCCCTTATCAGACTTTCAATTACCTCCTAACTACTGGAAACGTGAACGCTAGACTCACAGGAGACTAAATAGCATATTCAACAAGATTTTGAATATGCTGCTTCCGTATATGAGAACCATGTAAAGTCTTACTTATTCCAACCACTGAGAAAAACATGCACATGTGTCATGCACAGACCTTTGCGAAGGAGGCTTGAACAAAGAAGGCCTATATCTGCCAATATCTCATTTTGCAATTGAAAGAAGCTGAGTAATCATTTTTCGATAACAACCATTCTGGGATCCTAGTACCTACTGCTTCGGAAAGGTTATGTCTCATGAACGCCCTTACTTTGAAATAACGAGTGTTTTAATTTTGTTAATACTGGACCTAGGGCCTATTACTGTCTTGAACGCTTCTATTCGCTTTTTGACTAGGATACTTCAACATCTTATTGGCTTTTTGAGCAGGCCACTTAGGATTTAAATAGACGTTTCGAGTAGCTAGGACGTAATTGAAATACATGTGAATGGTCTAAGTCAAAAAAGGAGAATGCATATGGACCAACCTCGAATGTGACAAACAAATAAAAATCCAAATGTTAAAAAACAAACTTTCCGGAGACATTGTCCGAGCAAGTTTGGGTTTTTGGAGTTTGGGAATTTGGGTTTTTGGGTTTTTGGTTGTTCTCTGCATAAGACAAGCATAGAAGCCTGCATGAAAAGACATTTTAAAAAGTGACAAGAAGTGCAAAAGTGAAAAATGCCAAAACATGCAAGAGTACAAAAAGCAAAAACAAGCGCAATGGGGCAAAAAGCCAAAAAAGTGCAAAAGTGCAAAAACACCAGAAAAGAGCTTCTCTGGTTCCTAACATAATGACTTGCGTGGCTTTGCTACCGGGGGTTTCTGCATCTGATGGTCTTCAGGTTGTGGGTGTAATCCTCAAAGAATCGGCAATCCCCACATTGGTCTGTAGACAACAATAACACGTTCCCAGCTTTCTCGATTATGCCTACCTTGATTAACTACATAACTTCATGATACATCTTTATGGAATTCTTCTACATATCAGATAAGACGATACACACACACACACTTTAACATGAAAAAATTTAAATTGTCGGAAAAATTTGTTCTACCAACACATACACTTGTACAAAAACAAACCAGCAGCCCCGAACAGAGCACGCAACAGAAGCCCATATATACCAGAAATTCTTCAAGTTAAAAATTTTGTTCCTGAAATGAATAAGGTTAAGACATCAGAATTATGGTGAAATTACCCTTAAGCTGGACAGTAGAAAAATAAGTTGAGATTTGATTGAGTGAGTGAGTGAACGGTCCGGGGTGCACTCCGGCCAACGGAAACATTCCCTCCCGCCATCTCTTCCCCCCCCGAGGCCGGGCGGCTTGGGTTGGATTTGGGCACTTAGGCAAGACAGCCCACTTCACAGGAACAGAAGCTCTTCCCCTTGCGATCCCTCACAAAGGTACTAGGCTGGGGGCATTGGCTCGGAGACAGGGCTTGGGGTGCGGGTGGTCGTACCAAACACACACACACACACACACACACACACACACACACACACACACACACACACACACACACACACACACACACACACACACACACACACACACACGCACCGGCAGCAAGACTAAGGGAAAAAGCAAGTTCAGCTAATCCCCTTTTGGCTGCACAAACTCAAACAGGATCCCCTTTGCATGCGGGGCAATGCCTGCAGTTGAGATTTGATATACTTTTTTGGGCGGCAGGTGATAAAAGCAAGTGAGAATCAAAAAGGGGCAGGCGATGATTTAGCCAACTTGATGTCCGATAGACAACACAACTCAACATGCTTTAGCATTGCTTTAGCTTATCTATGCCTTCGCACACTGCACAGAGGAAAACAAACAGAACACAGGCCGTCTCAGCTAGGCTTCAAGACATGGACAGACGGCGCTGTGACTGCCATGGGGGCCGACGCTGAGCTTGAGATGTCAAGAGCATCTGCGCAAGAAAACAGCTAGAACGCAGAAAGGTGCGATGAACTGCCACCTAACCAAAGCTCAATTGCTGTCTTTTGCTTTCGGGCACAGGGACTTCGCTGCAAGGATCCCATGCCATCATGAGCTTTGCAAGCTTTTCAGCGCCAGGCAAAACAGTGAAGCAACTCCTAGTCAAGGCAGCGCCATGCCACTCGATCTTGCTCACTATGCTGCTCTCGTGTTCGGATGCTCTGGGACGTGCAGCAGCTTCAGGATCTCTTTCTGAGCACCTGGATCCGAGCTCTTTGCACACTTTCCCGTCATTTGGACAGCCTGACTGGCATTCATCCTTTTGTTGCGGGGCCCACATATGAGAGAGGGATCTCCGCCGAGCTTCAGCAGCCTTCCAAAAGTCATTGGCAGGATTGTGAATCATGGGACAGGAAAAGCAACAAGCAAGAGCACCCCTCCTAGCTCCTAGCTGAGCACAAAGAGGCCTCTGAACCAGGTCGACATCACAAAGGCGCGCAGCTTTGGGAAGGAGACAAGCCGACTTGTCATTAATGTCCACACCAGCAGTCTTGTTGAGCAATCGTGCAATGGCCTCGAAATCTTCAGGCAATAATTGCGCTTCCGTAAGCTTCCCCCAAAGACTTTTGAGGAGTCCAGCGTGTCCTGCATCGAGAACATCTGTATTTTTTGTGCGATACAGCAAAAGCGAATGCTGCCAAAGTCCTGTTCGCAGTGGGAGATTTGGCATGGCCTCCAAAACCACCTCCACGTCCGCCAAACTTCCAATGACTTCTGCCAGCGCTCGGTCTGACGAACTCACGCATCCAAACTACTCCATAACACTGCACGAATCTTGTCACTACGATCACTACGCTTCTGATATCATGTCCCGCAGCCACTCAAGCCGACTGGCCTGCACAAGCTTGGCTTAAGCTCGCACCATGGCGTTGCAAGACCTGGACCATGGATCGCAGCTTGCCTCCTTTGTGTTCAGGCGGTGGCCCTGCGTTCTGTTGCGGGTCACTCTGACAAGGTGCAGCTTCTTTGGCGTACTGAGTAACTGTCACAAAAAGAGGCGAGTCCTTGCACTCCCCGGAGGCACCGCTTGCACTTGCATTGCTTCTGTTGTTACTCAGCAGGAACTTCATGGCATCCAGCTGGCAGTTGCGTGCAGCTGCCGTGAGAGCAGTGCCCTGTTCTTCCGTTTTCTTTTCCACAGTGGCCCCGCTCTCAAGCAAGATGCGCATGGCTTCCTCATTGTTGCTGACCTCAGATGATGGGACTGGCCCTCCCGAGAAAAAAACACCAAAAAAAAAACACAGCCCTCCACCCTGCATCCATAACTAAGTCCTTGTCTTCTTTGTCTACCTGTGGTTCGTGGGCAACTACAAGATCCTTCCAATAAGTGTGTGGTTGTCCATGAAATTCTCCAGATTTAGAGAGGGCTGGGACGGGCAACTGCTTCCTGTGAAGTGGCATCACCCCAAGAGGAGGTGCACCGAGTATATACGAGTCGTCAGGCAGCGAAGCGAAACTAAGCTTCTGACTGCGGCAGCCTGCAAAGCGGTCTGGTTCGCAGCATCACCATTTGGATCTGCCCTTTCCTTGAGGAGTGCCTTCATTCCAGCTGTAAAGTTGTGTTGAGCGGCCTTTGCCAGCCAACCTTCATTGTAGCATGCTGCAATCGACTCAAATGCCATCGCATTGATGTTTTCGATTGCATCTTCATCCCTCAGGTTCACTGCTTGTGTGAGGCACTCCCGCACAGAAAACACAACCGCTACATCAAAGGCTTCTTCCCATGGCCGATAGTACTCGCACCATTGCCCGCAAGCCGGCGAGCTTATACGATATGTGCGGAACTCCTTCCTGACTACATCGCTACCACCACAGCCCCTCAACCTCTGGGTGACCTGCTCATGGACAGCAAAGCGCTCATCAGACACGTTTCCGTGGACTTGGCTGATATCGCTTTTCAGCCCACAGAGAGCATGAAGGGCACGTCTCTCAGTAGCGATGAAGGCTGGCAGCAGGATGTTGGTCTTTTGCAACTCTGGTGTGAGATAAACTTGGGGGGGTGGTGCGTGAGATATTACCTGTAAAGGCAGCGCAAGGATCTCCGTGCTGGTTGGATCCTGAGTGGTGGCAATCAGAAGCTCCAGTCCATCTGTCAGTGCCTGCATGGGCGTTGATAGCTGGAAGCTGTTCACTAAACTGTTGTGTCCAGGCGTACTGGCCGTGAACGCTTGGCTTGACAGCATCACCGACTTCCCACTGAAGGTCACATCATGGAACCACCCGAGCAAACCATTTCCCTTGCCAGCAACCCCTGCAACATCCGTGCGAGGCTCCAATTTTCTGAGCACCTTCAGCTGGAACACGCACAGTGGATTCGAGTTTATGTGGAACTCCTGCTCGAAGACGCAAGCACTTCCAAGGCCTTCGGCAGTTCTAGCTCCTACCTCCAAGTCTCTGATCTCTAAGATCTCCAACGCTCTGTCTCATCAGATGCGCAACTTGCAAGCTCTTTTCGCCATATCAACACACCGCATACTTCCCTCGGCTGCTTTCTGTACGTGTTATCAGCACAGCACAACCTCTAGAAACAACTGCAGCACATCAGGAAGCAATTTTGCAGTCTGCTCGCAACCAGCGTGCATCCAACGAGGGGCGAAACCGATTTATGTCGATACGACGATGCCAACCCTCCCCTTTGTACGGACTGTACCAATACTCCGACATATTAATACATACCAATATGGCCGATATGGCGTTCCCCCCCAACCCTCCCCGTCCCTTACATACACCGACACGTGCCGATACGCCGATACGCCAATTGGCCGATATGCTCCCCCTACGCGGGCCTCACATATTATGCACAGGCCTATCTTTTGCTGGGCCTTCTTCGGTTTAGGGCTGGATGAGGATGATAATCAAATTTAAAAAAGAATTCAAATCGAATTTAGTTCATTCTGGACGGGCAGCCCACCCCCCCGCAGGCCGAAGGATTCAATTCGAATTTGATTCCTGAAATGAAGCCTCGCACAGCACCTAAGCTTAAAATTGAATTTAATCCTCCTTCCTGCCGGAAAGATTAAATTCGAACTTAAGCGGCCCCATAATTCGACGAGGTTGCGCGGTCACTCGCACTTCGAACCCTTTTCGGGTTTGGACATAGTAAGGGTTTAAGGGTTTTGGGTTCAGGGTTTGAGGGTTTTGGGTTCAGGGTTTGAGGGCTTTGGGTTCAGGGTTTGAGGGCTTTGGGGTTCAGGGTTTGAAGGTTTTTGGGTTCAGGGTTTGAGGGTTTTGGGTTCAGGGTTTGAAGGTTTTTGGGTTCAGGGTTTGAGGGCTTTGGGGTTCAGGGTTTGAAGGTTTTTGGGTTCAGGGTTTGAAGGTTCTTGGGTTCAGGGTTTGAAGGGTTTTGGGTTCAGGGTTTGAAGGTTTTTGGGTTCAGGGTTTGAGGGCTTTGGGTTCAGGGTTTGAAGGTTCTTGGGTTCAGGGCTTGAGGGCTTTGGGCTCAGGGTTTGAGGGTTGTGGGTTGAGGGTTTGAGGGCTTTGGGTTCAGGGTTTGAAGGTTGTGGGTTGAGGGTTTGAGGGCTTTGGGTTCAGGGTTTGAAGGTTTTGAGTTGAGGGTTTGAGGGTTTTGGGTTCACAGTTTGAGGTCTTAGGGGTTCAGGGTTTAAGGGGGGGGTAGGGTTGGCTTTGGAGGTTTCTCTACAACACCACTGCATGGCAATAGAATTCGAGTTTAGGTCATGCGTGCTAAGTACTGTATGGCAATATAACTCGGATTTAATCCTCAATTCCGAAAGAGAATTAAATTCAAATACAGAATCCGCCGAGGCCTCGGGCCGGAGGTGTATAGGTTGTCAGAACAAGCACCCCCCTCCAAATCATCCACACCCAAAGCCATTTTTCGCACCCCTTTTTTTCCTCAAATGGGTACCCCCCCTTGGAAACCGGGGTCCGCAAGCGGACGGTTCGCCAGGACCAGAGGCAGTTCAAGCCCCTCCCAGCAGAGCCCCCCCCCCCTACCCGCGCCCTACCCCCCCCCCCCCCCCCCCCCCTCCTACTCCCCCCCCCCACCCCCCCTACCCACCCCCGACCCCCCACCCCCCCGCCTACGCCCCTGGTGAGCGGGTTTTAGGCTCAACTGATGTGAGCACGGCCGGGGATGCATTACACGAGCAGAAGAATCTAAGCTTGAACCTAAACCCTAAACCTTAAACCTTAAGCCCGAAGCACACCCAAAGCGTGAACCTTGAGCCCTGAGCCCTCAATCCTAAACTAACCCTCAACCCTAAACCCCAAACCATAAACCATAAACCCGGAACCCTAAACCCTAAACCCAACCCTTATTGCTTGGGGTCCAGCGACTTGGGCGCTGCGGAATCACCATGCTCACGCGGATACGCTGGGCCGGGCCGAGGCGGGTCGCGTAGCGTTAAAATTAGACCTGCTTGCCACGGCTTAAACTCGAATTTAAAGCTAAGTCTTTGCGATAAGGATTAAATTCAAATCTAAACCCTAAACACGGAGCCCCGGTCCTCGCAGGGGCTTAAATTCGAATTAATTTCAGAAGCCATCTGAGGATTAAAATTCGAATTTTAACCCCCTCGACGGGCAGATGGATGGCCGCTGAAGCAGCTTTTTTGAATCTGAAATTCAACCTTATTCGGTGAGGGCTTAACCATCTTTTCCTCTTGCTTCCCCACCTTGCCCTTGCTCAGAAATGCCGATGCGCCGATAAGAATAACTTCCCTACCCCCCGTCCCTCTTTCCTGCACCCCTTGCGCAAGATACGCCGATACGCCGATACGGCGCTACGCCGCTACAACTCTACGTCGCTACACCGCTACCCCCCCCCTCCCTCCCCTCTGTGTATCGGTATATCGGTGTATCGGTGCATTTCTGTCCCCACTGCTCTCGCACTAGCATATTCACCACGTTAGCGACACACCCCTGCCTTCTTCTTGTGGCTGGCAGCCACATCTGTTTCCAATCTGCGGCACGTCGGCAACATCACCTGTTAGGGGAGCCAGCACTGCGGAGGTCATGTTCACCCGGAGGGTGGAGTTTGAAGCCAAGTCGAGATCGGGCACATACCATTGACGATGGTGCCGCTGATACTGAAGGCGTCGGTGCTCAGAAAAAACGGGATTCTTGAGCTCCGGATACTGAGTGGTGTTGAATGAGCTCTGCAGGGAGAGCTCAATGGCCTCAACCGTTCGAAGAACATGAATGACGTAGGTCGTCTTCGCATAAGCTCCAAGTGCAAGTAGCATCACCCTGGAGTATAGTGGGCTCGGCGGCAAGGGTAGCTGAATCTGTGTTGACCGATTCAGCGGAATTGATTGGAACTCACCCTCGCCGGTGTGTGGGCTGTCGAACTTCATCATGATGCTGTGGGTGTACTCGCCCGGGGTCAACTCCATGGTAATGGAATCGACGTTGGTGTCCAGCAGCAATGTGTTGTGATAAGCCTGGCTGCAGGCCGGATAAGTCAAATGCCCACGATTGAACCCGTAGTCGATCAGCTCTCCCCGTATGTGCAAGACGTCCTTCCCAGAACGCGCCGCCAGACACACCGCCATGGCTGCAAGAATTCTTGTGAGGTGCCGAGCCATCATGCTCTGTTTCCCCCTTGCGCTTGAAAGCTCACGTGGCCGCTCTGTGGTTTTGGGCGTCTGTTGCACAGTCATCGGGTAGACCTCTCCGTTCTGTAGGCGAGGCTTCCGCCACTTGCTCCGTCCAGCCGTGGCCTCGTACATGCCCTTGGCTTGCAATGCCATGTTCGCCAAAAGGAGGAGGAAAGACAAAGGCGGATTCGAAGAGAAAGGCATCTCAGCCAGCAACGCTGCAGTCACAAACAAGGACAGGAGTGCAAAGACAGTGACAATGGGAATGCTCATCCGCGAAATCTCCAAGAGCTGAGGGCTGCTGCTTTGGAGGACCTCCTCGTACTCAAGGGCCATTTGAAACGTGTCTCCTTGTTGCCAGAGGACTGCCAGATAAATTCCACACATGCTGGAAGCAAGTAAGAAGAAGTAATGCATCTCGTACATTGGAGTGAGCTTCTCCAGCAAGATGCACTGTGCCGTCACATATGCAGATAACAGCACGAAATTGCGCCGGAGGAAGACCAAGTGCGAAGGCATGAGAGCCTGATGAGCCCGAAGCATGGCCGTCTCTTGCGCATCGACCACTTGCCTTGCAAAGTCTCTTCCCTCCTGGTGATTCGCATGCATGCAGGGATTCACAAACATCTGCTGGAACAGTTAGACAAAGCTCAGTTAGAACTAGCGCATCCGTTACTGTTACACAGTCAGGGCAGAAACCTAACCAAACACGGGCTAATTAACTGACGCACTTTCGGGCCTTTGCTCGGAAAGCACATGAGAAAGCGTGTGAAGGCAGGACATCTGGACAAGCAATGTGAAGGAGGTCAAGCCCGGTACGTATTGCACAAACAATGGGGTTCTACACAATGCACTGGGTAATCAATGCACTGGGTAATCAATGCACTGGGTGATGGCAAGAACAACCCTTGCATCCTCATGAAGCAAGATCCAGCCACCATCCAGGCGGCCCCAAACCTCTTCATAGGTGCTGCCCATAAGGATGCGGTGGATGCTCCGGAAGCTGCGTGTCATCAAGGCACTCCAAGAGAAAACTGCATGGCACTTGTGAATCTCGAGAACCATTACATGAGTCCCTGCATCGAGTGGATCTCTGACCTTGACTTGACCATTCGCGTCTTCGTACCTGGGTTGATGCACGAATCAACTCGTGGACCGGCCTGGAGTGAGGCTCTTCTGCAATGCACAGCGCAAACCTATATCCTAAAGACAACGGAGGCCGAGGTGCAGATAGGCGTGCCTGGTCAGCAAGAATGTCCCTGGTTTGGCCACGCTTTGCATGGTACTTTGTGAAGTGCCAAGGACAGCTTCTTCACCGAGGCCCAAGTATGCCACACGTGCCAAACACAAGCCACTGGTGACCATGACCATTGCAGAAAGCAATAAAAGCCCCTCCAACAGCCACACGAGTTGCATGGGAGTCAGTCGAGAACGATCCAGTTCATCCAGCTTGTGGTCCCGTTGTGACAGCCAAACTGGCGCGATAGAAGACCAGAAGCGGCTGATCAACGCACTCACTCGGAACGGCAAAGGTTCGAAGGTGACTTGGGCAATGCACTGCGACCCCTTGTCAGACTGGCTTGGTTGGCTGCACAAGTACAATGGTGTTTGGAATGCCTCCCTGACAGTAGGCACTAACAACACCTGCCATCGTGATGTGGGATCTGTGGCATTGACAGGGTACATGTGAAGCTCGACAGCAGCCATGTGGTTCGTTTCGCTGCTGCCTCCGCTCATGACGGGTGCTTTGCCAGACAAGATCTGCCTGGCCAGCTTCACTTTGAGCCGCTGCTGTAACAGTGCTTGCTTCTCTTCCACTGAGGATGGCACCTGGTAGGGTCTGAGCATTCACAAGCACGTCTGGACTGTTTTTGCATTGAAAAGCATCTTCGTCAACTACTAGTTAAGTGCCGACCTCGGTAGGAGTCGCACCCAACCACGGCTCGCAGCTGGATGAAGTTCCCATGAAGAATTCACGTGAACGCAAGAAACTGAAGTCTGGCTCGTCCAAAATGACGGAATGAAAGCCAAAGCGAAGGGAATCGCTCCTGAGAGGAGCTGGTCATTTAGAGCCGCAATTCCTAAAACTAGACATCCCGGTCCTCACTATTCGAAGTCCACAGCATAACTGATGCATGCATGCACTCGCTGATTCGTGTGCCCTTTATTAACTCATTCCTGCGTTCATGTAACAACTTTGCTATCGTGCCACCACCCGACCGACCGGTGCATGCACTGCCCTCAGTTGAGCACACAAAAGGGTACTCGAACAAGGAACGACACAGTAGCAATGCGTTTGTTGGGGATATGGGGAAGCTGTTTCGCTGATGAATTTGGGTCAGGGCTTTACGGCTTACGGGCCTTGCTCGTAGAAGTCCATGTTTGTATGAAAACGCAAAATTTCTTGGGGTTGTGTTCTCGTTTAAGGCGCCAAGCATTGCGATGACCCACGGGCTGGCACAGGATGGGGGGGTAAGCTTGGGCGGCGGGACGCTACGACCCTGCCGGCTCACGGGATGCCACGGGTATGACGCACAGGTGATCTCCAATTGGCTGCAGAGCTTGCGGATCTTAGAAGACAAGCTGTAACACGCTGCTTGGGCACGGGTCGCTATGAGGGGGAGTGACCCCTTTGACAGTCTGAGCACTGGCCGCTCTTTCGCTGAGGCTCCTGATCACCATGCTCCTCGCCCATGCCAAAGCTTGACCAAGCAAAAGACGGGTCGGGGAAAGACGAGAGCTGAAGGATCGAAAAGGCTCTGGATGTCATAGCGCGCAGTGAAGGGAAGGGTTCGAGGCCAGGCTTGCAAGTGGTACCTGCTTTTTGGGTGGTCCTTCACCTCAATCCAGCAACCCTCCGCAAGCCTCCCCTCTGCATCGAGTCGCCTTGACGGCAGAGGCCGAAGCCTCGGAGCTGCAAGACGGCTGTGCCGAGGGCGCCGACAGTGGTGGGACGGACGCACTTGCCACAGCCCTGCTGGCGCAGAGCCAGGTGGTGGTGTCTCAGCTGGCTCAGGGGGAGGACCCTTTGTTGGACGGAGTCTTCGGTGTCAACGCGGGGTGCCACTGGGCGAGCAAAGCTTCAAGACGAGCGCTCGCCGGATGAACCCAGACTAGAAACGCCTCGGCGGTTTTGGGTTTCAAAGAGACTTGGCACTGTGGGGTCATTAGTTGGAGTTGGACATTGGGAGGTCTGGGCTGCGACCTAAAACCCTACAACCAGAGAGCAGGCCTCTAGGCCTAAGAGGTTTCTTCTTCTTTGGTTGCCTCTTTGGCTTCCACGGTCCTCCCTCCTGATCTCCGGTGTCGCTGCTCCGGCTGGGGCCCCCTGAAGCTCTTCCAGGCTGTGCGATGCCGGATCGGGCCCGACTCTTTCAGGCACCCCAGGACATCTGTGAGCCACCGTTGGGACGCAAGTGGGGCAAATGCTCTCGCTGAGCTTTGCTCGTAAGCATGGCTACCGGTGGCTCCTCCAGGAGCCTTAGCTGGTAGCTGAGGTCCATACGTCCACGCTCCACCGCAGCTTGATCTATGACGTTTCTCCAAATGCTCTTGGTTTTGCTTCTTGCAGGGGCTCGGATGGGCCGTCTGAATTCCGTGTGGGCGAGGGGTGGCCTCCACCTGGGTGCATCGATCGTAACCAAGTGCTTGCCGGGGCGCTTTTCGAATCACGCGTGTCAAGGTCTACCTGGTTCCATCCATCCCGCCCCGATGAACCCATACTTACCGGGGCCTGCCGGATCGTTTCCTCGGCCATGAACATTGTGGGTCCTGTGGTTCTAGGGGTTTAGGTCCCTGTCGCAGATCAGACCTGTCAGCTGAGAGCACCCAGGGCTTTGTGATGGGTCTTCTGGTTCTAGTTCATCCGGTCAACGAGTGGTGCTGGTGCGTTCGCGCATGAGCGTCTTACGTGTTCATGCATTTTTCATGGCAAGCTTTGATGTGCTCACTTGCGTTTGTTGTTTTTGCATGGTTGTGCGTTCATGTGCGCACGAATTCAAGCACGCATGTACTCATGTTGTCTTACTGCGTTCAAGTTCATGCGGTCATACATGCAAAGGATCATGTATGCATGATTTGAAGGGTCATGTATGCCCTTGTGTTCACACCGATGCATTGATGCGTTGCCTCGCTGACGTGTTGACTGTAGACGTGCTGAGGAGGCCACGTATGCACACAACATTGCATGCATGAGGTCATTCCTATTTGTGGTTCATGTGGCTATATGTTTGACCTCCATGCCCATGGGTGCAGACTATGGTCCAGAGATTGTTTATCATCAATGCAAACATGTCTAGACATAAATGCAGACGTCGACAGAGACCACCGGCTACCCACATGCATTCGCTCACAGTTTAGGTACTGTCTAAAAAGATTGAAAAAGCAAGAAATACTATGGGTTCGAGCTTCGTTTCGGTGGTGCTGTAACATGCAGGTGCACGTAAAGCATCGTCTGAAAAGTCCGCCCTATCAGAGCTTGCATTCGAGATGGACCGCACAGCCGCCACGATCAGTGCTCTCTTTGAGGCACAAAGAACCGCCAACGCAATACCAACGAGATGCGTCCGCAATTGCATTTCATAGACAGTCGGGATAGATTGGATGTAACAGCTTTGAGCCTGGCAAGCAAGACTCCCGTATGCAAGCAACACTTCACTTTCCTCCTCTGCACATCCTTAGTCTGCGACGAAAGGCTCAAGGCGCAGACGCTGAGTTTCTTGAATTCCGCGCCTTTTGATACCGCAACAGTCGTGAGTGTTGCGGAACGTTCCACAGGCAAAAGACATGTCCTCTCACTCTCCGCAATGAACAATGTCAGCACTCCGTGATCTTGTGACGCCCTAAGTGGCCAGTATGGTATTTGAGAGCGCCAACGAGCTCGAAACCAAACACACGCCATGTCGCTTTCTGGTAAATGTCTCTCTCATCTCGCCACCTGCCGACCTCAAAGTTGGAGAATTTTAGATGAGGAGCCCGGACCTTGTCCAGATCGACGCCCGCTGGGTTACTTTGCCTCATCAGTCGCAAAGCCTTAACTGTGCTGTTAAATGTTAAGCACGTTAACCCAGCCTCCTTTACACAGCGCCTGCACATAAGCACTCTTCCTGCACGCTATTAAAGCGAACATGCGACTGCTCAAAGACGTTCTTACAAAGCAAAATCACAACTCCTGCGTGCGTTCTGCCTGTTCCCTTACCGATGCCCAAGTTGATGCACATCCAGCCCCTGTCAAGAAAATCCATGTCCGTTCTCCACCAAGTCTCTTGCAAAAGCACAACGCTGCAGTCTTTGTCATGCTTCTAAAGCCAAGTGCTCATCTTTGAGAGTGCTGAGCCCGCCACAGTTCCAAGAAAAAGCTTGCAATAAAAATCCGGGCCGGGCGCGGCGTTTTACACGGCAAGCAAGATTAAGTTTGTAAGGGTGGAGGCGGAGTGGTGGAAGAGGGGAGTGGAGTGGGGGGGAGGAGCGGGGAAGGGGGGGTGAGAAGGGGGTCTGGACCCTTGAAAACCCAAACCCTGCCCTAAACAGCGCAAACGGACAAACCAGATTCTTTCACTCGCCGTCAAAGACATTGCTAAAGAGCTTGCTTGCTGGCTGTCCAAAGCAACAACCCTCGGGGCTTAAGCCCCCCTTTAAGCCCCCCTTTAAGCCCCCCTTAAGCCCCCCTTCAAAGGGGTCCCTGCAAAGGGGGTCCCTTCGGGGGGGGGGGGGAAAGGGTGAAAGCCCTTAAGCCCCCCCTTAAGCCCCCCTTAAGCCCCCCCTTAAGCCCCCCCTTAAGCCCCCCCTTAAGCCCCCCCTTAAGCCCCCCCTTTAAGCCCCCCCCTTAAGCCCCCCCCTTAAGCCCCCTTGAAAAGCCCCCCTTTAAGCCCCCCTTTAAGCCCCCCCTTTAATCCCCCCTTTAAGCCCCCCTTTAAGCCCCCTTTAGCCCCCTTTAAAAAACCCCCCTTTAAGCCCCCCTTTAAGCCCCCCTTTAAAAAGCCCCCTTGGAGCCCTCTTGAAGGCCCCCCCGTTTTAAGGGGCTTAAAGCCCCCCCTTTAAGCCCCTCTTTTTAAGCCCCCTTAAAGCCCCCCCTAAAGTTCCCCCCTGAAGCCGCAACCAAGCCCCCCCCTCTGTGGAGGGTTTAGGCAGCAGTTTAAGAGGCCTAATACTTGCTGGGCCTTTGGGCAGCAAGTTAAGAGGCGTAATACTTGCTGGGCCTTCTGCGGAGGGTTTAGGCAGCAGTTTAAGAGGCCTAATATTTGCTGGGCCTTTTTTGGAGGGTTTGGGCAGCAGTTTAAAAGGCGTAATACTTGCTGGGCCTTCTGCGGAGGGTTTAGGCAGCAGTTTAAGAGGCCTGATACTTGCTGGGCCTTTTGTGGAGGGTTTGGGCAGCAGTTTAAAAGGCGTAATGGGTTCGGGCAGCAGTTTAAGACGTCTAAGAGGCTTAATACCTGCTGGGCCTTCGGTGGAGGATTTAGGCAGCAGTTTAAGAGGCCTAATGCGAGCATCGTGTTTGCAAATGGGGGGGGCTGCGCCCCCCCCAACCCCCCGCTTGTTTAAGCCGGGCAAACTCGCGTGGAAGCATAGGAATCATGTCCAAAACAAAACAAAACAAAACATGGGGTTCTCGGCTTAGCCCCGCGCCACGTCACTGCTATGCAAATGGGGGGGGGCTGCGCCCCCCCCAACCCCCCCGCTTTTTTTCTGCCGGGCAAGCTTGCGTGGAAGCATATGAATCATCTCTGAAACAAAACATGGGGTTCTCGGCTTAGCCCCGCGCCACCTCACTGCTATACTCTCTGCTCCTTGAAACTCGAGTAATGAACACAAAAAACAAAAGAAGAAGCGAGCGGGGTGGAATTGCCCTTAAGCTCCCCTTTAAAAAGAGTCTCACTTCTCTGGTTTCGAAGAATGAAACCCAAAAAACAAAACAAGATTCGAGGGGGGTGGAATTTAGAATACATTCCCTTCTTTCTTTTCGTAAAGGGAAATGAATGTTTAGAGTCTCACTTCTCTGGTTTCGAAGAATGAAATCCCAAAAAAACACAAAAAAAATAACAAGATTCGAGGGGGGTGGAATTTAGAATAAATTCCTTTCTTCTCTTTTAAAGTCTCACTTCTCTAGTTTCGAAGAACGAAATCCAAAAAACAAAACAAGATTCGAGGGGGGGTGGAATTTAGAATAAATCCCTTCTCTCTCATCTTCAAGATAAAGTAATGTTTAGAGTCGCCCTTAAGCCACTCTTTTTTCAGCCCCCTTAAGCCCTCCCCCTTAAGCCTCGCTAGCCCCCTTTTAAGCCCCCCTTTAAGTCCCCCCCTTTAAGCCCTTTAAGCCCCCGTCAAAGCCCTTGAAGGCCCCCTTTAATCCCGTTTGAGCCCTTTAAGCCCCCCTTTAAGCCCCCCTTTAAGCCCCCCTTTAAGCCCCCCTTGAGCCCCCTTTAAGCCCCCCCTTAAGCCCCCCCTTAAGCCCCCCCTTTGAGCCCCCCTTAAGCCCCCCCCTTAAGCCCCCCCCTTAAAGCCCCCTTGAAGGAGCCCCCCTTTAAGAAAAAGCCCCCTTTAAACCCCCCTTTAACCCCCCTTGAAGCCCCTTGAGCCCCCCTTTTTAAGCCCCCTTTAAGCCCCCCCTTGGGCCCCCCCTTAAGCCCCCCCTTAAAAGCCCCCCCTTAAGCCCCCCCTTAGCCCCCCTTAAGCCCCCCCTTAATCCCCCCCCTTTAAGCCCCCTTTAAAGCCCCTTCAAAGGGTCTTCTTCTCCAAAGCCCCCCCCTTTGCCCCCCCTTAGCCCCCTTAAGCCCCCCCTTAAGCCCCCCCTCAAGCCCCCCCTCAAGCCCCCCTTAAGCAAAGGTGATGGGCCCATTAAGCTCTCTGCTTGCCTGTACAGAAGAAGTGTCCAACAGCAACCTTAAATAAAGACAAACAAGTCCAAGCAACATTATAACCACCTTTGGCGGTTTTACAAAGCTTCCCAAACAAAGAAAACATGTTTCAACCAGCAAACCAAAACTTCAACTGGAAGGCACGGACTGCAAAATGCATAAGCTGTTCCATCCGCAGTGCTTGTAAGTCTGAAGAGCCAACAGTTCAGCGGCCCCCACAGTCTTCAAAAGCAGCAAAGACCCGTTTGGGTTTTTCCCAAACGTTTGTTCGTCCCACTTCTCTCCGATCAAAACCTCAACCCGGAATCTTCTGGATGGAGTGGCTTGTGTTTGACACAAGTGTGGAAAAGATTCAAAGAACTCAAGTTGGTCTTGCTGCCAGGCTTCTGTACGCTTTTGCACCATCGACAGCTGGAAAGATTTTGTCCAAATCCAGCAACAAGGTTTCTGTTTTAGCAAGGTTCTCTCCCCGCGTTCTGTAATGTTGCTGTCTGTTTCTTAATGCTGTCTGTTGTAAGCTGCAGTGCTGCACATGTGCTTTAAAATTCCGGCTTCTTGGACAAGCACCCTCTTGCAGACTTTAGATAAGCTTGTTGTATGTTAACCTTGGATGGCATTGCTTGACAGCAGCCCGGCGGGTGTATTTGCAGCTTCTGCAGCCAATTGTAAGTTATCTTTTGGATTTTTTGCCGCAGTTTTTTTCTGCTTCTTGGAAGAAGAAAAACTCTTGGATTGTGGATAAGATTGGTACAGCTGCCTAGAGTTGACTCTTTTGGTCTGGGTTTGGCATATTGTCGGTTTAGCTGGTCTGCTTACACCGGCTTTTGCACAAATCCTAGAAAGTCGTGATGTAACGTTAGAAACCTGTGGCACTTTGTCTTGGAAATTCCTATGCGAGACTCTGATGCATCTTGGGCCAACATCTGAGATGTCTCGACATGTAACGGCGACTGTCCAACTCGGAGCAAGTGTCTTGCCAGTGGCAGGTACAAACTGGGACTCAACTGCGCGCGATTGGTTATCTTCTCTCAGCATGTCCTGTCTGAGCAGCAAATGACCGCACTGCAGATGTTGAACTGGCTGCTCAGGACAGTTCATGGACAAAGTTCGTCAGCAAGACCTTCACAGAAACAAGCTTTTCCCCGGCATGCGGCAACTCCATGTTTCTTTTGAGCACTCGAATTCTGCTGGAGCACGACGGCTTTCTTGCCGCCAGCCTTACAGCCCTTGACTTAAGGCCATGGGAAGCACAGATGCACTGACTGGATCCATCCTGGTCTCACCATCACCAGCTAGATTCCACGAACTGCAGACATCGGCATAGCAAAAAGAAGGTTGAGGGCTTGCAGACCAAGCGCTGTTGCAAATGTTACACCAACTCTAAACATGTTGAAATTTGTGAGGTTGTCGAAATTCTTGCCGCACGAGCAAAGTCTTGAGAGAGTTGGGTAACACGGGTGTAACTTGGCACAAAAGTGCTTAATGCAAACATTATGTTGGAAATCTGTGTATAGACACGTCTGCGGGATGCCTTTTTGGCCAAGACGCATGTTTGACGTGCTTACTGCATGTCCGAGACGTGCAGGTCTTCCCTGAACAGTCGAGCATGTTTTTCCTTGAGGTTTTGTTTTGCAGAAGAAGTGAGCTTGCGTAGGTGGCGTCAACTGGGTTTTTCCAGTTTTACCTGCAGGCGCAACAGTACGTGGGCATGCAGGCACATGCGT